TGATCATTAAGAAAAATATAGAAAGAAAGTAAAAGCAATTATCTCGAGCACATGAATACCATATGATGCCTACTATACAGATAGGCCTTTCATGATGCTATAATTAACTAGAGCTTATCAAATAATGCTCAATGAATTTCAAATTAAAATTTTGTCGCTATACACATCTTTGATGCTGTATTTATCTGATTTTGTTTCGATCATTCACTATAATTGCATAGTTAGCACCCATAATGACATTATAAATATCTTTGACAAGAAAATTTAAGTTAATTTTTCCTAAAATGTGGGTACCTACTAACTAAAAATAAAAATAGAGTCAAGGTATTATGCAAAAATATACCCAAGGAAGAACGTGATCCCATCGATCTATAAACTATACGAATAAAAATTGGATAAAGTAGGTTAGACTGCGTTTATGTAACGAAAATTATAATGCAGACAACAAATAGTCATAGATATACCAGCTAATGCCAACTTGAGCCTAGTTTATAATCGATGAAAGTCTTCCGGGGTCTTGATTAGAACAATAATTATTTTATTGCAAAATGTGAGTCATTCTTTTGAAATGTGGACATTTACTCCAGAAGGTTGAATATATCGTATATATTTGTAACCCATCAAGAAAACTAAAATTGGGTCTTATTCACTTTTAGGTATATACTTTTTTAATCAGTAGTATTGAAGGATTTCAAAGTTTTTTGCTTTATTAAAACTTGACAAATTCACTGTGAAAGTGCATATTCATATTCCATAAATGAAAGAAAGTTGAAATATTAATTCACATCCTCATGTTTTAAAATAAAATCAAAAAACTTAGGAAAAAATAGGTACCTAACCACTTTTGTCCCCATTCTGGTTATTTTGTTTGGTTGGCTGTATGTATTAATTTCCTGAGAAAGTATAGGATATGATATCCCATAAAAGATGCCTGAGAGGAAATAGGTAGTTTGTTGCTTGCGAAACTTTTGTTTGCCAACTGATATTGACTAAACAATTATCTATGTACTATGTACTTTTTTGTTTTAAATTGATTTTTTTTGAATGCTTTAATTATTATGCTTTAATTATTTTGCTTTTGTTGGTACGTCACTGTTTTTTTTTTAACTTCTGTTTATTTGAAGCTCTTCCAAAATTTTTGTTCTGGTCTAAGCAAAAACATTATAGAAAATTTACTCTAGAAGAACAACATAAACATTAGAAGGCCAGAAATAAAAATGAAGGAATAGAATAGAGAAATACACAAAATGCAAGACCTTTGAATGAAACATTTTTTTTTTCCATGAATTTTCTTCTTCAACACCTACTTTCTTACTAATTTCTTTCCTTTCAACTTCCAACTTTTGTCTATTCCAGGCTCTTGAATTTGTGTTTTTTCCAGACAAAAATATTACATAAAATTCAATCTGGAAAACAAACATAACACAGACAGCTAAAAGTAGAAATTGGAAAAAGAATATATAGTTTTCAAGAGCCTATAGATTCTCTGCATAGGCGCCGGAACCATGGAGGCAATGGGGGCTTGAGCCCCCGTAGTGAATTTGATATGGGGGCAGAGCCCCCATAGTGATTTTGGCATTGTATCTAGTGGCTGTAGTGAGTAGGTACAAAAATATTGAGTTCCTGATCCTAACTATTTATTTTTATATCAAACTTGTGTGTTTTATGTTTTTGTTGTTTTTGCTATACCTCTACTCACTTTGACAAACAGTTTGAATATATTTTGTTTAGTATAGTGGAGTAAATTTCAGGGGCCTTAATACAAAAAGCTTAGATGACAAATACCCATTACCCAACATAACGGATCTCTTGAAGAAGCTGAGACGCTGCCAGTATTTTTAGTAGATGCATGAAAACGACATCGAAAAAACCGCATTCAGTACAGAAAACGGGCATAATGAGTTCTTGCGCATACCTTTTGGTTTGAAGAACGCGCCGGCTACATTCCAAAGAGTTATGGATTATATTCTATATCCCAATATATAGCAACTTTAACACCGAAAGATGGAACATCCCATCAATAATAGTTATTCATTATAAGTACAAGGGAAAAAAGTATCAGATTTTAGAGCGAGATGTGGTTTGCCTTCTGTCGCGAAGCGGAGGGAGAACAATAAGGTGGCCAAAGAGCACTGGGAATGCTGGAGGTGGAACAGGGGAAATCGTTATCTTTCGTTCTCTATTAAACCTTAGAGTTTTTCTAGACATTTCATTCTATTGCATTAAAATTGGCCTGTGTAGATCTGTCAAACTTGTATATAGGTAGTTCATTTTTTGGCCATGCCATTAGCTTATTTATAAGTTTGTTTCGTGCCCAAGTTGAGTTTTTGTCAATTTGTTTTGAATGAAAGCGAGCCATCATAGCGAGGGAGTGTGTTTATTTCAGTCCATATAAGTAACGTTTTACCATAAATTTTCATCAAAATTTGTTGAATAGCCGCATTGTCGCTTGCCCTCATCATTAGAAGTCCCAAAAATACCGTGAAAAGACCCAAAAATTTAGCAGCTGCGGCACTTTTCTTCCTGCAGCGCTTGCGGCGAAGTTGCCACTGCTGTAAGGATCACTTCCTGCAAATTTTCCCCTCCCCCCCCTCCCCCCCCCCCCCAAAGACCAAATCCTGACTACGCCAATGGTGCTGTTGAAGCCAAGTATAGTCGAGCTGCCGAAAATGTACGAATTTCAATAATATGAAGCAACCTGCGGGGACGATCACTGATACACCGTTGCGATCCTGGGGGGGTTTATTTGAATTGTGCAATTCAAATTCGTCTGACTAAGTCGCATTTTTTAGCATTGAAATACCGGCAAAAATTACGACTTAGTCAGACGTATTTGAATTGCACATTTCAAATAAACCCCCCCTGCAGTGAAATGGGTATCTGTCAACTGGTCCCATTTGAGTCTATGTGTCTAGTAGCTTAGTCCTGTCTGTCTAATTATTTCTACTTATGTTAATTTTTGGAGCCCAAGCCCCCATAGTAATTTTGAAATTCCGGCGCCTATGATTCTCTGGATTACAAGAATATTGAAGATTCTAGAATAAAGAAAATTCAAGATCCGAGAATAAGAATTCAAAAAGCAGGAATAATAAATCATGTACCCTGGAATGAAGAAATTCAGAAGACATGAAAGCCTGGAATAAGAAAAATAATGGAAATTTGAAAACTTCAAATGAAAAAACTGAATTTATGTATGAGTAGGAGAAAATCCACTTTGGAAGAGAAACATAAGAAGGAGCAGGAATAATAAAGTATGAAGAAGTTAATACCGGGAAATAAATAAAAAATTAAAATTCTTTACTCTTTTATTCCTGCCCATTTTGGTCTAATCCGGAATCTTATTTCATTTTAGCTTTTCCTGAGTCCATAGGAGAAATAGTAGGTACCCTTCAACTATGGAATAATTTCTGAAATTATCCTTGATTTTTAGCCCGAAAGTTGTAAATAGGTGCTAGTTTTTTTTATTTGATTTTAAATTTGACTAAACCTCCACTTTTTCTGCACATGGTTATCTAAGTAAGTAAGTCAAAAAGTTAGAGTACATTTACCACCTGTAACCATTTCCATTAAAATTACAAAAATATAAGCCAAAAGCAACGCATGATTATTGATTACACAAAACTATCAGAAACTGGGTTTACCGGTAAACTCGTAAATTTAACTTTTGCACGAAACATCGTGCATAGTATCTGTGGGTATAATCATGAAGCCAATTTAAAAATCAAACCTGCCATAAGATTTGAAATATTTCCTTCCATATTATTAAATCACTTTCAGAAAGATGGCCTTTTCTAAATCATCAGATGAAACAGAAACTTACACAACGGATACTAGTTGCTAAATCGTGTCAAAGATCAACCACAAGAATATATGAAACGAATATAATATTTCAGTAACAAAACCATGGTAGACTTTTTGCAGAAATGTCATCTATGACATGTACCTACACACAACTGTAAGCAAACCTTAAAATATCTGGTCTATTATCTTGGATTCAATAATTTTTAACGCAACATTTACAAATTTTTCGAAAGTTTCATTTCAATAAAAATAAATGATCCCATTGTAAATTGTAACTACTAATTATTATAATTTTAACAAACAATTAAGTAATCCAACGAGTCTGTACAATCATGATAAAGACCGACCTTGCGTTGAAACAATAAACTCTACAAAATATTTTTTTTGCGTTTAAAACCTAGATCATAGAATTTGATAGAACCCACCGACACAAATTTAAGAACCTCATTTCACACAAAGTAAAGAATGGTTTGCTGGAACCTTGAAATAATTCTTGTTTTCATATATCTCGAAGAATAAAGTTTCAAAATTAATGCAATAATTATTAGAAATGCTTCAGACATAATAATAGATGTGTTCAGCTAGCTCAAGCATATCAATTTCTAAATAAATACCAATTAAAGGTTTGTTAACTTAAGAAATGAATCATTTCCATTTACGTTTGGTAACCATTAAGTTAGTTCAATATATTAATCTTTTGTTGCGGTTTATTTTGCCCAATTACTGCAACTCTTAGGTTTTTTTGTATTCGATTCGTTACGTTTCCAAGATAAGCTTTAAATTTAAATATAAAAGACGCTGGTGATCTACTTTTAACTGTTTTTATTATCTCTCTAGTCTAATTGAGATTTATTAATCTCGAGATTATCGGGTCGGAACTTGACTGTATTACCAATAAGTAGTTTCATTTAAACACTTCATGCAAATAAAATAGTTCAAGCTATAGAACTTATATAAGTTTAATGTATCTAATTTGATTTTCTTAACATTTCTGAAGATTTAATTAAGCTGTAAAATGGCTACAGACACCTAAAAGAGCAAATTGAAGACTCTTCTGATCGTTGAACCACTTCTAAATTGAATTAGGGTGAAGAATGTTTCATAGACACCTAAAAGGCATTTCGTTTTTTTGAATGTCGTTATTTTGATATATCGCGAAGCCAAATTTTCACCCATTGACCGTCATTAAATGACATTCCATTGTCAAAATTTACTATTTGTCACACACCTCACAAAATTCTGCTGTGATCAAATGCTCAAAACCCCAAAAATATGAGATCAGTTGGTAAATTTATCCATTATCTTTGTCAACCAATTCGTTTGAAGACAAGGCCTGCTTGCCTATTGGCCCATACTCGTCAGAGCCACCACAAATCGTGTTCTAAGCAAGTGAAAAAAGTAAAAAATCCATCAGAATGTTTGGAACCCTGCAAAGGGCCCGGAAAAAAATCCCTCTGGGGCATTTTTGGGGGTAGCAATAAGCCCCCGCAGGAAAAGAAACCGGTTAGAGAGTACGAACATGTAGAAATTGGTAAGAATTTTTATTTTGAACCATATATGTAATTTTCACATTTTAACAACTTTTCAGCATTTCGACGTCCTATTATATTTTCAATGTTATCCATGAAGTGCAGTACACAATTACGCAAAATAAAATACAAATAAATACCTAACATAAACGACAGACAACATAAAATATGACGTTAGTTACACAAAATCAAATTCCTAACCACAAATTTTCATTAACGTTTAGCGTTCACAAGTTTTGGCTTCAAAAACTAAAAAAAGGCTAAATGTCATCCGCTATTTTTCAAAGACTGCGCTTCCTCAGTTTACCGTTTAGCGTGTAACGTATTTCAAAATTTATGTGGCTCAAAATCTCTCTAATGTCTCCTTACTTTTGTTTACTTTAAAGCAGGCCGAAAGTGACAGTTCTCCTGTCACTTTCAGCCTGGTAAATTATTCTTTCACACCTAAACACGAATCCAGGTGCAATGTTTGTATTTAGAAGAAGATGTCACATGTGTTTATATTGTTGAAATTTCATAAGATGTCAATGTCGGTGTTTGACTATCAGTCGAAATTCCATTTTTGTCATATTTTTAGAATATTTTTTTTCAATAATTAATGGTTCTAAATAAAATAGGATACATAATTCGGTGGAAAGTTGTCACATTATTGTCTCGAGAATTGGTTGACCTCGGCGTATTTCTCGACAATAAGGAAACACTTTCCAACTCCGTATGTAATATACTATTACCACCACATATGTAATTTTCACATTCCTTACTGGTTTGAAGGTTCGAAAATGTCACTTTACTTTTGTTTACTTTAAAGCAGGCCGAAAGTGACTGTTCTCCTGTCACTTTCGGCCTGGAGAACTCACTTTTGGCCCTGATAAATTGTCCTTTCACACCTATTATCCGTTCACAATCCGATGTCCACAGGTAGGTACAGATAAAATCACCTTTCAATGCTATTTGATAGGGAAAGGTGATAAATTTACCTGCACCTGTGGACATCGGATTGTGAACAGGATATAAACACAAATTCAGGTGCAATGTTTGTATTTAGATCTACTTCTAAATACAGACATGTGTTCATATTGTTGAAGTTTCTTAAGATGTCAATGTCGGGGTCAGACTGTCAGTCAAAATTCTATTTTTGTCATATTTTCACCTTATTTGATTCAATAATTAACGGTTCAAAATAAAATAGTATACATAATTCGGTGGAAAGTTTTCATATTATTGTCTCAAGAATTGGTTGACCTCGGCGCTTCGCACCTCGGTCAACCATATTATCTCTCGATAATAATGAAACACTGTCCACCTCCGCATGTAATATATTATTATTTCAAACCGTACCTATATGTAATTTTCACATTTCTTACTGGTTTGAAGGTTTGAGAATGTCACTTTACTTTTGTTTACTTTAAAGCAGACCGAAAGTGACTGTTCTCCTGTCACTTTCGGCCTGGAGAACTTACTTTCGGCCCTGATAAATTGTTCTTCCACACCTAAACACAAATTCAGGTGCAATGTTTGTAATTAGAAGTAGTTGTCACATGTGTTTATGTTGAAATTTCATAAGATGCCAATGTCGGTGTCAGGCAAAGTTCCATTTTTGTCATATTTTTAGAATTTTTTTTTTTTCAATAATTAATGGTTCTAAATAAAATAGTATACATAATTCGGTGGAAAGTTTTCATATTATTGTCTCAAGAATTGGTTGACCTCGGCGCTTCGCACCTTGGTCAACCATAGTATCTCTCGATAATAATGAAACACTTTCCACCTCCGCATGTAATATACTATTATTTCAAACCATATATGTAATTTTCACATTTCTTACTGGTTTGAAGGTTTGAGAATGTCACTTTACTTTTGTTTACTTTAAAGCAGGTCGAAAGTGACTGTTCTGTCACTTTCGGCCTGGAGAACTCACTTTCGGCCCTGATAATTTGTTCTTCCACACCTAAACACAAATCCAGGTGCAATGTTTGTATTTAGAAGTATTTGTGACATGTGTTTATATTGAAATTTCATGAGATGTCAATATCGGTTTCAGGCTAAATTCCATTTTCATCATATTTTTACCTTATTTTTATCAATAATTAATGGTTCAAAATAATAGTTATTTATATTACAAGTGCGTTTATGAACGTGATAACAATAACGAGTATGAAAGATTAGAACGACGAGGTCGTAGACCGAGTCGTTCTAATTACACGAGTTTTGTAGTCATGTTTAAACGCACGTGTAATGTACAACGTTTTATCTACAAAGCGAAGAATAAGAATATTTTTCCAATTATTTTCGTTCAATAATAGTTGTCTACCTTCATTTTACCTTCACAGGTTTACCTTCGACATTTGTCAAATCACCAAAAATAGTTGTGTTATAGACTCATAACCTAGTCTATAACACCACTAGTTGTGTTATGAATTCATAACCTAGTCCATAACACAACTAGTTGTGTTATGAGCCTCATGACATAACTCAAATACTGAAAAAATAGTTATGTAAAAACGTCATAACCCAACGCTTAGGATAAAATTTTACATAATTCGGTGGAAAGTTTTCACATTATTTTCTCGAGGATTAGTTGACCTCGGCGCTTCGCACCTCGGTCAACCATAGTATCTTTCGACAATAATGAAACACTGTCCACCTCCGTATGTAATATACTAATAATTAACACAAGCAAAAATTGAATTTTTCTCCCAACAGTTAGCGAAGAACAAGCGGAAATGGACATGAAAAAAATCGCCGAAATGGGTGGTGAAGTGTACAGTACTTGTGGTACAGCCTACATTTTGCAACAGGACCATTACCAACAGCCTAAACCATATAGGCCCAGCAACGAAGATATCATTTTGGAAGAAATGATGAAAGATCCTTCATTGAAAGGACAATGCGATCCGATGCCAGCTTATGAAACAGTTGCACTCAGAATGATTAACTTGAATGATAGACGATTACATCCTCTGTATAAAAAGTGAGTAAGGGTTAATAACTATTAACAAACTGAGTATAAATGAGTAAATTTCTTCTGTAGATTGATGACGATTCCGAGAAAACCTAAACCAGTAATATCGTCTAAACCGAAAACAGACACCAAACTGTCCAATCCAGCCAGTTCGTATCAAACCCGTAGTGGTCCAGTGAAACCGGAAGATTATCCTGCCCACTTGAAAATTAACAAGGAAATGTTGCAGAAAAAGAATATCATGTGCGAATTCAAAAGGGCCGAGCCTCCGCAGCAAATGTTGGGCAGAATGGTGGAGATAAAGCAAAACGAGAGGCCGACATTGATGGAACCCCCCAAAAATATTGTGGAAGTATTGAGAAATAACTAATGGATGATTTTTATGTTTTTTGAAATTACGTAATAAAAAAAATTTCAAGTATAGTGATTAGTTTTGGTTCTGTGTTAACTGTTTCTTTATTTCTTGCACTAAATAAAGAATAATGTTGTACTATGCATGCCTATTATTATTATTATAGCCACATAAAGCCGTTAATTATTATTACCTAATTAAGATTACGGCTTTAATTATTGTAGTTTTTGTCTGGTTTCACCTACTTACTTACATTTTTATGCATCTCTCTAATTGGATCTATTTCACTTATTTAGGTACTACAATCGCGATTAGATAAGCATTTGGCATCCTTGTTATGAGTGGGTCTTTATGAAAGTTTGATTAAAATTGTAAATTAACTTTTACTCTTCATGTTATTTTTAATTAAAAGAAATTAGGCATCACGAAAGAATACGTGAGTGTGATGTGTGGCCAAAAAAGTCGCCCAATGATATCATCAACGTTGCGAATGAATCATGAAGTGAAATGTTGTACATATCGGATTTTGATTGATGATGATTATAATTATATTATTACTTAATCTTATAAGATTGGTTTTGAATAAAATAAAAATGAGTTGCTAATTACACGTGAAGAATGTTGCAAATGAAATCATCCAGTAATCGATTTAAAAGGTTATTGAAGTAGTAAAATATGCAAATATGATTATTAAGGAAGTTGCTAATACAGAACAGGAACTTGAAGCCGTAAAGGAAGCAATATTAAATTAGCACCCTGAGTAAAGAAAATAAACCATGGATTTTCTTTGGCTGATTGAGACCACAGAATCATCATCATCAATCTCCATTGAAATCAATTATCATTTTCAGCAATGATAAGCTGGAAATTTGATACCTGAGTATCTAAATTATTTGCTCAATGCAGAAGTTGTCCTTGCAAAATAATATAACTCTTAATCCCCTGTAGGAAAATTATCCAGCAATATTCCAAATTCTGCTTATTACAAGCTGAATTTTACTGGGCATCAAGAGCCGGTAATAATCAAAATTTGAACTTTTGATTGGCTCATCATATCATCATTATAACAAATTAACTTTAACCCAATCAAGAGCCAGTAATAGACAAAAGTGGAAACCATGATTTTGGAAATTCAAATTTTGAATATTCATGACTCTCGATTTGATTCAATATCAAATCAAATTCTTTAGTTTTCGGATTTTTATCTCAAAAATCCTTAGTATCAAGCCCTAAGACATTTTGAAGTTTTTAACATCGTTGAAATAGTTTCTTCAATGGCTTCATGCGAGATCTTATAGAATCTCTTTTCATTCTCCGGCCTCTTTCCAATCTTTAATCAGCGAGATCCGATTCAAATATTTTTGTATTATTATTAAACAAGTATCGCGATTGTTTTGCGGAAAATTTGGGAGAACTAGGTCACATTATTGGATCCGCCGAAATGGAAATTCATTTAAATTGTGATAATCCTGTGACATAATAGACCATATAGACTATAGACTTTCTATGCATGAAAGGAAGAAGATGCGCAAAATAGTTAATGAACTACTGTCAGCCGATATTATACAAGAGTCCAGATCGCCTTATTCAAGTCCAATTTTATTGGTTAAGAAGAAAACTGATGAAACACGCATGTGCGTAGATTACCGCGCTGTTAACGCAAAAACAATGTTATCCTTTACTAAGAGTGGACAACCATTTAGAGATTTTGAAGGGATACAAGTATTTTACGACCTTGGACATGGCGAGCGGTTACCACCAAATACCAATGGCGGAGAACTGCCACGAAAAAATAGCATTCGTATAACTCCTGATGGTCACTACGAATATTTAAAGATGCCATTCGGATTAGTAAATGCTCCAGCCGTGTTTCAACGGACGATTAACCAAATCCTAGGCTCCATGAGATTTTCTACTGCCTTAGCATACATGGATGACATCTTGGTTCCTTCTCCTAGTGTTGCGTCTGGGTTGGTTGCTCTTGAGGATGTATTTGAAATCTTTGCAGGTGTCCGCAAACCGAAATGCAGGTGTCACTTTGTGACTGTCAAAATGTAATTTCTTCAAGGAGCAAATTGATTATTTAGGACATGAGTTTAGTGCTGCCGGTACTTCGAAGATTTCTGCAGTAGAGAAATTTCCTGTTCCAAAAAATGTGCATCAGATTCGACAATTCATCGGTCTATGCAGCTATTTCTGGAAATATGTGAGAGATTTTGTACAAACTGCTCGCCTTTTGATCTCCCTCACCAAATTTGATCTCCTTTACCAAATAAGATGTACAATTTGACTGGGTTATAGAGCAGAATGGTGCTTTTGCGAAACTTACAGGAGTTTTGATCAAGAGACCTATACTTGCCCTATATGGCCCTGGGTTAGAAACAGAGGTCCACACCGATGCTTCGAAAATTGGGCGTGATGGAATTTTGTTAGAAAAACAGGAAGATGACAACCCATATAGCCAGTATTTTTCTTCAGTAGACAGACTGCGAAGGAAGAACAAAAGTATCACTCGTACGAACTCGAAACGTTAGCAGTGATTTGCTCGTAAGGGCTATCATTTAAAGGAAAAACTGACTGTAGTGCCTTGAGAACTGCAATGTCAAAGCGTGATCTGATTCCGCGCATTGCATGGTGGGGGCTTTTCATCCAAGAATTCAATTTCAGTATAGAGTATCGGCAAGGATAAAAAATGTCACATGTGGATGCATTGAGCCGAAACCCAATTGCAGAAGATAAACCTTATGAAAGATCAAAAATTATTGATATTTTTCAAGTGGATATCACACAAGATGATTGGGTGTTATCAGCGCAACTGGAAGATAGCACATGCAAAGAGTTGATTGACATATTGTTGATGAAACCAGTAAACAGTGACACAAAGATTACTCGTTGAAAGACAATAAACTATCGGAAAAAATCTGATGGTACGTTCCCAAGGCGGACAGACGCATAGTGATATGTGCCATCATGACAATGTGGGCCATTTTGCGACCGAAAAAGCTCTGGAAAACATGGGTAGTAAGTATTGGTTTGCACGAATGCGAAAATATGTGGACCGCTATATTTCTGCTTGACTACAATATTCATACAACAAGGCACCTACAGACCAAGACTCTCTCGAGGGAGTATTTATCTACTAAGGTATCCATCATAGATATAACATACATATTGCTTATTTTAGAAGAAAAATGTCATACCAAGACTGGGCCAGTCTTGTCTTGGTCTTGAAGCATCGAGACCATTACCAAGACCAAGACCTTATTTATTTTTCGAGACCAAGACCAACATTTTGGCCAGTCCAATGAGAGCTTCAAAATAACCAAAGTATCTAGTGTCGTGTCTTCGGAGTTATTAGTTTAAAGTAATAAAAAAAAATTTGATTATGCTCGAATAATTATCCGAGAAATCCAAAGCTAGAAATATAGTCCCACGAAGAGTCCCACATTTTCATTATTATACCTACCTGATCTTGATTCATGATTGCCTCAAGAAAAACTGTTCAGTACATCAAGTGCCGATCATAGTCCAAAATTTGATCATTAACCAATGATGAAAATAGTTGGTGCAGATGGTGTTAGGTACAAACACTGTTGAAAAAATAGGTTTAGTGTTATTAGTATAGAGAGTGGAGCAAAAAGGCAAACACATTCAATTTCAGATTGTTATGACATCGAAAGCAGCGCAAGAATCTCTATTTTTGATAGTTGAGTAAAAACCAAACAACAATTTTCTTTGTTTAACTTCTTCCTTATATATGTATTTAGGTATACCTAATATCTGTCATAAAATCAAAAAATACAATAATTTAAATAAAATAGAAAATCTATTCAATGAGTGGTCGTCCCTGAAATGTTAACCTCTTTGTTATTCAAGAAGTGATGATCATTGATGAATGAATCATAAAATGTGATCATCACTTGCGGTTTCACTAATGAATAACTGACTCATCATTCCGATCAAACTTGATCTATAATCAACATTTGAACAAACACAGTGCGTAATGACAATATTTAGTTAGCACTCCATGACCATATGCCTCTCTAATCGCCATTTTTTATCTCAGATTTATGTTCAGCATGTGAACAACACAAAAGTTTTGATATTCTTTATCAAAACTATTCGTAATTAGCTCACTCATGTCAAATAATAAGTAAAATGTATAAAAAATCTCCTTGATTCTTCGCTATTGTTAGCGTTAAGAAAGCTGAACAACAGCAGGAAGCCATAGGTCACGAATCAAGCAAAACAATAAGGACCTTAAACCGAGACCGACGTTTTCGCAAGAACAAAAAAAATTCTTTCAAATAGGTAGGTACACAATAGAAGAGTTGCACGGTTTCAAGTACGAGGTTGACTTTAGAAGAACCAACAAACAAATATGCACAAACAAAGGATTTCTCCTGCCCGAATAACAATAAATGTAAAAAGGATACATTTGTCTTTTAGGTTGCATCAAAATATGGCATAACAGAAAAGTTGCTCAAGCAGAATATTGTGTAAAAAATATTTTAGTTTATCTTTATCATCGCTTGTATGTTTCAACTTGGGCAACTGAAAAAACATATTCTGCTTCTTCATTTTCTCTCATATGTTTAACCAAAGAAATTATAATAAGCTTTTTCGACTCGACATCAAGCAGCAGTAAAAATTTCAGGACAAAAACTCGGTAGGTATAGCTTTGAAGTTCCTAAGAAGTATTTTAACGTTGCATAAACGTCATCTCAGACGACCTGACGCAACGATATTACAATGATTACCATATTTGGTTTAGTACGAATTAAGCCCGGTCGCATTAACGTCGTCCAAGCTACTAAGTAGTACAAAAATATGTGCCCCTTAAGGCTTAAAATAGCAAGTTTTGTTACCCAAAACAATACCTATTGGCCATTTAGCTTTATCAAGTTAAAAACACAGTGTGTAAATCACAATAAAACCATGTTTTACTGGTTCGTCGTCGCAACGTTAATTAAACGTGCATTATTGTAACTGTATTGTCACCTTCATCTCAGGCAAAAATGGAGAATAATATATTAGAACAACAAACTTGTGTAGGTCTGGGTAAATATTCAGTGGAGAGATCAGTCCAAAATACCACGAAATTTCCAAACAACAAATGACTCATATTGCAAAAAAAAAAAACACAATGGATCATAAGTAAGAGAAATTTAATATAAAAGTCAATATTATGTTCGTAGTTGACGACATTTCTATTATGTTTGACTGCTGTTATAGCTTATAGGAGACAAAAAAATTTAAATATATCGTACTACAATTGAAAAATCCATTTATGATGATCAGTGACGGTGGTAGACACAACTAACCCAAATGTTTATCAGGAGGTAACAAATTTCTTTGTTTGTTGTGAAATATGGTTGCAGATAGGTACATGTACTGTATAATTCGCGTATAGCTATATGATTTTCATCGCATCTTGAGCAGAACCGTCATTAAGAAAACGGTACATTGCACAGTGTAGAGGCACTTAACACGGCCGACGGTATTATAATAATAATGCAGGAAATGGCAATAATCAGTTGATTTTATTCAAATGTTGAAGATTTTTATCTCGAAGGTTTACGAGGAAATTCTTCGTAGGATATTTATAGGGGAAATGCCAACAATAATGACTGTGAAAAGACGTATTTTTGTAAGGATAAGCATTTTTAGTAGGTAGTGTAATGAACAGTTAAGTTGATTGAGGTAGATATGGTATACTTGTAGTGATATTTTATGATTTTCACTCAAAGAGCTACAGAAATGGTATATCTATGTGAAGAAATAAAAGACTAGGGACAGATGATAACACAGAATACCTGAAATGAAAAGACATTTTAGAAAATACTATGAAATATAGGTATCTATAAATAAAACAGATCGATTTTATCCATCTTAATCTAAACTTGAATTTAGATTGATGAGACATGACCAATGCAAATGCGGGTATTTTAGGATCTGAAGCCTAAAAATAAATTCAATTGAAATTACCACCAGGAAGTAAGTGACATTGTATTGAACATGTTCATCTTACAAAACACTTTATCAAGTTGAGGACATGCCTTTTCAATTATTGGCATGCAAGCAGGCAATACAAAAAACACCTGTTAAATACATTGAATGCTTTGTTGACTGTACGGCGATTTACTACATGGGACTCATCGTAAAATGCAGTTTAATGATCCATTTCCAAAACCAATTAAGTATTCATAAATGTCAGGAGAGTTATTTAGCTTTCATTGATACTCTAATGTGTTTAATTTCAAATTTGATTTGCGGCAATTAATTAGAGCTGAAGATCAAAATTTCAGAATGATTAAGTTTTACATTGCATAACTTAGATTGATGTTTGAATTCATCAATCATTTACAACTAACAAAGGAGGCTAAGAAATTTTTCCTTGTCGTAATTTACAATTAATATTTTGAAAAGAGTGAATTTACAGGAATGGGATCTCACTATATTTAATTTAGGATTACGTAATAATAATGTGGAAACCTTTAAAACGATATCAGTCATTGGACAAGTAGGAGCAAAAAAAATCAGGCCATGGACATTCATAAGTACTTACATGACTGTTTCTGAGTGATATGATCATCAATAAGCTTAGAAAAAAAAGACTGCAATATGAATGATTTTACCCACAAAAGTTTTCATTCATGTGAGTTGGTTCTTAAAAATACCGTGTACTAGAATGCTAAAATATCAAACAATAATTGAACTAAGTTTTAGTAACTGTAAACTGCATACTTCCCTGCTGATTTCATGTACAAAAGAAGGGTTGAATAAACTACGAGCTTGATAAGTTGTGCAACATTTACACACCATCTAGATGTATCTAGCAAAATTTAACTAGGTAGGTAGTACATATTTTTATTTGGGAACAAATCTATAAAAATTACTGATACTATCTTGTAGTGTTATATATCCGCATCATCAACTTCAATGTTCTGAAGAAAATACTAACTATATGTAGATACCTAATTTGACATTTATTTGTATACACCTCCTCCTTCAACGGCTTTTTTTTTGGACAGAATTCTCTTAAAATTTGCACACCACTGACTCTTAAAATAAATTAACAAAACCAAAACCAGATTTCTTCAAAAGCTTGTGGCCAACGTACGCAAATTTTTATTTGCTTCGCGGGTTGAGTAAATGGTTATTTTCTTATTGTTCAGTTCCTGAGACTGGCAGGGTCAAATAAAATCCGGTTACCTTATGGTAAAACACCAGTGACGACCAACCACACGGAATGACTCACCCGGCGGTTTCAGAAAGTGCTTTTGACTTATAAATAGCTGGGTTGAGGTAATACCTATATAATTTACCTCTAGTTTTTTCGAATACTCCTCCACAGTGGCATCGTGTTGTTTCTTCAGTTTCTCATTGTCTTCCAGTAGAGCTTTACCCAATTCAGCTGCCAGTTGCAAATCGTTTTCCTTTTGCTGCAGCTGAATCCAAATGTCTTCGCTTAAATTTTGAGCGTTTTGCTCGTTTATGGCACTACGATTTTCCATTTCTACTACGTAATCTTCTAGAGATTTTAACATGTTTTGATTGAATGGTTTATTGGTTCTCTTGAGAAAACCGTTGCTGGACTAAGTTGCCTATGCCCGGCGGTTTTGTAGTAGCAGTAGCCATTTTTTTTTCTTTGAATCTGAAACATAAAGAAAGTCTTTATTAGTCAAAACAATAAATAATTGACTGCCATTACACTACTGTATTATTGATTAATGAAATGTGATATGTAAAGGACACAGTTTGAAATCGATCTCAATACCAAAGGTCAATTCGAAAACCGCACCACCGGACAGAAGTATTTATTTATTAAAGAAAAAGCATCGCCCTTGACATTTTCACAAAGTATCTATATCATTGCATTACACAGTATCCACACTTAACATTTTCAGAAGCAATACCAGATGTTGTTTGTCGGTCGATGAATACAGTGTAAAAATTGACAGCTAATGAGGTAACGGCTTGCAAGCAAAACGATATTTTCAGACGGATTGTTGGTTTCCTTTGCGTCGGCAGACGGCGATCAAGACGAAACGAACCTGGATTATTTGTTGGGTTTATAAATAAACGACAATTAAAAGGGAATTTACGATGCTTGTAATTTAGAGTAGTTTACAAATGGTTAAAATAAACAAGTTTAACGTTAAATGTGAGAGTAAAATGTTTACATGTATTTGTTAGTAGCTATACACTAATATCCTAATATGTGTTGAAGTTATATAGGATTCACTTAGTTTGTAGATTCAAAAATAACTATAAATAGCAGATTAAACGTTTAAAGAAGAAGATCAGAGCTGTGTCAATACAAGAAAAAATAAAAACAACTATAAAGAGGACATTACAATGAAAGAACTTCTGGAAAGAAACAGGAAATGTTGGATTTTTGCCTCCACATCTCAACCAAACTATCAACCACCTAGAAATCTTCGTATAACCAAACAACAAGAAGTGGATTCATGTTAGTAGACAATATGCTTGCAGAGGGAGTTGTTAAAGAGAGAGAGAGATAATGCCTTTTGGACTCAATAACGCTCCCGCTACTTTTGAAAGACTGATGTAAAGGTGTACTACAAGGACTTCTGTGGAGAGTATGCCTTGTCTCACGAAACCTTCAAGAAGTAGGTATCCACTTAAATTTGTAAGACAAACCTCCGATTAAATGAGGAGAAATGTTCATTCTTTCAACTCAACATGGCAGATTTTCTTGGCAACGTATAGGTTCAACCGTTATTTTACCGAAGGATAATTCGTGAATGAATACAACCTTGGGATAAGCATTTACTCAGAAGTTTAGACATTTGGGTTTTGTACATACTACAGACGATTTATAGAATGATTTTCTAAGGTAGGAAGCACGCAGCATCGTTGTATAAGCTTACTGGTACACAGTTCCAGTCCTTCTTTTAGGCTATTCATGCAAGCACATGAAATATTTGTTTCGGATACAGACGCTAGCAACATGGGTATCGGAGCTGTCATTTTGGAAGTACCTACAGGATGCAAAAAGAAGATAGGGAATATAAAATGACTGGAAAGACAAGACAGGTGTAGCAAGATAGCTGGAGAAGTTGCAACAGTACATTTTTCAAATCAAACATCGTTGTGGTATACCTACGACCATGTCCAGTTGAATATAACTTGTACCCACTGCTTCAGAATTGATCAGCGTGCAGGAGTTTCTGTCAGAAGCCTTCTATTTGAAACAGTTCAAGAATATAATTTCGAATGACTTAGAATTGATTGATCAAGTTCAAGATAGTGATATCAACTATTTTTAAATCTAAAGCTAATTTATGAGAGTCAACAAGACCTTGATGGACAATATTCATGACAAATTCTACTGAGTGAACTATTAGGTACCAGGATGTCAAGACATGGTTCCAACAATGTACAAAATGCTCAACAACTAACTTAAAGTCGTACAACGCGATTTAATGGACATATGAAGCATTACAACGTAGGGATACCCTTTGAACGAATGGCAACAGACACAGCTAGTCCATTTTCTTCGACTCGCAGTTACAACAGATGAGCCCTGGTTGCCATGGACTGTTTCAGCAAGTTTTAGCATTTCGAAACCCAAGAAGCTATAGTTTGCAAAGTCTTCATCGACATTGTTTCTACTAGATTTGGAATTTACCGGAACTGCATTCAAATCTTCTGAGTCAAGATTATTCCAGAAACTTTTTAAACAGTATTACATCTACAATAAGATGGAATAGTTGAGGTTGACAGGTTATTATTATTATTTAAACAACAGCAAGCGGTAGAACCGATGGAGTCGCTGTATACGTTAAGATTGCTTTTTTAACCAATTCACAAGATTTTTGTTAAGTACCTACCTACATAGTTTACACAGAATAATGAATAAATGTCCCAGACATCAAACTGAGATCGCTATTTTTAAACGAGTTGGTAAGTATTGGGAACTGTAACTCTTTCTTCACTCAGTGAATTCCACGTATAAACCACCCTATTGTGCAAGAAGTTTCTTCTGAGAAGTTTAGAACATCTTTCTATCTCTAATTTGCTAGAGTGCCCTCGAAGATGGGGATTGTCGCTTATAATATATATATTCAAGTTGACAGAGTAGTACCTACTTAAATTACGTGAAATTTTATACATTGTAAATATAGATCTCCTCATCACGTATTAGGGTAGTTAGGTTGAACTCCTCAGTCCTCAGATAGTCTTCATATGTGAGGTCTTGGGTTTCTAGTGGAAGTTTAGTAATCCTTCTTTGGACTCATTCCAATGCCTGGATGACCTTAGCATAATAAGGATTCCAAACTGACTGGGCATACTCTATAAGTATGGGTCTGATGTAGAAACCGAGTGATCCTTGGATGCTTTTTGCGTCAGGTAGGCCAGAGAATTGAGATATGTGCTTCTGATTTTAAATTGTTGGTTACAATGACGCCAAGATCTCTCTGTTCATTAGTAGATGTCATCGTAATGTTATTAATGTAAGTAATCAGATAGGGTATCTATTGTTGGTGCCAATGTGGAGGACAGAGCATTTGTTTTTATCAAGGATCATCATTCAGTTCTCACACGACTCGGATATCGTCAGTAAGTCGGATTTTAGGTTTTCACTGCTGTTGATGGAATTGCAGAAGAGTTTGGAGTCATCGGCGATAAAACTGACATTGGTTTTGAGAATAATTGGACCAAGTACTGAGCCAAGCGCCGTTAACTCTAACCTGATAGGTTCGATCGCTTAAGAAATCTTGGATCCAACCCAATACGTTGTTATGTATTCCAAAATACTGAAGTTTGTATGAAATACGATTGATTGGAACTTTATCCATTCCAAAGTCTAGGTATTCGATGTCAATAGGTTGTCCCTCGTCGTTCATTTTCTACCATAAATCGAAACATGTTACATGTTGGTTTCAGTTGATCTTTGATACAAACAACAGATGATAGGGTTGCATTATTTCTTGAATTGGCTGGTAGAAGCGTTATATTATCCAAAGGTTCTCGTGTAAACCCTTTTTCAAAGTCATCAGCAAATACCTCTGCAGTCAATAAGATAATCGAGAAACATATCTCTCTAAAGTAGTTGACAACTATCAGGACGATGGGTAGAGGGAGCATATTTCTCTATTTATGATATGGGCAAAAAGATTGCTTTACCCTGTGATTTGGTGTCCATGAAATAGAGAATGGTCTTGCTAGTAACCGAATGAAAACGAGATACGGTCTATGACTGACAAACTCTGTAGGTTTTTAGAAGAAGGAAGACATGTCGTAGATCCCCGAAGCAGGCAGCCAAAATCCTTCTCGACAAGTTGGACGCTTATCACGAAGATACCTACATAATAATCAGATCGTTCTTTGAGAGAGAGGCATTTTTACGAAACTCGAAAATTAAAATGTTCTGAATTCTGAAAAGCCGACGCCACTGTGAATGACGACGCTAGTGTGCGCGTAGTTTGTAAGTTCGTAAGTTGTAGTTACGTTTAAATAAGATAATTCGTTGTATAAAGTTGAGTTGCGGAATGCAAATTTTTTAAAATTCCTACATACCTATATGACGCATGTACTAGGTATGATAGGTATGCATTTGTAGGTAAGTATGTTTTTATTAGTTTAGTCGCTTTTAATTTTTGCACGTAGGATATTTTGGTAGTTAGGTACTTTGGTACATTCGACATTATTAGGTAGGTAGGTACTATTTTTATCAAAAGTTTTACTGTAGACAAGCAGTTTCATTGGTATCAAAAAACAATTATTTATCAGTCAATAGTGCACCTGCAGATGGTGCAGTCCCCCGCAATTTGTATCCCTTTTTCGGTATACCTCTACGCTGCACCTGAGAACACAATACAAACACTCGAATATCGCACCTACCTGTCCCAACAACAAAAATAATCCTTCAAAAGCCACCTGGAAGTAAACTTTAACACAAAACCACAATACAACAAAAATCCGGTTCAATTAAAAACAAACCTAAATGAGAAAAAAAATTTGGTCACAGATTTTAAAAAGAATTCGGACGCGCGAGCCTAAAAACGCGGAAATAAGCCAGGTACGCACCGCCACGGACTGCGGGATAAAATTACGCTACTAAAAACACAAAACTCGAGAAACGAGCGATGTTTGAGTTGTTTGAAAAACCGCCTACCGCCACTACCATGGTAACGAACTCACCTGGACGCACGCGCTCCAACCTTAATGGTTCAGGGGAATACGGTTTAAGACCAGACGGTTTAATTTTTACGGCTTTGGCAAAGGTTCTTTGTAAGTAGAAGTACCCGAGAATATTTAAGTGGCTCCAAAGTTTATCAAACATCCTAAAAGGTTTTTACAACAGCTATAAAATGAAATGGTAAATGGGCAGTGTTTTATAAAACACCGTTCTGCAAACAATTTTGCAACAAAGTTTACCACCATCATTATAAAACAATTTTGTGCCTACAGGGTACTTCCCCTTTATATTGACACCCTATTATTTAATGTGTATAAGTAGAGGTACCCAATTCGATCGATATTTTTATAGTAGGTATCTACAGACACTGGGGGATTAAATTTCCTCAATTAGCTGAATTGGGCTGCAGATTTGCGCATCAAAACGCGTCTGTAGTTGGATCTGCAACGGAAACAGAGGGTACCGGTTTGCAATGGTTAAACTCCCAAATTAGACATCGTATAGCTGTTAAAGCAAAGACAATCACAGGAAAGATGAATTAGTAGATTTGCCTCCCAAAGATCTAATTTTGGAAGAAGATGCTCACCTACTAAGGAATTTCTGTTTTCTTCATCAACATTGGAACTGGAACTCCAAAATTGGGGAATGGAAATGGAGTACAGGGAAGCAGCAACAATAAGAGCCGCCGTTATTGGATGGCAATGACTGAACGTGGATCTTCAACATCCAACAGTGTTATTTAAATATTCAGAGACGATTTCCAAATGGAAAAAATTGGAAGCGGACTCTGGATTATAATCCAGTAACTCACCATCGAGCAACAAAACAAAAGAAGAAAACATCTTAAAGCTACTGATTAACTGGAACAACTTTGGAAGTAGGTTTCAAGATATGATAATCATTCGAGTAATTCACAACATTGGACAACCGGAATAGGCGGTTTCAGGCTAACATCTTAAAAGCGCAAGCCAACGAGGAGACGACCAAATGACAAACTTCCCAAGAAAGTCAAAGATATGGGTGACAGAAAACACCGGACTTGAAGATTGAATATGAATAGGATTACTGGCTACATAGAATGCAAGCATAACGAACATCCAAGACTACAATCATGAGATTGAAATAGAACGAACATCAAAAAGACTACCCAATCAGGACATAGATCCACTTAACAGAAATTATGTGTGGCTCCTCAAGAAATCCAGATGATAATTACTATTTACTATTACTATATCTAGTCGATATGGGCTGAGGTGAGACATATAAGCCCATTTTTGAACTGTTATTTGTTTGTTTTGGCTTAAGCACTATGAGAACTGACTATCAAGTTTTGTCTTGAATACTGCTGGGAGTTGTTTCCAGAGGGCAAAGACTCTGGTACAAAGTTCTCCCTACACAATGTGGAGTGGTTTTCTTTTTTAGCGTTTGAGACTGTGACCCCGTAGCTTCTGGTCTGTGTTCAAGGCATAGAGGTGTCTTTATCTCTTGTTCTTCTATTTTGGAAGCTCAACAGTTTTTTTTTTATTCTAGTCTTTCCTCATATGTAGGTCTTCTTCTACCAAGTCGCAATTGTGTTGCTTTTCTCTGATGTACAACAGCTTCAAGGCTTTTGCGGTCTCTAATGAAGTATGGGTACCTGACCTGCATATTCCTATAGGATTGGCCTGCAGTATATGTTGTACAGTCTCGTAAACGCTTCTTGGGAAGTGTTTGGAATGACCTTCTCTAGGAGGAATAACTTGCTGTTGGCTTTTTATGCACTAAACAGGTCAAGTCTTTGTTATCAGAACTTCAAGGTCATCATTGTGTTGCTGAACACTGACCAGTACTGACCCATTGATGATGTATTAATGTTCTGGATTGATTTTTCCTAAGATGGAATACCACACTTTTTTCCACATTGAGGGGTAGTTGCCAGTCCTCACACCACTTCTCAATTTAGTTTGAATAATTCTGGAGCGAGTCAGAATTGTTAGCGGGACCATAATTAGTTTTTATTTCTTCGGCGAACGCTGCACATGCTGATATTATTAGCTTGAGGAGATCTTGTGTAAGGTACAAACAACAAAGGTGCAAGTACCAGAGCCTTGGGGTACGCCACTTTGTACTAGATGGAGTTCAGAGTATGAGTCGCCAGCTCTGACTTTGTACTCCCTGTTTGTAAGATAGTCTTTGGTCCAAAGCAGAGTAAATCCCCCCTGACACCAAATAGTGGCTTTTTCAATATTGTCTATGCACATTTCCCCTTTTGGAGTTTCTAAATAAAATAGGAATGCCTACTTTGGTGTTAAGTTGTGATTTAATGTACTTGTATAATAGTTTTTTGAGGTTCTCCAAGTTGGTTAGGCTGTCAAGGTAGGTATGCCAGCTTAGCTTCTTTTGATTTTTCGTGTTGAAGTGTTCGAGAAGGTGCGACGTTCCCTGTAGTTAGTGTAATTGTTGGTACGTAATAGTACCTACCTTTTCTATAGGGCCCTTTTTCTCCTACAGTTTTGGATGTGGTTGTTAATTATAGTTTTAGGTTATTCACTCTTTTGGTTTTGTATTCGGTGTTGCTATCTAATATTGTCTTTAGTTCTGAGTGAAAACTGGACCATATGTGATGCATATTGTCATCAAAGAGGACTTCTGACTTCTCCCCAGTTGATTTCGATATATGATGATTGATATCTACTTAATTCATGTATTTCACTCTATGAACTGTTGTTAGAACATCTGATGTCAGAAAGCCACTGTCTCAGACTCAATTCTTAATGAAATGATCGAATGAATAATGAAACTAGATCACTTCATCATGAAAGGCGAAGCAAGAGAGTACAAAAAATGCCTACTGAACTTTCGTCCCATCAGGCTCTTGCCTCTTTTGGGCAAGGTATCATAGAGCTTTCAATTTCAATTCCAAGATCGCACAGAAAACTGAAGAATTGAATCCAGGAGAACATTTCCAGGATTCAGATCATAACAATCAAGTGAGCTTTATGCGCTCAAAATAGTCGAATGCATTATCAAACAATCAAATAACGGAAATATCTAGGCTTATAAGTCTAGGCTGAGTACTATGGTTGAAATAGGCCAGATTGCGTGAAAAAAAAAAGATAAACAGTGGCAAAGGATATGTTAAAAGAACTTGAATGGCTGTCAGCTGCCAGTGCGAGAGCTTCTCCTGTTTTACGCCCTAACATTCATTCATAAAATAAAAACTGGTCAAGCTCCGGAATATTTTGTTAAGCAAAATTACGTATGCTACTGAAGTTCATCAATATCATACGCACCACAGTGTCCCAAGGGTAGATCAGGAAAGGTCGCAAAACTCATTATATTTTAAGGGCTTAAGTAGGTTAATAGTAGGTATAATGATCAGCCAATGTTAAATCTCTATGAAAACAGTAAATTCTTTCAAAAAAGTTCTTATATGTTTAGTGATGTTAACTTATAAGTAGTATGTGTAACTTGTAATTTGTATAGTAGTGTAAACTCAGCCGAAATATCGCCAAATCAGAATTAGAAAGTTGCCCATTTGCCCAATAAAATCATCAAAAACAAACGTAGGAAGACCCACAAAGCCTCGGCTAGATGAGTTGCAAGGAAACTATATCCATACCTACTGCTTTAAACAGAAAATCATGGAATCTATCGGAAGAGGTCCACATACCAGAGTGGATAAACACAGCAGTATATATAATAAACTGGATGTGGAAGTGGCTCCTACATCGTAATAAATCCATTTTCACTGAATTTCCTTCAAAAAATCTCACAACGCTAGTTTTTGAATACTAAACCGAATTTTTAGCTAATTTCCATCGAAATTTAATTTCAAAAAAGCCCAATCTAAGCTAATTTCTATTGAAATTCAATTTCAAATTAGCCCAATGCTGAAATCAAAAAGTATAAGTACATCTATATAGAAAGAGCACCTATCACCTTTGAAAATTGATGATATAGAAAAACATTAGGGATAGAATAATCTTGAATATTGAAAATGAGAAACTGTCCCATTTTACTCCACATACTCCTCAATGAAGGATGAAATTGTGTATAGCAGCTAATAAATAGAATCTATAACAATCATATTCTAATAGTTAGGGAGACGACCGCATTTTTCCTACCCCGATCGAGTTATGTGTCGACACTATTATCAATATATAGTATTATGTGCATCTATTAACCAGTATTCCTGCCTGAGAGCAAATGCTGCCGGAAATATCTTTTAACAAATTATTAACAAATTGAAAAAAACGTAACACTACCCCCATCGAGTTATGCCCTAAGTAGGGTATCAGATTGAAGGTCTCGATGTCCCCGATCCAAAAAGTCGATCCTGCCTCGCGAGAACTTGCCGGAAAACGGTGGCAGGACAGCTTATTGGAGCAAGGGCCCGCGGTCTCAGCTTTGACACCTATCAAGTTTTTCCCTGATTGATGTGTCAAATTAAAGTTGTTAATAAATTGATTTAAGGTCTCTTCTCACAGAAATCCCAAACCAGAAGGAGTGAATTTCATTGGTTGAAACTAGTTTCCTGACTGTTTCCAACCAATGAAATTCGCTCTGACTGGTTTGTGATTTCTGTGCGAACAGACCTTAAATCAACTTTATTGACACCTTTAATTTGACACATCATTTAGTGCAAAGCTTGATAGGTGTCAAAGCAGAGACCGCGGGCCCTTGCCCCAATAAGCTGTCCTGCCACCGGCACCGTTTGCCGGCAAGTTCTCGCGAACGACGCGAAGCGGAGTTCGGATAAGCTTTGAGTGCGGGAAAGACACTTTGCGCAAGTGTTAGGAACAATATTTTTTCTACGAGTATCTTAAAAAAGTAGACTTTGAATTGTTAAAATATTAGAAAAATCAATCAAATCAAAATCTTCAAAAATCGTTTAAAATCTATTGGAATTCCTCAGAATGTCTTTTAAATTAAATCCCCAAAAATCTTTTAACATCTTCTGGAATTTCTAGAATACCAGCTAGAATATTTTCATGAGAGTCTCTTAGATATCAAAAATTCTGCAAATTCCTAGCAGTACAGGCGGTCCAATTTGGATACCTTTGATAGGAAACATCACGTTGACTAAGCGCTAATTTCAACTTAAACCTTGCATTTTGAGTATTAGTTTATTCAGAAACCATCAAAACATTGGAAAATCAAGTATAACTATGGTAATTATGCGTAACAAAAATGAGTGCGCAAAGAGTTTCCGTGCGCAAAGTTCAACTTTGCGCACGCAAATGAGTGCTCAAAGTGATTACTTTGCGCACGCAAGTAGAAAAAAGATATTTCCGGCAGCATTTGCTCTCAGGCAGGAATACAGGTTAATAGATGCACATAATACTATAAATTGATAATAGTGTCGACACATAACTCGATCGGGGTAGGAAAAATGCGGTCGTCTCCCAGACTATAATAGATTTTTTTCAAATAAATATGAATGATAAGTATGGCAATCAGAATGTCCAACCATAAGTATGAATTCCAAAATTAAATAAGTAAATAATAATGGAATGACATAACAAATTGCGGCATACCGAAGCACATAACTTCTTATTTATGATATAGATATAGGTACCTAGATTACCTTTACCTATTGATCAAACAATAGCTTAATTGCATTATAAGTTTTCGTGTTTCCACGTCTTTGATTTTATTTTTTTAAATAGATAAATAAATACTTTAAACGAAAATGAATCAAGTCACTAGAAACGCACCCAATTCCTCCACTGAAAAAGAAATGATTTCAATGGCGGAAGAGGAGTTATCAAGATTACAAAGACAGGTGATTTTGAACCTAAGTTAAGTTAGTATTTCTTCAGAAAGTAGAGTTTTTACACGCGTAAAAAAGCTACAGATAGGGACATATTTGTGTATGTTCTGTTTACAATGTGAACAATCAGTTATCTTGTTAGTTGATTGAAAATTACAAAATGAAATTATACAATATTTCTCATTTTAATTTCAATTTAAGCTACCAAATTTCAATCATTGTGAGGAAAGTAAGTCTCCTTTTCTGCACTTGAGTTTAACAAACAGTTAGAACACTCAGGAAAATGAAAAAATACAATTGGGTTTCATTCAAGAAACCATTTGGACATTTCTGATGATTGATTTTTCTAACTTTTCAAAAAAATGGTTTGGGTCAGTATCTACCAACTACCAGAAGAAAAACTGCCAGGACTTTTGTATCTGACTTGTTTAATTTTAATTTTCAATAACATTTTCTTCTTCTTTTAATGAAACTCCAATAATATTCATATTCCTTATCAGCTACGCATTATGGAAGACGATAGGATAGCATTTTCCGACGAAACTAGCTCCAAACTGGAAAAACAGAGGAAAATTATCCAGCAATTGCGAGAAGAAAAAGCGAAACTCTGCGAAGACATCAACGTGGCCGCGTGTAGAAATCAAAAAAGGAGAGACCAAAAAATGTCTGAGGAAATTTACAACTTGATGGATCTTCACGAAGAATATCGTGCGAAGGTCAGAGCTGAAAAAGAAGAAATCGTCGAAATGGATGTCCAAATTAGAAAGGTCAATGATTTTTAGAATTTTTGTATATCATAATAATATGCTCAATTTTAAAACAAAACACCCCAGGGGTAAACCACAGGTCAGTTTTTCTACACCAGATTGCGGTTCAGGAAAAATTGTGGGTGTTTTCCCTGATTTCCCCCTAATTTCTTCTGATTACCAGTAACCTGCGAATGCGTTAGATGAGGAGATTGACTGATTGCCTTAAGATTTCCCCCAAGTGTCTAAATATTTTCCATGATTTCATCTGATTTCCTTATGATTGCCGCTGATTGCCTTAGATTTCCTCTTGATTTCTCCTAATTTGTACAGCCAGAATTTTCTTGTGGTTTACCTCTCCAAAAGACTCTTTAATTGTAATGTATATTTTGAATGTTTATTTTAGTTGGAAGCAGATATAAAAAGTTTGAGACCAAACACTGCTGTAACTGACAACGATTTCCAAACTCGCCTAACTAGTGGTCAGAAAATGGTGCACATTTTAAAAAACAGGCTTGACAATATGGTAAAGAAATTTTGTGCCATTTTAGCTACTAATAGGGAACTCAGAGAAGAAATTAATCATTTGCTGAAAGAACGGTAAGAAAATTTCAATTATTCAACTCCCCATATGTAACATTGGCAAGAATTTTACAGAAATCACTTTAATGAAATTTGTGAAAAACTTCTAAAAGACATTAGTGTAGGTAAAAAGTTCATGGTTGACCTAATTGAACAAGCAACTATTGCATTTGACCAACGCGAAGAATGGTGCTCTAAGCTAGAAGCTCTTAAAAAGAGGGCTGAGGTTGATTACATTCTTCATTCGGAAGTAAGAAATAGGAATTTCGTTACATGGAAATTTAGAACTTTTTGTAGGAAATGAGAGAAATTCAAAGAAGACTCGATCACTATATGACTCTCAGAGAGTTTCTATGTATTAAAGGCCAAAAGAGAGTTTTAAAAGACCTTGAAGAAAAAGAAAGATTGAAAAAGGAAACGCAGCAACAAGAACTAGAGGATCAATTAGAAGTTTACGAGACTACTTTGAAGAAAATTCAGGTACTTATTAACAATGAAAAGTACATAATTGGGATTTTCAGTTCCACACTTAAATTTGTAGACATTTTGTAATGAAGAAGATGTGGATCGAATAGCAGCACTGTTTTTGAAACAAGAAGAGGAAAATTTTGCTCTTTTCAATTATGTTAACGAATTGAGTCATGAAATTGAATCTTTGAACAATTCTATGGAGGAAATTCAGGAGAAAATCGGTAATTATTATTTTCTATATTTGAGTTTCAATGAAAATTACTCTCCATTATTCCAGAGGAGCAAATAGAATTAAGCAACGAAAGAGCAAAACAGCGTCAAGCTACTCTGAGCACTTTACAAAAAGAATTGGAAGCTGTCACAAAACAAGTAATTTGTTAATATGTAGTTTCTATTTTCCAGTAAATAGTATTTTTTCATTAGTCAAATGACGACGAAAAGGGTGTCCAACAATCAGACGAAAATTTGAAAAAAGTGCTTAACGGAATTGAGGAAATCTTTAATATTGTTGGATGCGATCGAGGACCAATATTAAAGTTACTTGGTGAGCTGCAAAATGATTGATTATTGTATATTAATAATGTTGCTATTTTAGGTGATAATGCTGCTATTAATCTTTTTAATGTAAAAATCTATTTGGGAACAATAGAGAAAAGATTGTCTTCAATTATCACTGATTTATATTTTGCAGAAAGATCTGTAAGTCTCTTAAGCATGTGTAGGTATATTTCTATTGATGCTATTTTCTTGCAGATATTACCTCATGGTAAGAAGGTGAAAGGCGTAGCTTCTCCTCATTAAGATTCTGAATAATAATTGCAACATAAACATATAACTAACTAGATTTTTTAATTTTGCACTAATGCACTCAACAAATCAATCAAACCAAAATAAACGACTTTTATTAAATTAAATTAAAATTAACATAATACAATTTGATGGCATAAAATCACAATGGAAAAAAATTAACACTGTACAATATAAATAATAGTTGAAACTTAAAATGCAAATGCCCACTTTTTCTCCCTCAGGGACCTAAAAAAAGGATAACTTTTTTGTATAAAAACTTTCTATATAAAATTAATTTCCCATGGAAACCTGTTGTACATAAATCAGACTAGGTGTATATGTAATTTTTATTAGTTTTTTTTTTTTGGAAAACGAGTGATTGATTTACTTTTTGGCGAACTCCACTCCAGCATTGATGTTCTTTTTCAGTTCGGGAATAGCTGCTTTCAATAATTGTTGTTCGTAGTCGCTGAGATTTCCCAATCCTAAGTTCTTTTCAAGACCTAGAAAAAAAAGTATATCATAAATCATGAACAAATTAATAAAGTTGACGATAATCATTGAAAAAATGCAAAGTACTCACCTTTCTTGCCAAGCAATAAAGGTGTCGAGAAGTATTCAGCTTCTGTAACATTGGAGACTACATAGGCAGGTTCGATAACATTCGATTCTCCTTTAAGACCCCTGAGGAGCGAGTTTGCAAAACGGGCTCCGGCATAAGCCATGGATAAGGTGGCTGATCCAGCGCCAGCTTTGGCTTTTACAACCTCGGTACCGGCTTCCTGAATTCTGCCAGTCAAAGCTTTAAGTTTCTCTTCTGAGAAGCTTACTGATGGAGTTGCTCTGAAATTAATTTTCAAAATATACTGTATAGATTCTATTGAAATGTTGTTACCTTGAAATTAGGGGAATAATAGTGACACCCGAATGCCCACCAATAACAGGTATGTTTACGTCTTTGGGGTTGAGTCCTTTGGCTTCAGCAATAAATGTGTTGGCTCTAACAATGTCCAAGCTGGTGACACCAAATACCCTGTTAGGGTCGAATTTGCCAGCCTAAAAGTGATTATTTAAAAAAAAAAATTAAAGGATTTCAAAGGCACTTGCCTGTTTAAGTACTTCACAAGCAATTGGTACAGTGGAGTTGACAGGGTTGGTAATAATACCGATAAGGGCGTTTGGAGCTACCTCAGCTGCTGCCTTGGCTAGATCACGGACAATACCGGCGTTGGTATTGAAAAGGTCGTCTCTGGTCATACCTGTTAAGATAAAATATTTCCTACAGTCAGTGTTTCAATAAATAATAAAAAGGTACGTTTCTCTAAATCTCTCGACAAAATTATAGAAACGTGGCTGAATTTATTAGTAACCTTTTTTCAAATTCACTTTGATTTGATTTTGATTTTTTCAAATAATTTCAACTACTTTTTTCCAATTTTATGGAAATGCAAATTAATAATCGATAAGTATGTTCAATTTTTAAATATGTATTTTGCTAGTACCCCTACTACCTCTATGATAGATTATGTCTGCTCATCATTTGGTCAGATGGAAACTCTGTGTTCAAATATTAATGCTGGATTGTCTGATCATGAAGCAATATTCTGTTCATTTCTAGTCAATTCCACTAAACCAAGAAAAATCTTTAAACAAGGCAGACTTTTCACTAGGAAAAATTTTAGGAAGTTTGGGTTGCTATGTTGCTATGCAATCAAACAGACAGGAATAGAATATTTTCAACTGAAGACTCTTTGGAGCACTTCCATCTACTTGTAAGCAATAACTTTAACATTTCTTTTCCTATTGTCAAGATAAAGCATAAGAGGCTCAATCTCTGGTACACAAGGGGTCTGAGAACATCGGCTGCTAACTCAAGATCTATGCAATATATAAAAAAGTTCTATAATCAAAATGAAACTTTTATCAATTATAGAATATACCGTAAAACTTATAGAAGAATGGTTAACGTGGCAGAAGGGTTGTATGTACTATGGGAATCAAATTGCAATAAAAATTGAGAATCATGGAAATTCGTAAATAAGTTTAGAGGTTGAAATTCGTTCATGGTTGCCTTATATCTCAGAGCAAATTATTTGAATTTTTTTTACTATAGCATAGCTCATGATTTGTCTAGTAAAATTACATCCTATAAAGAACCTTCAGACTATCTAAGCAATACATCTGTATCTGAGACGGTTTTCCTCTATTCAGCAACATCTGTGGAGATCAAAGATATCTTTAAAAGATTAAAAAATAAGAACTTTTCAGGATGGGATAAAATTTCGTTAAGGGTAGTCGAGGCGCTTCCAGACTTGGTATTGGATGCAGTGGCTGGAGCTTTCGATGATTCCTTTGCAACCAGAAAATTTCCAAATTGTCTTGAAATGCCCCTGATTGTTCCATTGTTGGTTGGTTGGTGGAGATCGCGACCTATCTTCTAATTTTCGACCTACTGCACTACTTCCTACCCTCTCTAAGATAGTAGAAAAACTAATTCAAGTTAGACTAACATCTTTTCTAACAAAGCATACACTTCTCAGTGTCATACAATTTGGATTCTAAGCGGAGAAAAGCACAAGTGAAGAAATTTTTAACTTTTTGGACCATCTATACATACACTTGAACTCAGCAGGAAAGGCTTCGGCGGTGTTCTGTGATCTGTTCAAGGCATTTGATTGTGTAGATTGTAGATCATGGAATACTACTGGGTAAACTTAATATCTATAGCATTAGGAATTTGGCTTTGGAGTAGTTGCAATCATATTTGAGTGGTAGGCCTCAGTCAGTTGTTTTCAATGAGGAATGCTCATCTTCAGCGGAATCTGTGAGTATAGGCGTACCTCAGGGCTCAATTCTTGGACCACTCTTGTTTTTGATTTTCATCAATCAATTTCCAATAAGGGAAAGATTTACAGCGTTTGCGGATGATCAAACAATTCTATGGCATGACCAGAAAGTTGACAGGCTTTCTAAGATTATTCAGGAAGATGTATTTTTGTTGAAAGAATGGTTTGATGCAAACCGATTATCCCTCAATATTTCCAAACTAATATTCTTAATTTTAAAGTGCAACATTAACAACATTCAACTGGAAAATGAAGGTCTCTCAAATCCTGAATTAAATAAACTTCTTAGCTTAACAATAGATAAAAACCTTTAAGTTTTCTGAACATGTCAAAATTCTTAATAAAAAAATTGCTTCTGGCTGCTATTCACTGTAATATCAGATAACCTTGGCCTTGAAATAGCTAGAAATGCCTACTTTTCTGGAATATAGTACTGGGGGTATTGTGCAAACTCCCTTTCTAAATCTGTATTTGTGTTTTGTGTTGCAGAAAAGAGAACTTGTATATAGAGCCAAAAGGGGATCTTTATGCAGGCCACTATTTTTGCAACCTAAAATTTTAACCTTTTGCGGCTTTTGCTGTATATTTATTCTTAAAACTGTATGTGTTGTCTTCAAAAAATGTAATGAGGAGCTGGATAGACAAGGGTAGTATAGAACTCGTTGCCAATGAGTGTTACACTTGCCCATTTCACATTTGACATTAATAAAGAACTCCTTTGTCTGTAACGCAAAAAAAAATGTTTAATGCTTTTCCTACTGAACTTAGGAAACTTACAGGTAGTATGGGCCAAGGAGTTTTTGGTCTCTAGGGCATTTTATAGTTTGGACGATTTTTTTTAAAATGCATAGAATTAAAGGTCCAAAGCATACAAAACTTCTATTTTATTTGTTTTACTGTACTTGGCTTTAAGCTGGATGTAATTAAGTGGCTTTGTCAACAAGTACTATGTATTCAGAAAAATAAGGCTACTTTTGAATTTGAATATTTCAATTAATATTCATATTTCCAAAAAGAATAGTTCAATATTGATTTTCATTTGAGACTAAAAATTACCAGATTATTGATGTTTTTTTTTCAAAAGTAGACTAGGATGTTATTCAATATAGAATACTTTAGGTATACTTAAATAGTTCAGACTTTATAAGCTTGAAAAAAAAATCCATTCATCAAGCATAAGTATTAATTGCAAAACAAAATTTGTTTGGCTACGACAGCGATAAATTTACGCAAATAATTATTATTAGAAAAACTAAAAATTTCTTAATCATCGTTTTGTAATAAATTTTAAATGTGTTTACTGATTAAAATGAGCATTCGAGTAAATATTTTCCTTAATCTTATCAAGTATTTTTATTTATGAAACAAAATTACTTACCAGGCTTTCTCGGTACACCGGCAGGAATAATAATGACGTCAGCATTTCTAAGAGCGTCCAAAAGATTTTCGGGGCCATTGTATCTAATGAAAGAATAAAATTTAATATAAAAATTGTACACAAGACAATCATCTTACCCCTTGACTTTTGAAGCAGTCTCTATGTGAGAAAGATCAGCAGCTACACCAGGAGTGTGGACGATATCGTATAGGGCCAACTCAGAGACAAGGGGGTTGTTTTTCAAGAGTAATGAGAGGGGTTGACCAATGCCACCTGAGGCTCCACAGACTGCTACTTTGTAGTTGTTCTAAAGAAATAATAATGAATATAAAAATACAGATACAAAATATCAAACAAAACAAAGTTGTGTATGCAAAATAAACCACAGAAAGTATAAGTTGCAAAGGAAAATAATCTTTCTACTAAAGCTGAAGCAGCTAGGGAGGTGTTGAACCTTATAAAGATTTTTTTCAATAACAGAATATTCTTTTAAAAAAACAACATTTTGTCTTATATGTTAAGAGTTCCAATTCAATATGTGAATGCGAATATAAAACAGGATGCATGCAGGGACAATTGAAGCTAGTCTAAACTAGACAGGAGAAGATTTTTCTGGAAAAATAGTAATGTAGCTTAAGTAACTTCAACTACCAAAAGTAGCTTGAGTTTCTAAAATAGCTCTAGTAGCTTGTGTTAGTAGCTACCCACTTTTCACAGTAGCTTATGAAAACTACAGCTACAAGCTACTTTTCTAAAAAGCTAGTTAAATTGGTAACTTAACTAGCTTAACTGCAGAGCTCTGACCTTCAGGTAAGTACCCGAGTAAGTACCTATATTAGTCCTAATTATTTTTTTCCTTAGACAACATATTATATAATATTCAGGTATGTCATGAATTTATTACAATACTGTAAAACTGATATTAATGAGAAATGTTATAAGTATGTAGGTATTAAACAAATATTTGAAAATCCCTGTTAAAATAATTCTAAGAACTTTGAAAAAATAAAATATGTAGGTAAGAGATCTACTAAGTAGTTCTTCTCTATATTACTCAGAAAAATTACCATATTCTATTGATTTTATTGAAAAAAATTATACATTACATAATAAAAAAAATTATCTAATGCAATTTTTTCTCGACCAATTTAAAACCGCATGATTCCATCAGGAGTTTTTTAAAAATGGTGCAAAATGAGGTTATAATTTAAGTAAATACCTGTTTGCTGGTGGAAAAGTTCCTGGCCGAAACCATTGTGGGTCTTACTAGTCTGGAAAACATTTTTTCTTGGCTGTTTTTCTACTGGAAAAGTCCCACAATCCACAACCAACTCTGACCTTCTACGACACTAACGTCAAATGTGACTAGTGTGATCGTCACACTTGTCACATTTAAAAAGTGCTCGCGAGTCACCACCACCGTCATCAGCATACAATGTTGCCGATTATTGTTATTTATCCAAATCGATTTGGTGCTCAGTGCTACATATACAGGGCGTTTCCGTTTTATAAGTAAGGTTATGTTTATATTTTAAATAAAAAGGTTTCCATAAACATGGTTTCCGGAAAAATATGTAATTTTCTGAGATACAACAGGGTGTGTTGATATTTATGAAAATGGAAAAATAACTCAGTACGCCACTGCTTTTTAAAAAATTCCATAGATAAAAGCAAAGATAAAAGTGTATTTTTCATTGCCTAACAATGTTGCCCAATTTTATAAAAATACCAAGCGCTTTGAAAAGCAGTGGCGTACTGAGTTATGATATTTCTTTTAATAAATATCAATACCGTGTATCTTAGAAATTACGCATTTCCGGATACATGCTTATGATGGGAACTTTTTTTCTTGGAATATCGTAATGAATCGCATCCTCAAGTTACGAACTGTACTTAAGAGACACCCTGTATACACCTATTCCTTTTTTTCTACAGGATGAAGATTGGTATAGGTGGAGAAAATGAACTCTAAAGATTTTATTCAAAGCGGCATTAGAATGCTCATTTTTTCTTAACTACGTAATTCCTATAATTCTGTTTGATTTTATTTTTTTTTGCACATCCTGGACTGGGATGACGATAAGTAGAATTCTACTTTCATGACGTCAATCGCGTCCTATTTTGTCGCGTAGTATAGGCAATGAAGACGGTTGCTAGGCAACCTGACGTCATGAATTGATATTTCCACCCCTATTTGACACCTGCTTGACGGCCTATCAAGAAATGATGTTGGGGTGAAAAAATAGCAAAATGCTTGTCATAATTTGTCCTGAAAATATAAATCTGTCAGCACGAGCAGATTTTGAGATATGATTTTTTTGATATTTTCACCTCTATTTTGACACCTTCTGACGGCCCATCGAGATATGGTATAAGGGTGAAAAAACAGCAAATGCTTGTTATAGTTTGTCTTGAAAATGTGAATCTGTCAGCACGAGCAGATTTTGAGACATAATTTTTTTGAAATCTTCACCCCTATTTTGACACCTTCTGACGGCCTATCGGGATCTGGTGTTAGGATGAAAAAATAGCAAATCGTTGTCCTGAAAATATGAATCTGTCAGTACGAACAGATTTTAGGTTATGATATTTTCTTATATTTCCGACGCCATGGCCGTTCGGCAGTTTCCGGAAGTTTTGGAGGTTATCTTGGGAGGCCAATTTCACACCGGTACGAAAATGTCACTTTTTCTCCCACGGGAAAAAAGTACCTATTTTTTTTTTTCCACGGGAAAAAAGTAACAGGTACCAGTCAAATTTTTTTCTCAAAGGGAAAGAAGTGTAAGTACGGTCACAGAAAAAAGTGTATAGATGGGAAATAGTGAATCACAGAAAAAAATAGTGTATTTACACGAGGAAAAAGTAAGATTTTAGCGCTTGCTGTGTTGTCTCTGGGTAGGGGGTGAAAATACCAATAAAATGTGTCCCACAAAAACCAAAAATTGACGTGTCTGAGCGATTTTTGATTAAACACCTAACATCTGAGAAACTCTGGGTGGGAAGTTTTCCGTGCCCCACCCTCTATGTCTTTGTCGTAATACTCACAAGAAAATTGTTACTTTTACTTCTTTTCATATTTGGGCCTTACTTCAAGTTATTCCGGACACCCTGTATTTTGTATGTACAGGGCTGTCGTTACGTTACGTTATGTCTTAGACAAGGTCTTGAATGACGTTTATGAACATCTTAGGGACACTTCTAAGATGCCTACAAGAACTATGTATACAGAGTGATCAATATTTTATTATTCCAGGCTCTTGTATAGGAAATCTTTCACGGAAGTTGACAATCGAAAACAATTCCACCACTGTGTATAGATACGGGGTGAACAATATTTTATTATCCCCGGCTCTTTAATGTAGGAAATCTTTCACAAGAACCGGTAATAGAAAACAATTTTACCCAGTGTAATTTGACTCAACAAAAACAAGCCACTGTATAACGATACAGTGATCAATATTTTATTATTCTTCCCAGCTCTTGTTTAGGAAATCTTTCACGAAATCTGGTAATCGAAAACAGTTCCACCACTGTATAAAGATACGGTGAACAATATTTTATTATCCCTGGCTCTTAATGTAGAAATTCTTTCACAAGAGCCGGTAATAGAGAACAATTTTACCCACTGATGTAATTTGACTCAACAAAAATAAGCCACTGTATATCCTGTTCACAATCCGATGTCCACAGGTGCAGGTAAATTTATCACCTTTCCCTATCAAATAGCATTGAAAGGTGATAAATTTTACCTGTACCTGTGGACATTGGATTGTGAACGGATAATATAACGATATAGTGATCAATATTTCATTATTCCCAGCTCTTGTATAGGAAATCTTTCACAAAATCTGGTAATCGAAAACAATTCCACCACTGTGTGAAGATACGGGGTGAACAAAATTTCATTATCCCTGGCTCCTAATATAGACAGAGCCAGTAGTAAAAAACAATTCTATCCACTGTAATTTGACTCATTTTATGTTGTATATTAATGTTATTTGGCTCGGTATTTTGACATTTGGATTTTTTTTGCAATTTAAAATTATGTTTGTGATTATCTCAAGAATGAAAGCTCTGTTCCAACCGACATGAGAACCATTACAGAACCAGTTGCCCACCCGTTTTTCAATAAGTTGAACGTTTATCCTACTTGACAAATGAATTGATCGACTTGAAATTACCGTTGTAGAGCGGTTCTCGTCATGTCGGTTGGAATAGAGCTTTCTTAACTCCTTTGACTTGAGATTATTCCAGTAGACTTATGTGCAAAAAAAATCCATAATTTAATTTTGCATGAAAATATATTTCTCAAAATACTGCTTAAAAGCTTAGTCAGGAATACACTGACAGACTAACTTCATAAATCCTAAACCTATAAAAAATAAATCAGTTAAATAATCACAGTCTATATCTATGTCTAATAATTATACAGTACAAAATCTTAAAATTGAATAAAATAGTTATAAAAAATAAAGTTAGTTATTTTTCACAATAAATCTGCTTTTCTTAAGTTTTGTAGGAATAATTGTAGGTGCAGGTAGTTTCTCTGTATCGGAAACATGTTCATCTAATCTGAAAATTAAACAAAAAATTTGAACTAAACTTGGGAATATTATTATTTGTATATAAGTCTATTTCAACTAATGAACTCTTTATGGTGACACTTCAAAATAATACTGCGGCATAACAACATTGAAGTCTATTCTGTGATCTCACACAATAAATTATCAAATTGACATCATAACATAACATGCTATGTTGATATAATCCAGAGTTAGTATATAATTCATGGGGTTTATAAAATAATTTTATCACAGAACGATTTTGAATGTTCTGTCTTAAAATCAAAATCGCTTCAACTATAGAAACCTTTGCTTTTATTTTTAATTAGAGCTGCTAAATCCCCCAAAAAGAAAAGTCTCATCAACAATTACCCGAGTAGTACTAGGTGTTGATGATATTTAATACTGAAAATAATTCAAAAGTGGTGTTTTTAACTTAAGAATCAGAGCAGTTAGTTACAGGTCAGGATAATTTAAAAAATCACAAAAACTTATTTCCAACAGCCCTGATAATATGATTATGAAAGATATTACCAATGATATTGCAATATTGCAGGATCTTGAAACCTTGTAGCTCTTCGGAATTTTCTATTTTGGTATAAATTAGGACTGGAATTGGCTGGGTCTCTTGGGATTTTAGGAACAATATGACTGGTTATAATTGAAAATAAATTGAAACTTACCTTTGCTTTTTGAATTGATCGTCTTGTTCGTCTGACTCATTAGGATTTATCTGAAAATAATTTTTAATTAAATAAATTGACCACGACTTAATTACAGGTTTGAATTAAATTGCTTAAGGCTAGTTACATTGATGAGATTTGAACATAGTTGGCTTAGGCCTGACACTTACTTGATTTACAGTGGATGTCACTTCTGAATGGGATATTTGTTGGTTCTCACACGTTTCTTTGCATCTGCATGAAGATGTACAAGATTTTTGGAGTTTTTTACAGCCACACTTGGAAGATTTGCAGTTCCCTCTGCATGTGCAGCCACCATTCGATGAACGTTTGGACCCTGCCAGCGAGTCAGATTCTGAAAATAGACATTTGATTGAAAAAAAATCCAAAGAAGGACTTAGGATAGGATTGAAACACAATATTTCAAAATGAGCTTAAAATATCATGATTATGATTTTTTCTTACAAAGACAAATACTGTCTTCTATCAAAAGTAGTTTTATGTATTTGTTTTTGGGAGAATGTTTGAAATATTGGATTCTTCTGTATTCAGATTCTTTTTGGAGTGTAAACTACTTATAGGATTTCGGGATCTTCATTTGGACAAAAGGGAGTTTAGATAAGTTCAAAAACGAAAACTCACCGGCGTCCATAAAATTCAAAGTATTACTTCCTAGCACTATCAGTTTGCTTTTTTGTTCTTTGATTAGGCGCTTACCCAACGGAGTATTTCTCCAATCGGGATCATTCTTGACATCATCCGCAATATTATTTTCAATGTCTTCATCACTTAAATCCGCAAAGTCCACCTGAAAGTTTCACTTATTATATTTGGAAAAGATGACAACGGATATTGAAAAAGTTTGTTTGTATCTTACCACTACAGAGGATTTTTTCAATTTGAATTTTTGTGGTCTGCGGTATTCTATGTGTTGTGGTGTTTTTTCCACCAAATCCTTGAAAGTAAAATCAAATTTTTTAAAAAGATATTGATTTTTTTACAAAAAGAAACATGGCAATGATTTTTATGGTATCTATTTCATACAAATCAAATATTCAATTTCTAGTTGCTTTGAACCTTGCTCAAAGCCATATATTCTTTAAAATTATCGGAGAAAAACTTTTTAGCTTACCACATCATCTGGAGCAGTAAATGTTTGGTCCCTTCGAATTCGTTTATTTGAATTATCTAATTGTTGTGCTGCTGTATCCTGTAAAGTTGAAAAAATGTTTATAATTATGTCCTCTACTTGGAAAATAATTTCCTTAGATTTAAATCTCAAACATTGCAAAAACAATCTCTCAACGAGTTTAATAAAAATTTAAAATACACACCTGGATGGCTTTGAGTTTTTCTTGCAATTCTTCAATCTTTTGTTGCTGTTGTTGTATGGTTGACTCTTGATCCACTATTTTTTCATCCTGGATCTCACATCTGTATAACACTTCAGATTCTGGACTTACATCTGAAACAATTCCTCACTTAGTTTTGATTTTGAAACATCATTTTAGCAATTTCAGGTATTTTGAATTTATATAAGGGTTTGGTTTTTAATAAGAATTCATTGAAACATTTTTGAATTTGAATTTTGAATATTAATATTGATGTGTTCTAGTAGATATGGCCCTGTATAGGCACAAAACTTACCTTTGTTCTTTATGCCTCGCATTTGCTTTAATAAAACGCCCACCTTTTCCTGATATTCTCTTTCAGTATTTGCCATCTGTTCGGCGAAGTTTGCCTCAAGTTGGGAATTTTTTTCCATTACCTGCAAATAACAGGATACATTTAAATAATAATAAACTCTTAATAATTGATAAAATTAAATTCTCAAAGTAGCTGATGAGGCTTCAGGAAAGACAGGCAGATCTCAATAGAATAAACAATTAAAAAAAAAAAACTCACTAATATTCAATTTGATATTTTACCTCTTTATATGACTCTTGCAACTCCGTCATAGCACGTCTAACTTGAACCATTATTTTGCCATTTTCAGCAGCTTGTTCGAAAATGGACCTCAATGCATATTTTGCTTCTATCATGGTTTGAACTACATCAAATCTCACTTTGGATTTACTACCTAAGGAATGAACAAACGAAATTAACCAAAAGTATTTCCCTAGAAATTTTGACATTAGTTAATTTGACTTTAGCAACCATTCCAAAAATCCTCTTGGCTTGATTTTTCATTACAGACACATTTAAAAAATAAAAGATTGAGCAAAATTTACCTTCATCAGAGTCTAAGAGCTTCTGCTGCAATTCTTGGATTTGCAACGACCTCAACTCCAAATCGCTCTCGATACTTTTTACTTCGAGACCGTTTTCCGTTTCTGGATTTGCTTTTAAATCGTCCATCTGTTTTTGAAGAGTAGCTCTGTCCTCTAGTAACTCATCTAACGTAAATTGAGCCTCGGCCAAGTTCACATGAACCTCTAGTTCTTCTCTTAGCTGTAAAATCAATGTCAAAAATTGACGTATCCAGAAATAGTATTTAACCATTTGAATTTGTTTTTTACTTACCCAGTTTGCAACTTTCTCATATTTATTAGAAAACTTATTTTCTTGAACATGATTACGTTTCAACAACATGTTCTGTAATCTTTTACTGAGCGCAGCGGCCTCTTCGAATTTTCTTTTTAGCACGTTCTTCTGCTTTTCATGTGCCACCTTCATTTTAGCCATTTCCGTCTTATTTTTGTTGTCTTGTTGTTTAACACGTGCTAGTTTCCTGAAAAAAAAAATGTGCTTTATTTGTGAACAAAATTATTTCAAATTTATTTTGTTTACCTTTCGCTGTCTTGTTTCAAAGTCCTAAACTTGTCGGCCTCCTCTCGCATTTGTTTGAATAATTTTACTTTGGCGGTTTTGATGCTGACTATTTCGTGATTGAGTTGTCTGATTTTTTGCTCATCTTTTTCTTTAAGCCTAATAAGACGAGATTGTTCTGTGACCTAAATAATAGAAACCATAATGTAATTTTAAGACTATTATGTATGCAATCAGATATTACCTTTTTCTTCAAATCCTTGAGTTGTTCTTCCAGTTCTTGTACTCTCTTTCTCCGTTTTTCAGACACTTTTTGCGAATTTTCCTGACACTTAACATTTTTCAATTGCTGCAATAGTTCATGTTTCTCTTTCTCTAAGTTTTCAATTTTTCTGGCAGTTTCTAGCATGCCTTGTTCGTCAACCATGTACTGAGTATTTGCCTGCAATTGCCTTGCCAACTGTTCTTTTAGTGCCAACTGTTTGAAGACTTCTTGCAGTTGGGAATTTAGGTCCAATTGAACTGTTCTATGCGATTCTTCTTTTTCTTGGACATCTATTGGCATATGAGATGTTTTTGTGGCTGACTGTACCAGAATTTCAAATGTTTCCTCGTGATTTCTTATTGCATCCTGAGTTTTTAGTTGGTCACTGTGTAAATTGTTGAAATTTTGTTGTATCTCAGTCAACTTGGCGACGTTTTCTTTAACAATTTCTAGGTCCTGATTTTCTAACCCTAGGTTAATTTGAGTGCACGCAATATTGAAATCATCCTTAAGTTTCGATACTTTTTCGTCCCGCACTTCATTGGCGGTTTGTAGTATGTGGACTTTCTCGTGTAAACCGGTTTTATCCAACAAGGCTGCAGATAATTGAGCTTTCAGCTCCTGATTGCTGGCTTTTAGGTGATCAATCTCACTAGCAGTGATCATTGGCCCACCTAAAAGGAATAATACATTTATAATTTCGTCCATGGTAACTAATAAAGTCTGAACTCTTGGCACTTTAGAAAATTCAATTACCATCACATTTTTAACCAATAAAAGAAAGGTAAGGGAATAGAACAAGAATTCGCCATCAACGAAGTCAAAGAACAAGCTGGATTCCGGACAGGAAGATCAACAGTTGATCACCTTTTCTGTATAAGACAAATTCTAGAGAAAATGTCAGCCAATAATGAAGAAGTCCACCTATAATTTGTAGACCCGAAAAAAGCTTACGACAGCGTTCTAATGGTTAAACTGTGGGAAGCCCTGGAGACAACAAATATCAATATAACGAGGAAAATTTACAAAAACTCTCATATAAAAATAAAAGTTGGAAACAGACTCTCCAACAGTTTCTTCACAAACAAAGGCTTAAAGCAAGGTTGTTGATTGTCTCCTACACTTTTCAAAATATTTTTAGAAAAAGCGCTGCTACAATGGAAACGTAAATGTAGCAATGTGGGTATCCCGCTTAACGATAACACCATCTATACCCCAAATTCTGCAGAAGATCAAGTGTTAATGGCGCAAGACATTGACAATCTGAAATATATGACCAGAAAGCTAGTTGAAGAATATAGCAAATGGGGACTAGAGGTCAACATAAAAATCTGCCACTGGATAATAATCAAACTATTGAAGGTTGCGAAAAATACAAATATTTGGGAGTGAAGATGTCAAGTAGTAGTATGCTAGAAGAAGCTATTAAAGATAGAAATGCTCAAGGGAGAAAAACAATATCTATGCTAAACAGTGTTCTATGGAACAACCATATCTCTAAAACCAATAAACACCAAATATACAACACAATTGTAAAAAGCATTGTCTCCTATGTAAGTGAAGTATGGCAGCTAAGGGATACACCAAACGTACCCTTGAAGCGACAGAAATGGATTTCTGGAGGCGTGCTGCAGGAAAATCTAGAGCGGCAAGAATAACTAACAACAGAATTTGAGAAATCATAGGTATAAATAGGACAATTGTAGACAACATACAAACACAACAGCTAAAATGGTATGGCCACATACAAAGAATGACTGCCAAAACAGATTCTTCATTGGAAGACAGCAGAAAGACAAAAAAAAGAAATACCTCAAAAAAGTTGCAGAGAGGGGATAGACAAGGAGATAAAAGACTAGGGACTGGAAGGGGATCTCTGGGTGGATAGAGATCAATGGCGACTGGGCTTTGAAGGAACATAAAGCCGATTTGGCAAAGAAAAACCTACCTTGGCCAACAATCTGTAACTGTAAAAGCTTTATCTGCTTCTTTAAGTCATTTATTTGTGCAGTTTTTGGATCTTGATTCACAATCGGTTTGTTTTTGATTTTCCTGGCCCGGTCTGCATATCTCAATGTCGATAAGGTTTCTTCCAAATTATAATCGGCCGGACTGATGCAGGCTATCATCAGTGTGACGCTGTTGCCACCCAGCGAATCTAAAAAAAGAGTAATTATTTTCAGCCGTCAGACTGACTATAAAGTTTCTCACCTTTCAAGAGTCTGGTTAAATTGCTGTCTCTGTAAGGAACAAAATTATTTTGCGATTTTTCGTCGCCCAGGGCGCTTATAACTTTGCCGAGCACGAATAGTCCTTTATTGATGTCGACGCCTTCTTTAAATGTCGTGCCACTTGCACCGGTCTTTTTAGGTCGTTCTGAGCCAGCCAGATCGACCAAATGCAGTTTGGCAGTCCTGTTTTGATGTCTAAAATTTGGAAATTAAATTATAGACAGAATAACTAAACCTTATTCAATTTCTGGGTAATTTATCATTACTTAAACTACTTACTTTTCGACTTTATGTTGCATGGCAAGGTTAACGGTAAAAATTGAATGGCTTCTTGAGCTTGTAGCGTTCATGTTAGTTGATGCAGTGGCTCGCCCGCGAGATCCTTTGATCAGGACATCTAGTATTTGTTGTGCAGACTCAACCGGAATTTCCGTTAAATTCGGAATATGGATGCCTATGAATATTCTATTTTAGGTAAATTCATCTCGCTGACAAAGTTAATTATCTACTCAATTACAACTGGGATGTTTCCCTGCTTCTCTAAAAATCTTAAAAATAATCTCAATTCCTAAAAAAATCAGTGTGACTAGTCCAAATGACTTGAGACCAATCCCAGTTGTATCCAAAATCTATGAAAATATCCTTAAATTACAAATAATAGCACACTTTAAAGAAAACTTGATGTACATGCAGGAACAGTATGGCTTTTGAAAAAAAATATATTCAATCACCCTCGCTGTGACTGACTAGACTAATTGACAAGATCATTGAAAGTTTTGAAAAAAGTGTCTATACAGGCACAGTTTTCTCTGATTTACAGAAGGCATTTGACTGTGTCTTACACACAATGATCGAGAAATTACAATACTACAATTTTCAACAGCCTTCTGTAAATCTTATAGAATCATACATGGGGGAAAAGACTTCAATATGTGAAGTTAGAAAAAAAATCGGAGCAGAAATGGGTTGAGTGTGCTCTGTGCTGGGGCCTATTCTTTTATTGCTGTATATCAATAATATAAGGGTGAGAGCCAGCAGTAAGCTGCTTTTGTTGCTATTCGCTGATGATACATCCGGTACAACTACGGACAACAACTTCATACCCTTACTAGTTAAGTTAAGTAAAATTGCACCCAAAAACCCTGTTATATTCTTATCTCACTGTTTGTATGGACTTTTATTGTGGGGCACTCTTCACATAGCAGCAAAATTTTCAGCCTGCAGTGAAGTCTTGGAGATTATTTTTGGTCTTAAGTATCGCGAGGATGTTGAAAACACCTTCATTAATACAGAATTGATAAAATTGCCTTGATACTATGTGCCTTTAAATCTTTTATGAAAATTGTTTACACTTTCATCTACCCAAATTGTTTAGTCTTTTGTAGTATTTAGTAAACTTATTGAAGATATTTTATATATGTTAAGTTATAATGTTAATGTTAATGTTAGCTTTAGCCTGCTTTGTCGACAGAATTCTATTTTTGACAATAAAGTACATTATTGATTGGGGTGTAAGCGAATATTCACATTCACAATTACTTACACATAACCAGTAGATATTAAACCAGTAGATATTATAACCAGTAGATATTGAACGAACTGTAGCTCAAACTAACCAAAAGTATGCAAACTAACCCAAACTAACCCGTCCACGTAATGCGTTCGAGTCCTTGTATGTTCATATTGAATTTAAAGGTAATTTTTGGGCTCTCGGGAACAGGCTATAGGGCGTTTTTTGATCAAGTTCATTTTTGGTACACATATATAGGACATCAAAAGAAATTTTTCCGAAAAAAAATTGACCTTGACTGTGACCTTGATCCTGACCTTGACCATCAAATTCACGTAAATGGCAGTTTAACGTGCTGAAAACTTGTATAGTGTTGAAAGGCATCTCAAGTAACATATATACCAAGTTTTAGCCTTCAAGGTCATAGACATTCAGAGATACGGCAACTCCGCATTCTCAGTTTGGGCTCTCGGGAACAGGGTAGAAGGCGTAGTCCGATTGAGTTCATTATTAGTATACATATTTAGGCCGTAAAAGGTAACAGTTCAGTAAAGGTCCTTCAAAAAAAAATATCATGCTTCTTCATTATAGATAGTTTAGTTTGATCCCAAAATATTGTTTTATGATCGAAAATGTTGGCGCAAATAACTATGAATTGGATTTTATAAATATTGAATGAATCCTCTTCTCGACCTTTGACACAGATCAATATATAATATCTATTCTTATCAGCCTAATATCACAATCGCTCTGGTTAGCAGATAAAAATGAAAAGCATCATGTGGTAGATATTCGAACTGAAAGAAGAGCTGAGCTAAGTGTTCAAACCATTTTTCGAAAAAAACATTATTGAGTAATGATAAAGCATATAATATCTACTGAACTTTTGAAATTGGTACACTTTAACCGACAATAACTGTGCTATATCAAAACTGATCAAAAATATGCAAACTAGCCCGAACTTACCCGTCTTTGTACTGCGTGCTAGTCCCCGTAAACCTATCTAATCGAGAATTACAAAATAATGCAAAACAACCCAAATTAACCCATTCTTGAAATGCATGCTAGTATCCTTGAACATTTTTATTTTATCTAGCTTGTCGCGCTTGGTTGTCGTTGTTAATCAGTACACTGTATCCAGTTTTAGATAAGTAATTAATGTTCAATATCATGATGTTTCCTATTAAAAGTGTCCAAATTGGCCCACCCTGTAAATAATTTTAGCACGATAAATAGATATTTACGTGAATTTCACTGGTGAAGGTCACGGTCAAGTTCACGGCCAATTTTTTTTTGGGGAAATTTCTTTCAGCGTCCTTAATATGTATACCAAAAATGAACTGCGGGGTTGCCGTATCTCTGAATATATATGACCTTGAAGGCTAAATCTCGGTGTGTGGGTTATTTATGATGCTCTTCGGCGTTATACATAATTTCAGCACGATAAATTGATATTTATGTTAATTTCACTGGTCAAGGTCATGGTCGCGGCTAAGGTCAATTTTTTCTTTCAGCGGTCTTTATATGTATACCAAAAATGAACTCAATCGAAGTATGCGTTCTACCCTGTTCCCAAGAGCCCTAATCATATCAATTTAAAAAACAAAGCCCGCTTCACGCGCTGTGTTCTCAATCAGTACACTTATAACCAGTAGATACGAACTGTAACCAAAACTAACCAAAAATATGCAAACTATCCCAAGCTAACCCGTCCACGTAATGCGTGGTCCTATGCAAACTAACCCACCTTTAAATTGAACCACTTTAAATTATAGATTTTTCTTGAAAACTAATATAATCCGCATATTTTTATATTGAAATCGGTCCAAAAAGGCTAACTACAACATTAGGAATGCATCTTATAAGAAACTACGTGTTGCACTAAAGCGTTTTACCACCATTGATTGATTGATTGATTGTCTTACTTATTTATATTTAGATGTTTAATGTATGTTAAAGAAAATTTGGTGAATACAGCTTAATAATAAGAAACACACAATCACCAAATAAGAACTGCTTCAAGCATCAAGTTACCCCTTACCAGGTTGGAGCACTTTAGGTATAGGAAAAACTACTATGCCCCAATGTTTTAATAAAGATATATCTTTATACAATAGGAACAAACATAATTAAAGCCTTTAAAGAGTACTGAGTAAAAGTTATTAACAATTTCATTAAGATCCTCCCTCATCAGTCATCACCAATCAAAGGAAAGAAAAGAAACTTAGCTTTATCAACAGGTACAGATATGGAAATAAAATAAAATTATTGTAAAAAATACATGCAAATAAACCTATTGTATACAATAATATGCTAGTATAAAATGCCAAAGATACATAAGAAACTCAATATAGAATATTACCCTTACCTTTTGTCAAATCTTCACGTATTTCCAGTATACACTGTTCCTTTGATTTTTCTGACATAAGATCATAGAGAATTTCCCGGTACAATTCCACAAAGGAAACTGTGATAGTGAAGTCAAAAGAAAATTGATCTTTAACAGTGCTGAATATTTCGTGCACAGCTCTAGGAATAACGCCTACATTTTCGCCTTCGCAGTAGGCAGTTCCCATTGAATGGGTTTTACCAGAGCCTGTCTGTCCATAGGCAAAGATTGTCACATTGAAGCCTAGTAATAATAGTAATTAATAGATTAATCGCTATTTCTAGATCCCAGAAGGTTGAAACTTGTCTGTGAATGAAAGAGAGAAGTGTGTATCCTCACCTTCAAATAAACTCTTGAGTAGTGGAGCTACACATCTATTATAAAGTTCATCTTGTTCGGTATTGCTTCCCAAAACATAATTAAATGTGAAGGCTTTGTCAAGGGATTTAAGTACAACTTGTTCGTTTTCAGGAATAACTTCGACGATTTCCTGACATCCTCTAGCAATTTCCGTTTGAACCAGAGGCCTTACTCTTACTGCCACTTTAACTGCAGTTGAATCGACTTTCGAATCCATATTTTTATTGAAAAAAAAAACTACCTACAACGTTACTTCTTCTATTCTTACTTCTTACAACTAAAAATATAATAAAATGATAAGGATAATTTATTCTGCATCAAATATTTAAGTACTACTACAGTAAACAGGTAGGTAGACCATTCAAGTTGCAACCAACAAAAAATTAAAGAATGTAGGAATACAAAAAACTTCATTCTTGCAAATATCTCAAAGACATGAATTTTGAATGCTATTTTATGAAAAAATAGGTAAGTAGGCATGTTTAAAATTTGGCAAAATCCGAGCTAAATAAAGACTTACCTTCTTGTTGAATTAAATTAACACTACTAAAGTACTAAAGGAACAAATACATACGGTTAAAAATTAAAAAAACACAATAAGTATAAGGATATAAATTTAAAATATAAAATTCTTTGGCAGAGGATGGGACGAATGACGAACTGAAGGAAGAAAGGATTCAAATGGCCGTTTTTCCGTTGACCGTTGATCTTGGTTTTAAATGAGGATTTGAAAATGATTGATTGACGTTTGACTGTCATGTGGTATCAACAGTCATATAGCGTTTTCGGTTTTACTGCTCCCAGAACACGACTGTACTTTTGCACGGTTTTTGCTTAACACAACCTGTTAACTTCAAAACACTTTTATTTATTTACGCTTTTAGAAAGAGGGATAGTCAGCATTCATTCGTTCTCAATAAAATCTCAAAATAAAACTATTAAAGTGGAGTTATAACTAAAATTTGTTTTGATGTCACTCTTATCCATCTACTTTCCGTGCGTTCGTTATTTTAGTCTGAGTTCTCCGAGCTTGACTTTACCGTTCGTTTATTCAAAAAGTGTACTCGGTGTATCCTCATTCGCGTTCGTTTATTAAAATTTCTGGCACTTTTATACAGCGTTCAACTGCTCTGTTCGCTCGCTGGTCACGTGGTTACGGCTCCGCTCTGCACGCTCTGCTCTTCGAGCAAAATACCGAACGCAAGGTTTGACGGAGCATGAAAGAGCAAGCATGCGAGATTTGAGACCGTTCTGGTTCTATTGCTCAAGCCGAACACGAGAATGAAAATGGTGACCTTCATTACAGCCTCTGATTGGTTGGAGCTCATACTGATACGTTATACAAAACCGTGTGTGACGGCCTTTAGCCTTCGAAATGCTGGTTGTGTTGTTGGTTTTAACTAATCGCGCTTTCGACTTTTGCCTCAAAACTGCACCCGATATATCAAACAGCGATCCGTAACAGATTCACAAGTCCGGCTTAAGCCTAGTACTCATAACTGCGAAATTCGCATTCTTTTGACATTGCGTTGACAATTTGACGTTTTATGCGTGTATCAAACGTCAAATTGTCGAAGCAATGTCAAGATAATGTGAATTTCGAAGTTATGAGTACTAGGCTTTATGCATAAGCTTTATTCTCAGTTGCGCGAAATTCGCTCTTTTTTTGACAATTGCTTCGACCCTCTTTCTTGCAACTTCAAATTCGATAAATCACAGGGTTTTATCCGTTTCGATTAATCGCTCTCGGAGTACTCCTGCATCTGTAACGTCACCGCCCAAACGAGAAGCGCTAAGCCCTCTGGGAGCAGTAAAGCCGAAAATGTTGAAAAATCGCGGAGAACGTTAAAAAGAATTGGTATAAATATTTAATTAGGTATTTTTTGCTAGTTTTTGTTGATCTGAACTTCACTATTGCCCTAACTACGAACTCGGTGCGAGCGAGCCGTTTTTGTTCGATTTGACATTCGAGTGCGCACATATAAATAGGATTGCTGGGTTACGTCGGAGTAGTGTGAAAAATATTGCACCATCTTCCAAGAGCGACAGTACACCGGTGTGACTCTGTTTCTGACGCCAATCTGAGAGATGCACTGATGTCAACGATGCGAAGAAGATTGCAACTTATGACCACTTGCGCAAACCAATAAAAGGAAGGTTTAATGATAATCAATGCTTAAAGTGACATTTTAACATGTAAAAATGTCACAGCGTTGATTATCGTTAAATCTTTCTTGAATGGTCATCACCATTGCGGACGTCATTAACTAAGTCGTTAGCTATTTGTGCCAGCGGTTCTAGATTAGAATTTAAATCTATGATGAAAAATACCATTTAATTTTGATTAACATCAAAGACAAAAAGGAAGATGCGAACAAGATCTAAAAAGGAGTGGTTTTAGAATGTTAGTTAGTAGTAAACCCAAGTATGCATAAAGCAAAAGCCCCTGGAATCATAACCTGTGGTACTAACAGACTACGTCAAGGCGAGAAACGACATGCTGCCTATGTTACAACTGGTGAACTGGCATGGTGCGGGGCTTTAGATTTGTTCTACATACACAGGCCTTATAGTTGGGGAGCTGGCGTCAAAAACATGCAAGAGTTTTCGCAAGGCGGATATTTTCAAAATAGGTCGTACTTTAGTGTTAGAATGCTAGTGTACTCAGCACTCACAGTTCCGGGACAGCTGGCTCTGGGACGCGGGCAAAGTTGTAATTTTAAGAAGCATCTAAACTGTTTTCTCAAAGCTCAAAATTTATAGAAATTTTGCAGATTATCTGTTTGAAAGTCACAGATAACGTATGTAAATCGTCAGACGTTTAGTTCGTTGCAAAAAGGGGGTCCGACGTCCTCAAAGTTTTTATTTTATGGCATTTTCTTCGGTGTCCTGTCAAAATATATTTTTGCAGGTATTTGACAAATATATTTGAAGAAAATGCCATAAAATAAAAACTTTGAGGACGTCTGACATATTTATATACGATTATGTCAGAATAGAATGTTAAACGGACATATTTCGTCGGAAAAACGGATGCATGAAAATCCTCCCTAACGCTTACTTTCCATGCATTCGTTTTTTTGTCAATCCGATGATCTGGCCTCGTTATCCCAGCTCAGGAGAGGAGAGTCGGCTCCCTGGTCACTAACGCGGCCGTGTGAGCGTGTTCCAGCCTGTTGTGTTTACATATAACCTTGAACCACGAATTCACCGCTCTTTCGCATCTGTATGTGGGTGATCTGTGGTAGTAGTGTTGGCACTTTCCAAATTTAACCGAAAACTTGACCGGTTGAATAGATCGGTAGATGTCAAAAAATTCCGGTAAAGTTAGATATAAACGTCATTTGTTGACCGATTGGTCTTGAATGACGGCAAATGCGTTGCTCATCTGTCAAAGTTACCGACTGGTCAATCGCTTGAAAACCCCCCTAGTACTCATAACCGCAAAATTCGCTTTTTTTGACATTGCTTCAGCAATTTGACGTTTGATTCACGCATAAAACGTCAAATTGTCGAAGCAATGTCAAAAAAGAGCGAATTTCGCAGTTATGAGTACTAGGCTTTAAGCGTTGATTATCATCAAACCTCTTTTAAATGGTCTGTTCTTACAGAAATCACAAACCGGCCGGAAATTTATTGAATGAAATAGTCAGAAAACTGTTTAGGGCGATTTGCATTAATCAGAAACGCTCTGACCGGTTTGTGATTTCTGTTAGAAGAACAGACCCAAAATGATGGGTGCGAACGGCCATTAACCCTTAGATCATACATTAACCCTTAGAGCAGGTAAAGGTAAAGAGTAGTAACATGGAGTTGAAAAATGAAGCCGGTTGCCGTGACATGTTTGACAGAACCAACCGCATTCCGTATAGACTGGTTTTTCAGGAACCAGACATTACGGAACGTGTAACCGTAACCAAGGTTGGCAACGGAACCCAGCCTTAAAATCGACAAAAAAATTAACTCATGAGCACAGCCTGAATCGCAAGGATAACAGCAGTCCATGAAGGTCTGCGAGTGACGTAACCACTATTAGCTGCTGATAGTGGTGACGTCACCCACAGACCTGCTGCCGACTCGAGAACTGACGAACGTACGCCTATTATGCTTCATTCACACTTGCGCGGAATTCACTCTTTTTGCTCTTTCTAGTTCATACGTCGTTTTTTTTTTGGCACCAACACACCACCGACCATTAACCAACCGAATTACCGGATAGAAATTACCAAACGGAACACTTAACCGAACCGGATAGAGTGGGGATAAAATTGTCATGTTGTCAAATAGCCATCATCATCAAAAATTTTCAAAACTTAACCTCGAATTGAATTTTTTTTTCTAGGATAGAAGTACATAAAAATTCTCCAAAATAGGGTTTCTAGAGCTGCCGAAGTGTTTCATTGTAAACGGGCGGAGGATGGAGGGCCTGGAAGAACTGAAAAAGCTCCTGGAGGAATGCAACCAGAGCCACCTTTTAAGGTACTGGAGCCAGTTATCCGAGGACCAGAAAAAGGAGTTCCTCGAAAAATTGAAAAACATCGATTTCAAAGAGGCCCAGCGGATGTGGGAAAAGGCTCACGAGGATCTGGACAAATCCAATCAACTGTCCGATGATCATCTTTCGCCAGTTGATGTCCAGGTAAGAACAAGATAAAAAAAGACAGCTTTAGTACTTAAGTAAAGTTGATTCAGCAATATCGTTGACTGTCCACATAGGAATTGTTTTTTTGATTTCCCATATAAATGTTTTTCTCCTTTCCATTATCCTCATTTGACTTTCCATACGTTTTGGTTTTACTCTAGAAATTGTCTCATATCTAATGTGATATCAGTATTTCTAATATTTTTTATCACAGGGACAGCGTACAAAATCTAAAACGATAAAGTCAGGAAGTCCTGGTTTAGTTGGAAATCACTGGCCAATTAGTGTATAATCATTGATTTAGTAGAAAAGGTAATAATTCTTTATAATTCATCAGGTTGAAAATGATACAGCGCCAGATCTTCTAGAAGAATACCGAAATATCGGCTATGAAGCAATATCAAATAATCAAGTTGCAGTAATCGTGTTAGCAGGTGGTCAAGGTACTCGACTGGGAATGCCTTATCCTAAAGGAATGTGTCCCACTGGAATTCCTTCAGGTAAATTTTAGTTCCAAATTACTCCTTCGAGTATGATTCAACTGACTGCTCCAAAAAACTAGTCTGACATAGAGTCTCCTTCTATCACTCCATAACATGAATTCTCTATGCTTAGAATTTGTAATGTGTAAGTTCCAAAAGCAAATGTCAAAAAGGGAGCTAAGCCTTCTGATGAGTCCGAATAAGGTTGAAACCCATGAAGAACTGGACAGGAAATCTCAGCAAATCATTTCCCAAACAAGGACTACTATGTCATTGACTTCATTTTAATTACTACCTGAAAAAACTTCAAAATTCACCTTGACAATCTTTAAAACTTTTCTGTAAACTTTTAGATTTTTGATACCTATAAGATTGAGGAAGGATATCATTCATCCAAGGTTAATAGTATTGTAAGAGCTTAAAAGCTTTAATTATTTTCAGGCAAATCTCTATTTCAACTTCAGGCAGAAAGACTTCGGAAATTAATGGAACTTGTTAAAAAGAAAACCGGTAAAGAAGGTACAATCTATTGGTATATAATGACAAGCGAAACTACACACGCAGCTACCACAAGATTTTTAGAACAGTACAGGTATTTCGATTTGAAAAAGGACAACATCAGGTTATTCAAACAGACGCAAATACCGTGTTTCAATTTCGAAGGAAAAATATTGTTGGAGGAAAAAGACGGAGTTGCAATGACACCAGATGGTATGTTATATTATTTGAGTTTGGTTGCATCAAAATTAATAATTGGAAATTGTTTCAGGCAATGGTGGCATATACAAAGCCCTCAAAGATAATGAAATATTCGAGGATATGGATAAAAAAGGAATCAAATATGTACATGTTCACAGTGTAGACAATATTTTAATAAAAGTAGCTGATCCTGTTTTTATAGGAAAATGTATTAAGGACAATATTGATTGTGGTAAGTCTCATTTGAATTTGTAATCCATTCAATGGATTTGTTTACACGTTTGAAACTTCCTACAACTTTTAATACAGAATCAAAAGATCCACCAAAATTCCTTATGTGTACTGTGTGCCAAGTCTCTTCAGGAAGTTCTCACAATATGATTATTTCTCTGTCTTGATTGGTTATTATAATAGTAAGTAAATTAACTCCTATCACTTTTTAGGTTTGAAAGTAATTAAAAAAACAGACCCAGAAGAACCTTTAGGCATAGTAGTAAAAGTAAAAGACCAAGTCCAAGTAGTAGAATATAGTCAAATCCCTGAAAATACAGCATCACTGCTGAAGTCGACAAAAACTGCCGAAGAAGGTTTATTTTTTAATGCTGGCAACATTTGCAATCACTTTTTCACTACCGATTTCCTGAAAAAAGTATCGACAGAACACGCTGATGACATGACACTTCATATTGCTAAAAAAACAGTTACCCAAATAGGACCAGACGGGGACAAAATCTGGTCTCCGACACCCAACTGTATTAAAATCGAAAAGTTTATATTTGACGTGATCGGTTTCAGTCAAAACTGCCTTGTCTGGCAAATAGAGAGGTCACAAGAATTTTCTCCAATAAAAAACAGCGACGACACCAATAAAGATTGTTTTTTCACGGCGGCCAAGGATTTGATGGCGTTACACAAAACGTGGGTGGAAAAGGTTGGCAGTGAATGTCAAGGATTGGGGGTGGAAGTTTCACCTCTATTATCCTACGCTGGAGAGGGTTTGAGTCATTTGTCAGGAAAAACATATGAGGAAGAAGACGAATTGAGGGCGGAAAACGAAGAAGACCATTTTTCATCGGACTCGTGGGACTGAAATAAATGAATATTGATATTTTAAGATGTACTTGGAGTGTGATACCAAAGGGTTATTTTACTTGGTGGAGCCTGAATTGGTCTACTAGGAAATTTTGATTATTTTTTTCAGTCTGCTAGAAGTTTGAGGTGGAGATACTGCCACTTTTGATTTAACTAAAAAATATCGTTTTTATCTTTAAAAATTGCAAATTTGAATAATTGTCTTTGGGAAGCATTTGATGTCTGTGAGAATTTGATAGATATACATTCTTCAGATCCCAATTGAAATTTTAAGTGACAAAATAACAAAGTATACATTTTGGATCACACTTCAAATATATCTCCATGATATCTATCCTAAGTCTATGTATGTATTTTGTGATTATCATTATTTGCAGATGATGCCATTGTATTACCTTTTTTTATATAGGTAGATTGTAGGTCTGTTTCCGCAGAAATCACAAACCAGTCAGAGCAAATTTCATTGGTTGAAAACAGTCAGAAAACTAGTATCAACCAATGAAATTCACTCTGGTTTGTGATTTCTGTGCGAATAGACCTATTATGTACTTTATTTTATATGTATATATTTTATTAGAGTAATAGGTACACTTTATTCAACCAGTATTGTTTATAGAAAAATATAAAATACTGTTGGCAATAATTATTATTGTTAATTAAAATATAAATAAAAGTACTATTTTTCACGAATGCCTTGTCCATTTTTGGCCGAGGTCAAAACACTACATCGACAGTTTCACATTGTATTGCCAACATATATCAATATTGTTTGTTATAATTTGCAATTTGGTAATACGTTTATTCGTGAAAAACAACATGCACGCCATTGCTTGTAATAATTTAGTGTACCAAAACTGAACATTTTTACCAATTGAAAATTATTGCCTTTTTTTTCCGCTATAATTCTCAAAGAAATCCATAAAAATAAGAGTGAAATAAATAACACAAATTTCTTACTGTATATATTATAGTGTTTTTATTATCCTTTAGGTTTTGTACATAGAGCCTTACATACTAAGAGTTTATCCTTACTTCAATTAAGTAATTCTCACTTTTTTTTCTTATCTACGCAACTGCCGTTTGCGACCGAGTACGATTCTGGTTTTTTTTGCCCCTACAAAAATTTTGGGCTTGCATTGATTTCAAATTCACAGGAATTCACTTAAGAGCGCACGAATATTGACCGAGTAAATATTTGCAATCTAAAATCAGTTTGCAAAAATAACTATGGTTCCTATGCATGCGCTCCTAAAGTTGGGTTTACATTAAAAACACAGTCTAAGAATCTGGACTATCGCAAACAATAGTCGCCGTTTAAAAGGTAGCCTTAAAATCTACTTTACTAAAAGTATTGCGTTTATATTATTACTTTTTTCTCTAAATTATTATTGTTTATATGTTAAGATATTTATTTCTACGTATATTTTTTTTTTGAGTTTTCCATGTATTTTTTTTCTGTTCAGCAGCTCATTAAGGAGATTCCTTTTTTTATACGGAGGATGCTCTATTTGTACTACTTTTCGGTAAAAAAAAAAACGAAACCTTGCCACGTATCTAAAACACAAACTCCCAAGCTTCTAGAGCACCTTGCGTATTTTCTACCTACTCGTTTTTTTAAAAGATTTTTTGAACACAGTTTTCCGAAAAATCATTAGGTACGCCTCGGACATTCTATCACAAAAAATTTTGGCTTCATCGGACACGAACTTTTGTTTCTGTCTTTCTTAAACATATTAATGATTATTAGTACGAGAAATTGACATAATTTGTGGTGGATAATTTTATATTGACAGAATTTATGATAATTGACATAAACTAATTGGATTTTGTTTAAATACGAAAACTTTGAGATGGAGCAAGCTGATTGAACTGTGTCAATGCAGAGCAGGTCTTTTTTGAGCATTGAAACTAGTGAGAGCAGATAAAAGTTTCAAGATATTCAATTCAATTGTATTTCAAGCTAAATTGACATGGACTCCAGAGCAGCTTCTGTTTGATTGGTTCGAACCAATGCTCCAACCAGAATATAGAAATTATGTTTATCTACGACCTGCAGAATAAGTGACTATTATGTCGCTAATTTTCGCTCATTTGCATTACGTAATGAGCCCTATTACGGCACTAGTGCGGTAATAATTAAATGAATATGCTGCTGCTTGCACCTAACAAAAAAATACCTCAAATTGAGACGGAGATCAAGGATCTGCATAGCAAATATCAAAACAGAGCTGGTTAAAATGCAAATGGACATTCAAGATCTGAAAAACTCATCCTCTAGCTATGCCGATATCGTTTCCAACCTGAAGGAAGAAGCAAAAGCTTTAAAAACTAATGTTCAAGAGTTAAACAACAAGATTACAACCCCAGTTGTGCATACAGTCTCTGGAAATCAGCAGTCGGAGGGAATGCAACCTACACTTAGAATGGCAGGAAAGGGAGGTTAGAGCATTAAATGTTCTTATATTTGGGGCTGAGGAGTCCAGGAGTAACAGTGTTGATGAAAGAAAAGCAAATGACGTGAAGGTGGTTGAGGGGGTACTGGATTGTGTCAGCAGAGATACTGCCAAAAGTAACCTTAAAGTTGTCAGAGTAGGAATCTACAATCCAGAGAAAAGAAGGTCAAACAAGGCGATTTTTCCCTTGTAAAGTGCTTCATAACAAAAATAATCTACCTAAAGAGAGCAATATGTATATAAAGTGAGACCAAACAAGCCTGCAGCGAAGCTACCTCAAGAAATTGTTAACAGAAATGCAAGAAAGAGTTAACCATAGGGGAGATAACCTTAAAATTAAATACTTTAGTGGTCTTCCAAAAATAATTAAGGTTAGACCATCTGGGGTACATGGCCTCAGTACTGACCACTCAAAAAACCAAATGCCCAAGCCTACTCCTCCATATTAATGTTGTGTAACAATATAATCATAATGCGTACATTTATCGCAGTAGTGCGCCGCCGTGCGGTAAGAGGTCATTATTTTTAATATAACCACACATGATAGTTATTTAAAATAGAAAAACGACAATAGTCACTTATTATGCAGGTCGTAGATAAAATGTTGTATATCACACTTACGGTAAAGCTCATTACAACACCCTCGTCATGGCAATATTCCCCCCTCGTTACTGTAATGAACCTCAAAACATAACTATTAAAGTATATTGATCAAATAAAAGAATCCAAAAGTTCCTTTTCTCTTTGTCACCATCAAAACAGCATCTGTATTATGCCATCACATCCTTATTCCTTTGTAAACCCTCCCTTACTATTATTAACCTTATTTTTTATTACGACTACAAAATTCTACATTCTAGAAGTCTACAGCTACAGGTATATAGATGCATTATGATCTAGGCTTATAATATCCTACTATACAACCTTAGAATGTGTATTTTCTTTTTTTAAACATTTTTGTTTATGCACAACCTTGAGTAGAGCATCTCTGGATTTAAGTATATTCCGCGTATGTATAATTATTTTATATATTGTAATTGTATATACACATACAAAAAAAAATACAATCTTCCAAAAAGAGTTGACAAATATGTGACAAAAACACATTGCTATCTTACAAAGGGTGATTAATGACTTTTGTCTCGAGGCATTGTTTAATGTAAAAATATTTTATGAACATTGTAATAGTATTCCAATGCAAAAGATTCTGGATTTCTGGAATAATAAATTTTATTAGCAAGAACCTAGAGACAGTGACGAGAAGATATCTTTGTTTATGCCTTCGATATTTGATATTTTTGAGACTTCCAATTCATCTACGAGTGTCTCTTACATAGTCATGTAAACCTCCAATTTAGTATAACTTTTTTTTCTCACATGACAGGTGCTTTATTCTCAGAACAAGGAAGCAGCGTTCTCATGAGAACACATTTTCTATCTCGGTCACTCACATCAGATTTTGCATACAACTGAGAATGCCACTTGTTCTCATATCTCTCTCCCTCGATTCGAGAATCAGGCACCAGGGCTGAGACTCTATTATCTTCTCTTTTTTTTTTTAAATCAATAGAGAGGGGACGCCAATAAAGATAGAGAAAATATCTCTATTCGTTACAGATTCCCAGCCCAAGGGGATCTCATTAGACTTGGAGAATGTAAACATCACATGTCATACATTTGCAGAAAGGCAGCTCGAGTTGAAAATAATGGAACTTCCAATAGATATTTGTGTGACCTGATTTATACTTGTTATTGATTCAAATTCATGCATTATTTGGTTCCTAAAATATTTCCAACAACAATATTACAAAGAAAAAAACTGGTAAGATTTACAAGCTAATACACATTTTCTTATGCAGTAACTGTCAATAGACAACAAAAAAATAGAATAAAATCTCGTAAAATTTCTTCAACAATAACACGGGAATACATTATTTAGTTTTTTCTCAACAAAATAATATGTACATTTCAGGTCTTGACAGGTACTAATGTATGTGTGTATGTATTTTTAAAAGGAATGCAGGATAAAAATGTTAGAAACAAAAAAAAAAAACATGTGAGATGTGTGGCAAAGTTCATTTTCATATTCAATTAATTTCGGTTTAAACAAAAATGATCAACTAGAAAAATCTACAGTATCAAAAAACATATTTTATCAGTATAATCATAGCCTATATAGGACGTTTTGGCCTTTGAATATTATTATTTTCATACATCATATATTAGATATGATATAAGTGTCCTAATTATCTATTACTAACTTACATCCTACTCGATTAGATTCTAATAATAAATTACTACATATTTTAAAAACCATTACATATTAATAGTTTATATTACAATCTATCTTTTACAAACTAAATACTAGATAAATCTTTGGAAAAAACAAAAAACAGATAAATAATTATTATAATAGGGGGGCTGCTTTGAAAAAAAAAATGGAATAATAGCGTACCAGGGCGTTGCTTAGTGACATAAAATTAGTGATGTTTTAAGACTCATCCGTGAATATAGGCGTGGTACACAAGGGCGCAAAATGTTTATCGAAGTTTGCTGTTATTAAACAACGCCCTACTTGCCACGCCCCTATTTTTCTTAACTAAAAAACGTACAAATTTGGCATTGTATCTTCTTTACTATCGAAATAAAGAAAAAACGTGTGTGCATTATTTTAGGCTCATTTGAAACACTGTCTATTTTTGATCAAGGATTAACGATGGTTTTTATTAAAATTTTGATTCGCGGTTGAGATTTGCCACTCACGCTCCCTGGAGGAGAGAGCGGCATCGTTATAAAAAATCTACAAAAATTCAACAATTATTATCAATATAATATTATAAATGTCACAGCCTAAAATTTAAACAAGAAAATAGTTATTTTAAAAGAAAAAAACAAACTATACATAATTATTATTCGAAAACTAAATGATTAATGAAAAAATTAGCAGCTTGCCTATGAAGAATTAACGAGATTTATTTTTAAATGAAAGCAGCGAAATTGACACTTCTCGTCGTCTTTTTTTGTATTGTTTTCATTTGACAGCTGTCAAGAAATTGACTAGATAACCAATTGACAGATGAAAAAAATCCCTTGAAGCCCTTAACAAATTTTACAGTTTGGTTTTTACAAAAGGAAAAAATAATATCACAAAGAGGTGAGCTATGAGAACAATCTAATACAAGGTGATTTCTAACTGAAGAGTTTGTTTCAGACTTTTAGAAAGATTATTATCAACATTTACTTCCTTACTTTGAGCAAACTATGTATTACCTTAAGGGCCAAATTATGGACCAACTGGTAAGTGTCTAGTTGTTACCTAGCAGGTATTTTCTATTATCATCATAGAAAGTACCTCTTAAGTAACAACCAGACGTTTACCAGTCAGTCCATAATTTGGCCCTAAATGGTTTTGTTTGCTTTCAAAATGTAATTTTGCACACAAACTAAGGAGAAACGTGATATTATAATTATGTATTGTGATGAGATCTCTCAGGCAACTATATTTTCTCAAAGTCAGACAGGCTTGAAAACATTGTTAAAAAGGCGCGTTATTTTAATCAATTCGGGTTGCAAAGGATAAAGCACACCTAAAATGGGATTTTTGGGCTCAATGAATTTTGCCCATTTTTTTATATGTTGTAGAGGATTTAATTCTGAACAACCTTTAAATGGGACGAAGTCTTGTAGGTATTACGGTCTTTGAGATATGAGCGTTGAAAGATGAACTTTTTTGCAACTTTTTGTGTGGAGACTATAAAAAAACTGGTGCTTATCGGTCAAAATTTTGACAGATCGACATATTTCACGTCACTAACAAATGTCAACATAGGCTAAGATCGGGACTGGCCTTAACCTAAATTGGCATTAATTTTTAAGTGACGTAAAATATGTGAACCTGTCAATATTTTGATTGATAAACCAGCACCAGTATCTTGTATACTCTCCACACAAAAAGTCGCAAAATAGTTTATCTTTCAACGCTCATATCTCAAAGACCGTAATACCTACCAGATTTCGTCCTATTATTTAAAAGTTGTTCAGAATTAAATCCTCTACAACATATCAAAAAATGGGCAAAATCCATAGAGCCCAAAAACCCCATGTAAGGTGTGCGTTATCCTTAAATTAAAAACTATCAAATCCATCAATTATACTATGAAAATATTGGGAAATAACCAAATAGTAAAATACATTGGCTGAAATTTGAGTTTTAACTTAACATATACAAACTTGAAAATCACCTTGTATAAACAATAAAAATAATAAAATGAGATCAAAAAATAGCAACTCAAAGTACTGAAAATTAGGTCGAAAAACTGTCAAATTTGTCAAGACCAAGGGACCAAGAAGCTGGCTTGAACTGGCGCGTCTATACGAAAAAGCCTACTACGCGAAAGATGGCAACCATTTTTTGAGCAAGAATCTCACTTTTTTGTCAAGTTTGTTCTGGAACGCCTACGTGTGATCCAAAAACTGGAAATGTCAAAATAACTTTTCGGAATTTCTACATCTAAATTTTCAAATGATCTGGACACGAGATATTAATAAGCAATTTTCCATGCCTAAAAGCCATTTTGACATTTTTATGTATTGTGATTTCATACAATCACATTGTCTTTTTTTTTTAATTTTGTTTCTATCAAAAATCAACAAAATTAGCCGCCTATTAGAGTAATACTTTGTGCTTGTTCAGCTTTACATTTGAAAGAAAATCACCCCAAAACTACTTTCACATTATATCACAGAATAATGTAGCTATTCTGATAGAAATCGTTGCTTGGCGACTTTTAGTTATTTCAAAAAAAACAACGTATCGTAAATAATCTTAAGAGATATAACGAATCTTATAGCCAAAAAAAACCTAGATACCTTATATATTAAATAACAAGTAAGAGAGAATCCTTTAAGTATATTAATTATTTAATATGTATTATACTTTAATATAATAATATTAAGGTTGTATATATATTTCTTATATCTGATATAACCTAAAATATATTAAATAATTTTTATATATCTATATTATAGTATTACTTTTTTTCGTTCTGTATCAATATATCTACAAAAGTTTCATATACTATGAATCTAAGAAAACTGAATATCCACCGATTTGACTTAGCTTCATATTAAAGTTTATGGTAATGGCGTCTCACTGAATTTTATTTTTAAGCAGGAGTGCGCTAGCTTGAAAATCTTCACTTTCAAAATGGCATACAGAAAAGTAACAAAGGGCAACATTTATAGCAAGTGAAAAACGAACCCATTTTGAAAGTAAAAATACTGTCACCCCCCAATCTAAATCCACAAATAAGTAATACATATTGTCATTTTTGAATTTTAAATTATTTTCAATATTTTGTTCACCCCTTCATATATTGCAAGGAAAAAAAGAAAGAAAAGACCAAAGCTAAATAAATCGCATCCCAAAAATATCTTGTTTGTCATAAACTTTCCATTTGAAGTTTTTGATCCTTTCTTTCGTAACACATTCGCCCTAGGCCCCCCAAAAAAACCCTACAAACTAATTACACAAGACATTTTCAATTTTTGTCCGGCCTGCTTTAAGTATCGCATGCATCTTACCATAAGGCGTTGCAATTTACGTATCACTACTGCAATTAATCAGGCACCCAGCAGCAAAACAAATTGGACACTACACCTTTTTATTTGGGGTCGCTTAAGTATATTACCGCTTCTACCATATATATTATTATAATATAATACAAATTATTTTGTCCATTCGGATTTGTTTCACAAGCTACAATCACAACTTAAGAATGGTTGTTGTTTTTTTAGGCTGTTTGGCCGTCGTTTTTTCGAAAATCTTCTTTTTGACGTATCGTCGATTCGAGTGCTCGGCATCTTCACGAGATCTGGTCCCAAAAACGACCGAAGGTGATCTAAATTCAGTTCACCTTCGGTCCTTTGTGGGAACCAGATCTCCCGAAGTTGCCAAGCACTCGAATCAGCAAGACGTCGAGAAGAAAATTTTCGATTGAACGACGGCCAAACAGCCCAAAAAAGAACAACCATATATTTTTTAGATAATATTGTTGTATAAGTGCATTGGCGGTTTTTCACTGGGAAAACTATCCCAATGGACATAGTGAGATCTTTGACTTAGAATAGGATAAATTATTGGTTCCATCAAGAAAAAGTAGAGCTTAAGAAATAAATTAAGGTGATTTCAATTTTTTTTTTCTAAATAGCACACTGATAATTTTCATAAAAAATTTATTCCTATTCTAGATCTAGCCGACCCCAATTATCTACTACGTATATGTATGTATAAAAAAAAAATCACTTTACTGATCACACTTTGGTACTTCTACCTTGGACTAAATATGCAGAGCCTCCATCTGGGCGCCCAAGTCGCCTGAAGGCAGAGGCGCGTCGCCCGCCCCTATTTCGTTGTTGGGATTGTTCGTACCGTGGCTACGGTGTTGCGGTTTGCGTGGACGCCTTGGCGGAGGTCCATGAGTGGATGGCAAAGTCTATCGACAAAAAAATCAATTTAGTTTATGGATGTGGAATTTCAATTATAATCTGTTCATTCAAGTATTCAAGTGCTATTTTTTTAGGAAATAGTCACATAAAGTTCAATTCTGATTGCTTGAGGATCAAATAACGAATTGAAGAAAACTGAAACTGAGAAACTTTGAAAGCAATTGATAAGGAGAGCACTATCTTGAAGGAGTTTATTAGAAAATTGGAAACTATCTCTCTAGTTCTCCAACAATTTTTTCAAAAAAAAATTTGATGTACGAGCTTGTAGGCTCAGAAACCCAGATTTATTTTATGTTCCGTATTTTAGAACAAATTACAGTCAGAATGCAATTTCGGTCAGAATGGTTAGGTCTGCTAACTTACGTTGTACTGACTGTAATCTAGATTTATTTTCAACAAGTTTGATATTTTTTAAAAGGAATCTCAAGTTGAAGCTTTTGGGATAGTTCAACCAATCAATCAATATATGCTTTATTGTAGTTGCCATTGAAACCTATGTGATATTGTCTATGTGATATTTTTTTCTTCTTCTCGGTGGAGTGTTTATTTGTTGAATTATTATTTAGGTATCAACGTGTAAAATGACAAGCAAGGGAGCATATACAGAACAACATTTCGTCGCTTTCTAGTGTCCATCAGGGGACCGTTGGAAGTTATGTCGCAAAACTGTTCAAAGTGCCAAAAGGCATGTGTGCAGAACAGAAGGAGGAAAAAGGAAAACTGTTCGGATATCCCTGCGACTTCTGCAAAAAGGTGATATGCAGCGAGTGTACTGGACTGATGGCACAAAAAATAAGAGTCATCCCAAGCCCTTCACGAGCTACCATGTTTTTCTGCGCCGGATGCAAAGAGAGTAGTATTAAGAATCTTTCCCAGATGAAGGAAAAAATTCAAAAGAACCAAGAGGATCTTGAGATAATAAAAAAGCAAGGTGATAAAACCACAAAAAGTCTGGATGCTCTTAGAAATGACGTTGACGCTCTTATGGTATCAATGAATAGAAGGAGAAAGGAGAATGAAACAACAAAGAAGGATATTTCAGAAATAAAAAGTGAGATGCGTCAAGTAGATAAGAAACTGCGAGGGACGTCATATGCAGATGCACTAAAAAAACTGGAAACGAAAGTGGAGGCATTAAAAAAAACCAGATGACAATGTAGGAGTTGAGCTTACTCTTAATGAGATGAAAGAACGAGAATATCGCGCCACCAACGTGCTAATATTCGGCATGAAAGAGTCAGTCAAGGAAAACCAGCAGGAAAAAGCCAGCGAAAATAGAGAAGCAGTGATGAGGGCATTTACAAAGATGGATTTGAGGCTCCCAGAAGCAGCCAAAATGATAAGACTAGGCAGAGAAGATGAAAACAAAAAAAGACCAGTAAAGATTCTACCAAAGTTCTACCAACGAAGGAATTACCACTACTGCAGTCTCTAAAGTACAGAAAAATTATCGAAGAAGAGAACAGCGGCATTTACACGAAAAGCGATCAAACAGAAGCCCAGAAAAAAAATTTGAAGGAAATATTGGGCGAACTGCAAACTCGAAAGCTGGCAGGTGAGGAAAACATTAAGATCAAATATGTCAACCAAATACCAAAAGTCGTTCCAATAGCAAAAAACAATCTTGTCCTAAGGCTGGGCAGGTCCAATCAAGTCTAATGGAAATTACCGTATTATATACCAACGCAGGATAACTGTTCTCGAAGCTAGATGAGTTTCAAGCAAGAGTAAAGCAAAATATGCCTACTTTGATATTTATTACGGAAACGTGGACTAGTACGCAAAACCAGATGGGAGGCGAAGTCATCATATACGTGAAGGAAAAACAAAATAGGCAAATTTACGCAACTCTGAATAAATCGTACATGCAGAACAACGCAGCAGGAATTGAGTCAACATGGGTAGATGTAAGAATAGGCAAAGATGAACTGCTCTTGGGATGTATATACAGGCGTGGAATAATAGGCATCGAGGAGAATACGAACCTGATAGAAGTGATAAAGAGCCAAGAAACAAAAAATCCTATAATATTTGGTGATTTTTTCAATTACCCAGAAGTAGATTGGAAAAATCTGACTCTTACAGGAAGACAGAGAAGCAAGAGACTTTTTGGACGGCTACAAGGAAATCAATTTGAAACAACTCGTCACTTTTCCAACAAGAGCAAGAAACCACATAAAATCACTGTTGCTGCTTGTGAATGACAAGAAGCTAGTTTCTTCATTGACACCAGAGGCACCCATAGGGCAAAGCGACCACAAAGTAATTAAGGCAGTGATACAAATAAGATTGAGAGAAGAAGCTACCTACAAAACAAAAAAAATAAACTTTTGGGGAGCCGACTATGATTCAATGCCGAGATATTGCAGAGCTGACACTTGACACATCATATGAAGCTTTTTAAAAAGCAACGAGGCAAATTATTGACTCACGAGTTCCATTCAAAACAGTGAGAAATAATCACTGAACTCTAAAAGCACCACAATAACACTAAGGGATAAAAGAACAAACACACTGATAATGGAGCCTCAAGAAATAGCAGAAAAGTTCGCAGAGCAATACAGCCAAATTTACACAAAAGAAACTCATAACTCTCCACCTACAGTTGCAGATAACCAAAGAATAAGAGCAAGTATAACATCAGTTGACTTCACAACCCATAAAATTGAACAGGCAATAGATAGCTTGAAGAAGGACGCATGCCCAGGATTGGACGAAATTCCACCAATCTTTCTGAACAAATGCACAGGTACTTTGGGGCACAAGTTGGAGCACCTAACGACTAGATCAATGCGGGATGGGAAACTTCCCGAAGACTAGAAAAAATCAGTAATAGCTCCAATATACAAGAAAGGAGATAGGCATGATCCCATCAACTACCAATCTGTTAGTCTAACCAGCTGTATTTGCAAAATAATAGAAAAAGTCATCACAAAGGAACTAACAGACTTTATGACTGCCAATAAAGTGATACCAGATAAACAACACGAGTGGAGAGTGGTGTTGTTCAGGGCTCAGTACTGGGACCTCTGCTGTTCACAATATTTACCAGTAATTAAGTTGAAGCGATTTCTAGCGAAGCACTGTCAGATGACGGAAAAGTTTTTGGCAACCCCTTGACTGACCACCTCATCATTACAAAAAGCTTAGAATAGATAGTTAGTTGGTCTAAGAAATGGCAGCTTCCTCTGAACCACGACAAATGTACTGTCTTACACATAGGAGTTAATAATCCAAAACACATATACAAGCTTAACCAGTAACAGCGCAGAGAGACCTTGGAGTAATAGTAACACAAGATTCAAAATGGGACGTGCATATATCGAATATCGCAAAGAAAGCATATTTCGAATAAAAAAGGCAATACAGGACCAATCAGAAGAAATAATACTGAAACTATATAAAATGTATATTAGGCCGAAGTTAGAATTTGCACACTCAGTTTGGAATCTGTATTACATCAAAGACATTGAGATGCTCGAGCGGCTACAGAGAAGGACCATGCATGTATCTTCGATCGCCAAAACCGCTCCTCAAAAATTGGGGTTTTTGTTTCGTGAAAAAGGCTTACAACACTCTGAGAAAGAAGGCAAAGAGGAGATCTGATAGAAACATACAAGTGGACCAGTTCGTACTATAAAACCGATAATATCTATAGAATCAGCAACTCTAGGGTACTAAGAGGGCAGTCAAGAAAGCTAAGCTAAGCAAAGCTAGATGGGTGTACATATGGAACAATTTGAAGGAAGAGACAGTGACAGCTAGTAGTGCGAACACATTCAAAAATAGACTGGACAGGGAAATAGCTATTTTTCCATTTAGCTATTAATGGAAAAAACCAACTAGTACATTATGGACCTTAGATTATTTATGGACAATAAACAAAATGCAGTGTCAGTATAGATTTCTCATTGTTAAATGAAAGGACTGTACTCAGCAGCCAAATTCGAGAAATCAGAATTTTTCTGGTTGCCGTTCATTGCATTCACGCTTAGAATTGACAAAATTCAAAAAAGCTCTTGGTCAGTTGAAACATGAAAAGAGGAAGAACTTACAGGGTGAATTGAAAAATGCAAAGCCAAGCTTAAAATTGAAACTGCAGCGATTCAAAATTCAAAAAGTATCAAACATTATAGAACTGCAAAAAAATATTGATAATGGTAGGAATGGGTTTGTCACTGCCAGAAAAACAATTATGTCTTCTCAGCCACTCCAATCCTTAAAATTGCTATGCACCTATTGGAGGAGAGAACTACCTCAAAAAGTTTTATTGGAGTGAAGTTGCAACAAATCATCAGTTGACCTGTCCAAGATTTTCGTTAATTAGACTCAGTTCTAATCATAATAGGACACAATATAATTTCTGAAATACTAAAAAATATGGGACTGCACAGGCACAAGTGTTAATAATTGTCGAAATGTTAAAATAAGAGAGCATTCATAAACAGTCTACCTGCGTGTGTTGCGTGTTGTGTTGTCCGTTGTAGAGCCGACTGAATACCCTGCGCTGTTGCGGAGGATACTGGCCGTTCGTCTGATGGTACACACTAGGCCCTCTTCTAAACTGCGTCTGATGCTGCGGCTGGTGCGGTTGAGGTAGGTGATTCTGGTAGTGAGTTTGATTTTGGTGACGAGGTGGGTGCATGTTGCAGTGTTGCTGATTAGTTTGCGGTGGCGGCGGTTGCGGAGGTCTACGTCCCCCTTGCATCGAGGCCGGATCTTTTACCTGCTGATGGTCCAGCGACAATAACGACACTACAGGAGTGGCGGTATTGCGCTGCTCGGTAGATGGCGGTGTTGCCGTCAAGAATGAACGCGGCGTGCCGCTCGCTTCTGGACGTTCCATAAAGAAATTTTCCTGCTGACCAATACACATTTTTGTTTTACACAAGCCTAATCTTGAGTAATTTCTTGTATAATCAAGGCATGCATTCCACTGTGTTTATGTGTACATTTAGGAATCGAAATAATTAGTGTAAAATCTTACCTCAGTCATGCTAAATGGCGCTGTTGTAAGTGGCCCGAAATGTCCCATGGCGGCGGCTTGGTGTGCCATAGGATCATAAGGTCCATCCGCTGATGCGTAAATGGACCCGGGCGCAATTCCGGTGGGGTCTAGTGCAGGGTGATACATATGGTGTGATGGCTGAGCGGCGTACAAAATAGTTCCTTCAGTGTGACCGGGGGCTGGACCGTAGCAAGGTCCAGCCCTCGGTAGGGTTTCGCTGCCGTTGCTGGCGGGCCCCGAGCTACCATAGGGCGAAGGCACGCCGCCGTTCACCGAGGCGGCCGGGCCTGCGCCGTAGATGGCATAGTCGTACTGGAAAATTAAAGCAAAGTTAAGAGTTTGGAATTATCTTGATGAAGTTTACCATGCATGTGGGCAAACGAAAAGACTGGCATATTTGTTAAGTTATCACAATGGGCGCGTTGGTTGAAAGTTGTAATCAATTTGCAAGGGGCAAACCACCTAGGAATTATTTGCCGAAACTGTGGGGAATTTAGAGAAATTTGTGGGGAGCTTATGGGAAATTGGAAGAATGTGTGAAAAATTGGGGGAATTTATTGGTTTTAACACTGAGCGTAATAAAAATAGAAAAATACATTTCTTATCACGAACAATTTTGGGGATTTCCAGAGAATTTGTAACAGGCATTTGCAGGGAATTTGCGAGCAATTTGGAAGAATTTGCGGGAAACTTGAGGAATTGTTTGCACAAATCCAGGGTGGTGGTCTACGCCATAGACCTTGTTCACCTTGGTAAAAAATAAAGTAAAAAAACCTCGAGAAAACTTTGGAGCTTAAACAGCTAAAAACTATCCAAGCTACATTCACTAAGGGTTTATAGGGGCTTCAATTAGCTTTATTTCAAGCCTAATTATGTTAAAATCGGATGGAAATTAACAAAAATGTGAGTATGTAGGTTTTTGTAGAAAATGTTTCAGATACTGGATTGAAATTTTGCAAGTGAATAAGAAAAGAATGAAAATTAGAAAAAAAAAAATTCTGATTGTTCACCTTCAAGGCGCAAACCACCTATGAATTCATTGCTAAAACTATGGGGAATTTATAGGTATTGCAGGGAATTTGCGAGCAGTTTGGAGGAATTTGTGGGGAATTGTTTGCACAAATTTGGGGTGGTTTATTCCTTGTCAATTTGGTCTTTTGCCTTGGAAGTTGGATATTTTGTTCATAAGAGCTTTAAATACACTGTGGTCCGCAATAAAGCAGTCAGTACATAATCAGATAGCTAAATCCTGGCCATAAATGAGTAAAAATTACTTGATACTGACTTAACTTTATAAAATCAGACATTAGACGCAAACGGAAATGTAACACAACAAAATTGTCTTCCATTCGAAATTATGAATTTCTATTAACAAATATGCCCAACTAAATAATAGGTGACTAAAAAATAACCGCAGCCATTACAGGATAATGTCATTCCAAATCAAATATAAAAAAAAGCAGCAAAAATAAATAAATATCAATGTATAGTGCCCATAATTTACCTAAAAATCCCCCAAAAAAAAACCAGCTAAATTATTTAAAAAGTGAACAGACAATACACATAAATCTGAAAATAATTACGGAGCCGAACCTCAATATTGAAGCTGGGGCGCGGCTCCTGCCGCGTCCAGCAGTACGTAGGCTTGCGGGGGCGGAGGGTACAGCCCCGCCACTGCGCACTCTAGTGGTCCCCCGAGACACGCTTGAGCGGACTGCAGTTGGTGCATTGGAGAGACAAGAACAGACAAAATTTTTGTCAAAAAAGGGACAGTTTCTTCATCAACGGTTATTTTTGAATGCAGTATGTTATTTGTCTTAACAGTGATAAAGAAACTAGCCCTAAATGGACGTTAAGTTAGCACAAGAAGTTATTCGAACGAGTGAATAATTATTAAAGGTGTCTATTATAACAATTAACAACAAATGATTAGTAAAACCAAAAATTAAAAAAAGAGGTCCAAATCATACTTATAAAGTGTTTTTTTAATAAGACAGCAATTTTAACTTGTGACCTCTTTTGAAAGAAACCTCCTAATAACAGAGTAAATTTGAAACCTACCGGCATCATTGTAGGATACTGCTGTGGCATATAAATTGTCTGCGGGAACATCATAGAGGCATAAGGACCAGCTTGCGGAGGCCCTGTTTGTGCTTGGTAAACTTGTGGTGCTAAAACAGAGAATCAACTGAATTTCTAGAAATGTTTTGTAGAAAAAACAGGAGGCAGTTTTCCAAAAAAAAAAAAAGATTCTTACTTTGATACACAGCCTGTTGCGCTGCAGCGACAGCAGCTTGCTCCTGACTAGCCTGCGACACTTGAACCGGCGCTTGCGCAGCTGCCGTGCCTACCATAGGAGGCGCGTAATAAGCGGCAGCTCCGGGATAAAATGGCGGCGCGCCGCCGAAAAAGAAGGGCGGCATGGGTGGCTGGAGAGCTTGGTGTGGCGCTGGAGCGGGTGATCTACCGTCAGATGGACCATGAGTATCGTACGGAGGAGCTGTAGGGGGTCGTCCGAATGGTTGCTTTTTAATAGCTGGCGCAATATTGAGGCGTCGATCGCGGAGAACTATGTTGTCTTGGAGCAATGGGCGCCGAGCGTCGTCCTAATAAAATTTAATAATTTTTCTCAAAAACAAAAATCTTGCAAGATATTTGAAAAATAGTTTGAAGAATAATATTTCAGAAATTATAAGTTCAATTTCATTGAAGCATATGATATGTGATTTAGAAAAAGATGCTTTCAAAAATATGGTTGGATATGATACAAGAAGGTTGCGTTTTTACTGCCATGAAAATAAGAACAAGCTGACAATCAGACAATCCATGAGTGGATGTCTCCATGAATCCCATACAAAGCCAATTCATGTGCTTAAGTTTAAAAATTCTGCTTCAAAGATTTTTGGCTAAATCTAAAGTTAGTGTCAAACTATAGATTGGAAGTAAACTCAAAACATTTTTCTAGAATGTGCTGTATAGATTTCAGGCCAATAATGCCTGATTTATCGAAACTAGTTCAATTTACATGGTCCTAAACAACAGATAAATAGGTATAGAAAAAGATTAGATAGAAACATACTTGATTGCCTGGGAAATATACATAAAGTTGTATATGTGTTTTTTTTTAAAAAAACTAAACAAACTTTACAGTTTTCAGAACTTGCATTACAAAAAATTCAATTACAAAGCCAACTAATCATTGCAAGCGCAGCAGTATTTCGGCTTCACTTATCTCACCTTTTCATGTATTTCACCAACGTCTTCGGACATATCGTCTTTAATATCTAGATCAAGCACCTTTTCACTTAACTCTTCCATATTTCAATATTAAAGTCACAAATATTTTGAAAAGTATATCAGAAAACCTTTGTGATTTTTTTACATCAGCACACAATAATTATTTAGGGCGTTTGCACTTGTCATTTGTCAAGCAGTCAAAGATAAGAGTAGCGATTCCTTTTTTTCAACAGTGGACCAACTGAGCTTTCTATCTGCGTTTAATATACAGACAAAGCTCGAAAATAAGAAAGACAGATTGCTATTAGGCAAGTCTAACTTGATTTGGAACGTTTTGCCTTGTCTTGCGCACTGAGAGTTGCTGCGTCTTTTTTTATCTAATGAAGTTTTCGTATTCTTCACCTCTTTGTCTGGTAAAATAGTAGGTGAATCACTCATAACATTAGTTAAGACAGCTTTGCCTCAAATATTGTATTTTGTTTTCAATTTTTAAAATATTTTAGTATCATATATATTCAATATGGATACGCCTCAACTGAAAATCTAAGGAAATACGTACCTCGCTCTCAAATGTGATGAAGCCGTAGCCCTTAGACACACCGGCGCGGTCCTGAATAATCTTTGCGGCTTTGACAGTGCCATAAGCTGAGAATAGATGCATCAGTTCGGCTTCCGTTGTGCTGGCCGATATGCCTCCAACAAAAATGCGGTTCGGCACCAAAGTACCTGAGTCAGAAAAAGAAAAACAATTGTTAATCACTGTTAGTGCTTACAATAACATCAACAATTTCTTATCTTTCATTTAACCAAAAACTACAACTATAATCTAACAAATTTAAAAGTGAAACTTAAGTGAAAATTGGCCAAGACTTGCAGAAAAGATCGAACTAATACTGAGGAAGCTTTTTAATCTACCCAAAAATAGAAACCTCTGCTCAACAAAAACCTTCAACTCATATATGAAAACATAAACAAACTTGAATTTAACGACTTTGTAATTTGATATCCCACTTGACTTTATGCCGCATTCATCTAAAATGTCAACACATTAAAAAGGCCAGTGTTACAAATTTTATTGGCTTTTGAAATATGATTTTAAGAAAGAAGTGATTAGTGAGTTGTCAAAGATTTTAATGGGAAACGATAAAATTAAAAGTTATGAGGAGACCAACAATAATTGTAAATAGTAAATCTCCTAAATGAGAATACTTGAGGCCAGTTAAGTACTTTTGCTCTCGTTAAAAAATTTGACTGTATGTGTTTAGAATTAAAATCTGGATTAATTCAACAGCAAGAATATAGGGGCCCTAAGATAAAAAAATCCAGGAAGCACAAATTTGTATACTTCTAAGGTAAATAATTAAACCTACCATATTTTGGCGCATTTGTCATCGGTGGAGGAGTAGGCCCCTGTCCATTGGAACCATTCTGTAAAGGCGTTTCTGAAGGCGTAGGCACTCCCGAACTTCCACCTGACAGGGGCTTTTTCCCGCCTTGTGTCGTACCGCCGTTAGTCTGTTGCTGGAGGGCGATTTGCTGGGGTTGCTGTTGCGTCATTGTGCCTGTACTAGCGCCAACGCTGGACATGACCGGTTGGGGCAGTTGCCGTGCAACTATTCCTAGAACAAACATTGGATAAGGCAAGGTTTCTTCATCCTAAGATATTTTTTATTCCTCCTTAAAAGTTCCTGATGTTATCAGACCAATCAAGGTCAATTGAAATATTTTCTTTGTGAAAGGGCATTTAAGTAAAGATGAGTAATTGCAATAAAATCTTTAAAACAAGCGATGGATGGACAAAAACTTGAAATGTTTGAATATTTAATAGATTATTAAGCCTTTTCCTGTTCCTATAGAGAACCAAAAGTAGGTCAAGGCAATTAATAAATCCAAATAAAATCAATCTGATCTACTGACTGGTTTGTAATTTTTTCTAAAACAGGACAGGAAGTGGATTTTACACCTAATTGACAGTTAAGTTACTATAGAATTTTTCACAAATTAAGTCCAAACTGAACTTGGTTCGTGAAAAATGCTATAGTTACGATTAATTTGTATAGAAGTTGAAATTTTTTCAATTACTGCTCTCGAACGATGATTTTCTCGCTACATATTTACACCGAGATTTTTATTGACTTTTTTCAATGGCCAATGTTTATTAGTACGTCGATTGCGTATTTGTAATTTCCAGTAATAAGCGAATATGACTAAATTTGACCGTTATCTCTACACGTTTAATTAGGCATTGTTCAAGATTTTTATTGATTTGTTGACATGTATAAATGTCTTAGATTGTATAGGTATTGGCAAACATAAACCATTTGCTTCGAGTTTTTTTAAAATTAATCAATAGTGTTAAATAATTTGAAATTGATTAATAATAAGTAAATTGGCAATATTTTCATATTCCCTCAATATTTAGCTATTAAATAAATGAACCCTAGGACAAAAACTAATTATTGTAGATGTACTAATTAATTGCAGTGAAAATTATATTTATTCATCAAACTAGAAATTCTTAAACTCATTGTTTGTTGTAGACCCAAATTCGCCTTTAAAATGTTAAACAAGTACATTTGAAATATTTTTTTAGAGGTAAGTGCAGCATACAATAAATAAAAAATTGAAAAGGTTTTTCATTGTGGCAGCCTTTACGTTCCATATATATATTTTCGTTCGGTAAAGTATCTAATAAATGCCTGAATAAATGTTTGCTTGGAAAAAGCTTTATCTTGTAAGGGTCACTAAAAAAATTGGACGAGGGCCAATTTCGTTTCCTGGACCTGGACCAGGAATAAAAAGATACGGTAATAATTTTATATGAAGTAGCTAGGACATGTTTTAAAGTTTTAATTTGTAAAAAAGAAATAAGTTAACTGATACTTATCTTTTCCCAGATTCATTATCTTATTCACGACCATGATACACTGTCAGCTAATGACTGATTTTCTCTCTTCAAGGATTTCAACCACTGAAAATTATGTCAGTGCTGAGCTCAAAAAATGAAAATTTAGCGACCAGACGTCTGCTAGAGTTATAGAGGATTACACTTTTAATAATTGGTCAAGATCTGATTAAAGTGAGGCAAAATGTGCGTCGATGTCATCTTAGAAAAAATCAAAGTTCCAAAAAAACGACCTTGAGGGCATTTTTTTTTTCTGGAGAAAATATTTGAGGGATGGGATTGTGATTTTGCAAGTGGATAAAGAAGAGATTGAAATTTATGAAAAACTGCTTGCTCACCTTGATAAAAGACTTTGAAGCATGAGAAATCATTGAATTTGCATTGAAACTAAAAATTTATTGAGAATATAATTTGCTTCAATTTGAGCTTAATTATTCTTATGGCATTTCCGAATGGTAGATTCAGTGCGCACTGAGTGTATTTGCATCTTTTTAATCGACCTGTAAAAGAAAAAAACAGAAATAGAAAAAATTGCACTACACCTTTTCCATGTGTAATTGCGAATATATCACTTAATTTTAGGAATAGTAAAATAATATTGGGAATAAATCAAATGTAATTGAGAATAGTCACTTGATATTGCGAATATATTAAATGTAATTGAGAAAAGTTAAATATAATTGCGAATACATCAAATGTAATTGAGAATAGTTAAGTGTAATTGCGAATAAATCATATGTAATTGGGGATAATCAAATAAAATTAGTAATAATTCAGATGTAATTGAGCCTTTTAATTTTTCAATCAACATCTGTATGTTTTTGCTAAAATAACTAAGTCTGTTGTTGAAGAAAGCTTTCGTTTACATATATATAGGTAGTTTTGTGTCAAAGAAAGGCGACACAAAAATGGAATTTCGCAATAATTGTGCTATATGCAGATCAACGATGACGAGAAAGAGTCGCAAGAGAAAATATTTGATTAGGTCTTAATTATATTTGATTAATTCGCAATTATATTTGACATATTCCAAATTTCATTTGATTATCCCCAATTGCATCTGATATATTCCCAATTACACTTAACTTTCCTCAATTACATTTGATATATTCGCAATTACATTTCACTTTTCTCATTTACTATTCAATATAGTCACAATATAACTTGACTATTCGCAAAATCAATTGATAAATTCGCAATATGAATTGCTATATTCGCAATTACATGTGGAAAAAGTGTAGTTCTGCACTAGATCTACCAATCGGAAACGCCATTAGATAAGATTGAAATTAACAAAGTCAATGTTGAGGTCAACGTTGTAATGGAAAAAATACATATTCAAAAAATGAGGTTGACGGACGTTTTATTCTTTATTTGAGGAAACATCTTGTCACATGAACTGTGCGCAGAATTTCACTTAGAATCCGAATTAGGCAATTCAAACCACGTGACATTCAAGATGGCGTGGCGGCCACACATGGGCCAAAAAACACAAAAAAATATCTAGTTTCTGCCCGAATTAATAGTTTAGGTACCTAGTCAAAAAATAGTTTTTCTCCAAACGTCAAAAAAACGCCACTTTGTTAATCTCTGTCAAGATGTCAGAAATTTAATTTCTATGCTGGTAGGCAAATCCAGCAGGTTAACACCTGTCGAGGTGGTAGAAATTTAATTTCTATGCTGCTTGGCAACCCCAGCGGCAGCAAAAGTACTTTTAGTGCCGCTGGAGCGGCAGCAAAAGTACTTTTAGTGCCGCTCGTACTTTTACTGCCGCTTAACAATTCAGTTACCCCCGAGCTTACCCCATTTGTTTGGAGAAAAAATAGCGTGTTGCACACGGAGCAGAAGCACTTTTTTGTGCTTCAGCAGTATTGCAAGCCTCACTACGTTCGGCTCGCAAACCTACTGCTTCAGCACAAAAAAGTAAAGCTTCTACTCCTAATACAACAATATACTATTATTAAATAATGAAAATCAAAGTTGTAAGCGAAACTGTATACAAAATAATTTAAAATACGCATAAAAACATATTCAAAACAAACTTGCTTGGCCGCCACGTCACATTAAATTTTCCTTTTTGACAGATGGATTGAATTGCCTAATATTCAATAATATACAGGGTATTCCGAGGGGTGTTTCACCCACTAAATTTTGTACACCTAGGGCCGATACTTTTGCTGTCGATTAACGAATTTGATACGTGGTCAAAGTTTTGCATGGGCCAAGGGCTATATAAGTATGATGTGGTTAGAACACATTCAAACCCCTGATTATTTTTAACGGCTGTCAAATGAGAGCAAAGTACCGGCACCTACTGTATTTGACTGCATTGATTACATCAAAGATGATAGTTGACTGCATTGACTTTTGAGCAATATCCAACAAGATTGCAAACTCCACTCGCAGAGACTGCTTACGATTTTTTGCGAATGTATATGGAATGTACGCTGCTACATGTGACTGCACGGAGTTTATTATGATTGAAAGCGACCGTATTATGACTGCATGTGACTCTATATACCCTGTATACGCAAAAATGAGTTTTTCAAAAAAAATTATTTCAACCATAAAACTTTTATTTGCGACGAAGGAGCGAGTGGCTTAATTTCACGAACAGGTAAAGCTTTTTTTCTACTACCGTGCGTGAAGTACTCACTTTACGCACTATTTAGAAGACGTGAAATTACACTTCACGCACTAGTGCGTAAAGTAATTCACTTCACACACTAGTGCGTAAAGTAATGTCAATGACAGATGTCAACACTGTCAATGTAATATTTTTCTGGTAAATTACTTCACGCGCTAGTGCGTAAAGTATTTGTCTAAATCTATTTTTTTACACATATTTGATTGGTAGTAGAATAGTTATTTTTGTCACAAGTACCTAAAATGAAGTTTTTCAGGACGAATCAATGCTGTTTCCGGACGAGGCGTCAGCCGAGTTCGGAATAGCATATGAGTTAGGTACGTGTAACAAACACTATTTTTTGTCATACGCTTTTTAGAATTCTTCAGAACGCTAAAATTTGCAAAATTTCCTTAATTTTTGAAATCATAAAGGTGCATCCAGACAGAAAAAAAAGTCCTAAAAAGAAGCATTTTACGGACTTGAATGAGTCCGTAAAATAGCTGTTTTTAGGAGCGTATGACAAAAAAAAATTTTTCTGCGATTGACAAGAAATGTCACCATTTTTGACCGGTTGACAGGTCGCAAAACTCAATATTCTGGTATTTTAATTATGTTTCAATAGTTGCTAAGGAACAATACCGCACCTTTTTTCACTCATGTGATTGTCGCACTCGCCTCCGGCTCGTGCGTCAAAATTCACATTCGTGAAATAAGGTTCACTTTACACACTTGTTGCATAAATAACTATTTACCATCGTGTGTAATATTCTATTTTATTCTTGAGCCACTTTTTATTTATCACAATTACTAAAATCATAAACTAAAATGTGCTAAAATTTGACATAGATTAGGTATGACAAATTGACAAAGTACCTAACAAACTGACACACATTTCTGGTGTTGTCAATCATGTCAATCATATCAGATTTCTGTCAAAAACACTATAATTATTATAAAAGATTTGAACAAGTGGGTAAAATTGATGTATGAGTGGGTAAAATTGTCAAATGAGTCGGTAAAAATTGATCCATTTCACTACTTTGAATAAAGTGTTACTTTAACAATGAGTTTTGAGTCGATTAAATGATAATTCGCGATAGAATAATAAAATTGTCGGCAAAATTTTCGAAAGGTATGAAACTTGTTGTGTTTTTTTTATCAAAAATGTCATGAGCGAAATTGCCGAAAAGCAACAAAGAACAATTGAGAACAATTTTGCCTACACAATTTTTTCTCGAGTGGTATTCATCATGACTTTCACGTAAGATTTTGAAAATAAATAGATTGAAAAAATATGAATAAAAACTTCAAATTAAAAATATCAGTTTGACAATGTCAAAAAATGGTCGCTGAAATACCATGTTGTTGGCATTATCCAGGTAGCAATATTGTCAGCTGAATACCAAATTTATTGCCGGTGTAATACACTCTAGTGAAATAGTCAAGGAAATATTGATTGGTATCACTAGGAATTACTGAGGAATTATTGGATTTGAGAGGAATATTTGGGAATTGTCAGAAATTACTGGGAGATATTAGATCTTGCTAGGGAATTATTAGGTATTGCTGGGGAACTGGTTGGTAATTCAAAGTAATTCTCGAATGTAATACCACAAGAGGTTTCAGGATTACCAGATAAAACTTTTACCTGTCACGAAACGCTTTACGCAGAAACACCACGACTCCGAAGGAGGAGTGGTGTTGTTGGTAACGCGTTGAGTGGCAGGTAAAAGTATTAGGTAATCTTGAAACATCGAGTGGTATTCAAAAGGTTATAAAACGAACTAAACTTTAAATACTTTAAAATTTAAAAAAAATTCTATAATAGAATTTGCTATAAATGCCACCAAGCGCGATAATCCCAAAAGGCTTATCACTTATTAAGCCTCTCATGTCATATGGGAATAATGTACAGTGAGTTGTAAAGCCAGAGATATTATTCACATAAGGCATTGTGGTGTACCTACAGGGTGAGTTACTATATTTTGACACCCACCTGCAGCCGTAATTACAGGTGATAGGTAAAAGGCTCGGAAGAAGGTGTAAATACAAAAGTTGTAGCATTTCATCCTCGATTTCATCTGAACCGCCCGAGGAACCGCCAGAATTGAATTTTCAATTAGATTGAACAAATGAGCAACGCAACGTAAACAAATATGTCGATGTTCAGTTTTTTTTATATAGAATGCACTTTATTTTCTTTCAAATTCTTAAAGTTCTTTTTTTTCCGATCCAGATTATATTATATTGATAAAGGAAAAGACATCATCCATTTTTACCTAAGAGACCAAACGTAAGATTTTTGAAGATAAAGATAAAGAGACTGTGACTTTGTGTTTTTTTATCTTCAAAAATCTAATGTGTTGATGTTTTTTTCAATAGTTTTGGAAATATCTGGAGTTTCAGATGAAAATTGGAGGAGTTGTGAGGCAAAAACTGTCTGGATGTTATTTTTGGAAACTGTTTAATAAATTCAATTTCGAAGCTTCTCAGGTGTGAAACCGTTAAAACCTAATTAAAATCTTGATTAACAGGTTTGTACAGAATTTAATTGGCTTCAAGTTGAGTCTAATTGCATTGAAATCGGATCAAAATTAAAGGAGCTGTGAAGCAAAAACCTCTGCAAAAACTGTTGCAGTGTCATTTTTGGGAAATTTCTAATGTTCGATAAATTCAATTTTGAAGTTTCTCAGGTGCAAAACTGTTTAAGCGAATATACAATTTTGTCTAGCTAAGTAAACATAAAAACCATAGGTACAAAATAGTATATTATTCAATGAGCGGGTAATGATGGCTATTACTCACAAAGGATGAAGTTTGCACTACGAGCCGCAGGCGAGTAGTGTAATCATCCGAGTGAGTAATAGCTATTACTTACGAGTAGAATACTATACTTTTTCTATGATAAATAGATAATAGGCTCGAGTTCTCAACTTGTCAAATTTTCTGATTGGCTCCTAAATAGTGGAGTAATGAGACCAGGATATTTTCATTGGTTGAAAACAATTAAGTAATGAAAAAAAAACTCACTGTATGAGTAATCATTCACATTGACTTATAGAAAATGGATGTATATTATGCATATTATTTAATACTCATAGAAAAACATGATTACCCGCAAAAACCCAATAGAAATTTTCGAAAACCCGGGTTTTTGCCAACTCTATAATGTCCGTCGTATTTCACACATTTCATATAAAGGAGCGAGGAGGTAAATGGAAAAAACAAGTGTGATATCAGGTGACCATTGGCCTCCTAGAAGAATTTCTACATTTTTCCCCGATACCTTTACATAGAATAAGTAAGCAAACTTTTTGGATTTTGAAATGGCATTGTATTTCTCTAATATACCCAACCTCATATCTACAGTGTGTCCCGCTTAAGGACTGACCACCCTTCTAAAATTTTTATTTTTCAACCGATTCAATTCACTTTTTTTTGTCTTATATCTACTCGAATTTAGCACTTATTTGGCTCATAATTTTATTTCTGCGGCTGTACTGGTGTACAGGGTGTCCATATTTATAGGCTCAAATTTCAATTAGGGATTTTTTTAGAAAAAATCTGATAGCAGATTCTTGTTTAGAATGGCCTAAAACCCAAATGTACTAATTTTTGTTCCGATTTGATACAGGGTGATCACAAAAAAATTTCAAAATTTAATGGACCAAACCGGAAAAATGTCATATTTTGAGGCCTTGTGAACAACAAAACTTGATACAACATAATTTTAGAACATCCTTAACCAAAATTTGTGGAAAGCTTGTCTCAAAATATAACATTTTTGCAGTTTGATTCATCAAATTGTGAAAATTTGTTGTCATCACCCTGTATCGTATTGAAACAAAAATTAGTACAGTTGGGTTTTAGATTATTGTAAACAAGAATCTGCTATCAGATTTTTTCTGAAAAAAATCCCTAATAGTACTTATTGAAATTTGTGCCTATAAATATGGACACCCTGTACACCAGTACAACTGCAGAAATAAAACTATGAGCAAAATAAGTGCCAAATTCGATAGACATAAGACAAAAAAAAAAAAAAATTAAATCGGTTGGAAAATAAAAATTTTAGAAGGGTGGTTAGTCCTTAAGCGGGACACACTGTATTAGTCAAATTAAAATAAGAGAATAGGGAAAACTCTAGAACGAGAAAAGAAAAGTTAAGGTAATTGTGAAAGATTCCAAAGTCAGTACCTATGCACAAATTTAAAACACTGTATGTACTGTACACACATACTACTAATACTAATACTCTACAATCTACAAAAAAAAGTAGGTGCCTAATGTTAAAAGAATTAAACCTTAATTAATATAAAGTACTTTTGATACCTGTGTTTCCAAAAATGTATCAAACAAACTCGCCCTGCAAACCACTAATCATAAGCAAATAAAAGTCAAGCATTTAAAAAATTACAAAACATATCTAATCTAAAAATGCATATAATATGTAAATATTGTATATACTAAGTAAATCAAAAGCCGAAAAAAAAGGACTGAACTTAGTCATGTAAGCAAGTGTCTCTTTGTTTGAAAAGTTGCATAATGAAAAGATGCACTTCTTGTGAGTCATTTTTAACAGCAAAAAAAAATATTTGTATTTAAATTCCCTTTGACTTTTTTTACTGCCTCAAATAAATAATTGAGAAAAACAAAATAAAATACCTCCTAATATATATTAGGCCACAGTAAAGTATTCATGTGTCGGTATGTAAAAATTCCTCTTCAAATTTCCCTAGACTTGACCCAGTTTCCCTGGCCCATTTCCGCATTCATCGCTTTCCAACTGATTTTTCTACACCAGCCAGCAGAAGCAGCAGAATGCAAGCGGATCTAGCTCCTTTCACTTTGCTCAATTAAACCAATCAATAGTAAACAAATATAGGACATGGGAGATTTAAACCCCGAGTATTTTGTATAATTTAAATGGAAATGTATGTGGATTTGTGGACATAATCGTAGAATAGTTAAAACAATGAAATTTTACCCATTATAGTGTATGGGGCCCTGTAAGGGCCTGGTTTAAAGGGGGCCACTGAACAATGCACCAAAACGAAAACACTGCAGTAAAGCTGCGGATTTTCTACACGAAACTGTATGAAATTTTTGTTAGTTTACGCGGTTTACGGAATAATGGCTTACTTGCAGATTTCGGGGACTATTTACGCACATCGATTCGGACTTTTTGTCTCACTAAAAAACTAAAAACTATGCCGTTTTTACTCTACTCCACAACCGAACAAACTAAACTGACGATAAGATGGCGTCCACCAATCGGATACTTCGAAAATATGACGTAACACCTTTTTGACCTAACGATGCGACGTTGCCGCTTAGCTCGTCCGCTCTTTTTATTTGAGAATATTTTTGAAAACTTGCATATTATTTAAATTCATCAAAGACAATAATTTTTTACCTAATTCAACAATAAACTAAAATTATTAACCAAATCACGGTTATAAACTTGAACAAACAATTTCATAAGAAATATTTTTGGAAGGTTGCCAAGTTTTGAGTGAATTTTTTAGACTTCCCTAGCAACGCTGTTTACCATTATTTAAATAAATTTATTGCATATCCCAAGGGTTAAATGTTTTTCAATAATAATAATTATTGAATTATTATTTATTTAGGCAACTACAAAGCCAAAAAAAATGGCAATTTATTTCATAAAATACGATTGCGTTTTGGTCTCTCTTACCCGATTCAAATTTGCACAAAAATCCTGGGTATTCCGAATTCTGATTTCAAATAAGGTTTTTCTATTGTAAATTAGTGGTTCCTAAACGCATTTTGTTCTAAATTAATTAATTGAAACGACAAGAACTGGAAAAACTGAAAACTTCTAAACTAGAAATAAACAATTAATTTGTCATGCCAAACGACCATCAATTGTTTTTGATAGCGCCCTATGATTTTTCCAAAATATATTTTTGTTATGTTTGTGTGATTTTAAATTGGAATTAAACAAAACCATTTTCCTCTTGTAAATTTTCCTTTTTGCATGTGATAAAGCCTTAAAGCCTTGCATGTTTGAGGAATATTGATCTTTCTTTTTCTTTTGTTTGACCTAAATATTCAAACTTCCCTCCACGAAAAAGTGACATCCAATTGCGCTGAGTGAACTCACCCAATCAAATTTGCGAGTGACTCCGAACGACTCCGAGTTACTCGCCCTTTTCAGACGGCCGGTTTTGGCTTTGGAGCCTTTTGGTTCGAACGAGCCGAGCGTTTGTCACCGAATTCGCTTAGTCAGTTGAGTACCTGCCTCCGAGCATGATTTTCCCCAACCAGAGCACTACTATCGGTGGTGTGTCGGTAAATGGCCGTTGCTCGAGATTGGTTCACTAGTTTCTGCGCGTTTGGCACGTTCGGTTCGTTGGGCCAAAATGGTCTAATGAATATCGACCTTAAGGTGCATTTGACTCTCAGCAAAAACACTCAACCAAATAGGATTGCTCATCCGAATAACATTCGCCAGTATTTGAGTCGGGAGCAGGTCTGCGGGCATCGCAACTATCAACAGCTGATCGTGGTGACGTCATCTGCAGACCTCAATGGATTGAATGCGATTTTGGCAGTGCTTGTGCGTTAATTTATTGGTCGATTTTAAAAGAAGAAAAGGAGAATTTAACGTTCAGGAATTCGTCTTTTTGACCTTTTGCCCATAGGTGGGTTCGGCTTGCTCACTACGTGCACTCCGAGTGACTCCATTCGCACTCCAGCCGTTCGGGTATTGCTTTTAGGCGTATTAGGGGTGACTGCATTAGCGTTTGACTATACGGAGTGGAGTAAATGGAGTTCACTCTAAAAGTTCTACCTCGGAAAGAGAATTTTTTAGAGCAAGCATGCGCAGAAGTGAAATAAAGTTAAACAGAGGCAAAAGCATCATATTTATTATTGTGGAGGACATACACGAGAGACCAAAGACAAAAGTGAAAAAAAAATTTGGAAAGTGAAACATTCTAAAGTCACGGTTGACTGTTGTTTTGAAATAAAACAAATTAGCTGCTTGACATTTTTGCTCCGACAGTTCCGGTCGTTCGTGTATTCATTTTTCACACTAATCACTCCTAGATCACGTGACAAAAATCTGTTCTTACTCCACTCTAACTCGGTGCTGAATAGCCGAACCCAGCTAAAGATGTTAATCAATGTTAGATATTTTTGATCATAGAGTCTGTTTTTTTTTTTAAAGATAATTACCCAAGTCACAAATTTAGTAACTATGTTGGCAACACAAGCCTTTTCTACATAAAAAATTTGGAAGCATTGACAATTTTGCATTGCATTGCCAACATAATGTCATTTTGACTTTTATCTTTAAAAAAAAACAGACTTTAAATGTATATTCTAAACTACGACCGCTGGCGCAAACAGCTGACGACAAAGTTGATGACACCATCAATGGTGCTACTCAATATGGCCGCGATTCCCAAAAACGAGGCCGATAGGTAATCCTGTGTAGTAGTGTGTATTATCCTTGGGGAAATCTCGCGTGCACATGGCAGACACTTTCAGCTCAATAAGCAGTCCTAATGTTTGTTTGTTTGTGTTTTTCGGAACAACACTTCCTGCTTTGGGGCGTTCGTTTTTGTTATGGCAATGAATTGACGACTCTGATGCCGAGCATCGTTTGTGAAGTGCAATTTTTACCAAACTGTCCTTGCGTTCGGTATTTTGCTCAAAGAGCGTGCTGAGCAGAGCCGTAATCACGTGACCAGCGAGCGAAGAGCGAATAGAGCAGTTGAACGCTGTATCAGCGTTTTCTTCTGATGCATTCGCATGGAGTGCGTTCGAAATCCATGGCGGTTTCGGTTCGAATCGAGAGTTCGTAATCCGCCCCCTGCACTTGCTTTCGAGATAAAATAAATGTCAAAAATGCCACATTTGATGGGTCCCTGTTTTCCTGCCCCGTTTTCTTCATAATTCTCCGTATAAAAAAGGCTGCCAGCCTAAAACGTCATAGTCCTCTCCACTATCCCGCAAACCTGAGCCGCTTTCTAGTGACGAATTTTAAGGTGCTCCACACCCGTAACTTCACACTCTGGTCCTCCAAACAACTGTTGTTTCACTGGAACACACCCTAATTTGAGCGTCGTGTTTTTGTTGCACCCATAATAGCTGGGTTTGGCTTGCACACTCCGTGTACTCCGAGTGACTCCGTTCGCACTCCAGCCGTTGTCTGATTCGTTAAAAGGCAATACCCGAACGGCTGGAGTGCGAACGGAGTCACTCGCGTGAAACTCTAATGCACTGGAACTCCTATTAACAGCCCGGGGCGCTCTAGAGCAGCTCAAGAGCGCGGCTCTGAACAAAAGCCTTTAGTTGTATTCCTTTCAAGAGCTTGAAACACTCGAGCTAATCGCTTCGGTGCTTAGTCGCCCCCGATTTGCAGGGAACATATGCGTGGTGCAACAAACACTTTTCGAAAGGAATAAGCGCGTGAAGCCCCGGAGCTGTTCCGGAGCTCCTCCTAGGTGTAAAAGGAATACAACTGTTATGTTTTTCGAAAAAAGATCCAACGGGTCGAGTGTGCATTTCATTAACCCTTTTCACGTGGCTCCGGTTTAACAAACCGCAACATACCGGTCAAATTCGAGTGGTAGGTATCCATCACCGGATAAATTCTTGAAAATTCTCGCATACGTAAGTTGATTCGAATTCGAATGACAGCAACGTAAATTGAATAGGAAACATTCGAATTCATATCAATTTTCGTATGCGAGATAATTCAAGAATTGGGGGCCCACGTCACTTTGTAACCGGGTTAGAAAACGGTATGTCATTTCTCTAACCGTTTTGTAACCCGTAAGTTAAACCGGAGCCACGTGAAAAGAACTATTGGGTTTTGCACCATGTGTGCATGTTTTATGACCCTGATGATGAGTGTGAGTGTGAGTGTTAAAATAATGTAACACTTTCTTTGCCAATAAAAAGAGTGCATATTTAATTATTATCCGTTCACAATCCGATGTCCACAGGTACAGGTAGAATTTATCACCTTTCAATGCTATTTGGTAGGGAAAAGTGATAAATTTACCTGCACCTGTGGACATCGGATTGTGAACAGGATAAATGTTTTTTATGAACAAACAACAAATTTTCGATTTGTACTGGGACAGGAGGTACGGAACTAATAATTGAACTCGGAGGCAAGGAGCCGGAACAGGTTCAAAAAGGGATTTAAAAATCTGCACTGGAGTGACCGGAGGGCGATAAATATAGCACTCCGAACCAGTTCGGCCATTGAAACTAGCTAAAAACGACAAAACAACTATTAAAGAAACAGAAAAAAGGGTGTAAGAACTAGGATGATCTTGTATAACAACTAGAAACTTACCATCATTCTACGCTAACCATGGAGCTTATGTAACGCTTGGGAAACTGAACCAAGAGTTGAAAATTTGGCTCTTATTAGTGACATTGACATTTGTCCTACGTCAAAGTTGTCAACAATTCGCCCGTACATGCGCAAACGGCGAAACGAAAGACAATTTTTATTTCGTGTTTTCTGAAGAAGAGAATAGTGGTTGTTGTTGTGTATTTTCCTATTTTCTCGCCTCCTAATTGCTTTTTCGCGCCTTTCCCTGCTCATTAATTTGAATAATGTGTTGATGTATTATGTAATTAATACAGAAGTATTTGGACTAATCGATTGGCTCTTAATTTTGTCAAGGAAATTAAGATTTCATCAAGAAATGCCCATCTGTTTTTTACCAATGGCGCCATTTTAGCATTTTTTGGAAAGTTGTTTACCATAAAATGCAATAAATTTGTGTTCAATAATTCAGGGATATTACTATTACAAGGAAGAAAGCTAAAAGGTAAGGCAATATTTATATTGAATAATTAATAATTTTTATTTTGTATCGGATGACTACAACAATCAATGAAGAAAAGTATTTTTTGCCCATGCAATTAGGTACCTGTTGTATTCTGCAATTCCTTCTTCAGAAAAATTTTTGATTTGACCTCTAAGCTCCTTGAGGTTTCAGCTTTTGTTGCATTTATTTATACATGTACCAACAGGTAGGTATAATTCAACAATAGCAAGATTTGCTTGCTCTAAAAAAAAAAATTCCAAAAAAACATACAAACACGAATTACACAAAGATTTACAATGGTAGGTGTAGGTACCCATTTTTTGAAATAGTTTGTCTCTATACTTACTTATGTATGCATGTGGGTATATTAATAATAATTACATACTATTATTATGACTGAATAATGTTTATCTGTGATTTATTATTACATTTTTAGAGTTTATAAACAGGTTTAATAAATATTTTGGCTTTGATCTCACCTCAAAAGTATTTTTCCTATAGAGTTCTCCTCAGATTAATTCTCCTCTATCAACTCTTCTCTGGTTGGCTATGATTTACTAACTATAATTTGATTAAAATTTAACTTGCAAAAGGCCAAGAGATTGTTTTATTTTATACTGTCCGGTATATACTATATTACGTCATCAATATCAATTTGGAAAATGGCACATTACACCACTAGTCCAGTAATGTCACATTACCCAATTTTTGTCAAAGGAAACTTGACAAAAGTTGAATTAACACTGGGTCCAGTTATTTCCTGGAACTACTCTTGAATTACAAAGTTTATGAAAATGTTCTTTCTATTAAGTACATGCATATAAATAGGCATAAAAAAATATTTAGGAAACAAAAAATCCATATATCAGCTTATAGATAATAGAACAGAATGAAATACAACATTTTTAGGGCATGCAAATCTGTGAAGTACTTCAAAGTTTATACAACTCACTGTACATTATTCCCATATGACACGAGAGGATTAATAAGTGATAATCCTTCCCATATGACACGAGAGGCTTAAAAAGTGATAATCCTTTTGCACGGTAACTGGTGTTTTGACATTTTTTGACAAAAAAATTTAAATTTTTGATTCATGAAATTATTAATTAATAAAGAATTAAAGTTTAGTTCGTTGTATAACCTTTTGAATACCACTCGAGTTTTCAGGATTACCTAATACTTTTACCTGACACTCAACGCGTTACCAGCATCCGGTAATCCTGAAACCTCTTGTGGTATTACATTCAATAATTTACAATTTTTACAAAGACTCCCAAGTCTCTAATAGTTTCAACCCTGTTAATCTCCAAATCATTAAGAACGTAATTATGTAAGTATGGTGTTTTTTTCCGAGAAAAAGTAATAATCTTACACTTCTCAACATTTAAGGGGAGTTTATTTCTTTGACAGCAAGTCCGAAACATATCCAAGTCCACTTGCAATAATTGAGCATCCCTGACATCCCGAACAACCATAAAACACTTCAAGTCATCAGCCAAGAGCAAAAAATCGGAATTTCTGAAGACACCTGACAGATCATTAATAAATATACTAAAAAGCAAAGGAGACAGGTGTCCTCCCTGAGGCACCCCCGAGGTCACCGAAAATACTGAAGAGATGTAATTCTCAATTTTTACAGCCTGTTTTCTACCTGTGAGAAGACTTCCAATCAAGCTCAATAGACCTCCATGCAGCCCCACATCGGCCACCTTCTCCAATAGTATCTTATGGTCAACCCTGTCAAAGGCCTTGGAGAAGTCAGTGTAGACCGAGTCAATCTGACACTTATTCTCCAACCCCTCCAACAGAGCCTCCTCATAGACCAGAAGATTAGTCAATGTAGATCTACCCCTAATAAAGCAATGCTGTTCTGGTACAATATAAACAAACTCAAAAGTGTCAGTGTCACACGACTAGTGTATTTGTATTGAGATGGATGAACGAGCTTTCTAAAAAGAAAATCTCAAATAAATTAATTTGTCATAAATAAAGTAGAGTATACTACTTGCAATAATGGCTATTATTTCCTCGGAATATTACTCCCTCGCCGCTGACGCGGCTCAGTTCGTAAAAATTCCTCTGGAATAATAGCTATCATTATTGACTCGGGGTATAGTCTACTATTAAACCTTCTCCCTTGTTTTTGTATGACAATATAGCTTACCAAATCCTGCTTCCTCCCTTAAACATAAATTTATATAATATGCATATTTTGCTATTTGTTCACTCTATTGGGGATTATATCTATCAATGCGGTAATGCGGTAATTAAATGTTGGATGGCTATTAGGCCAGCTACGAAAATCCTCAACTTGTGTCTGTTTTTTGAGACCCATAGATTCAATAATAATTATTGTGTAGTTAAATTATATGGGAAAGACTCAGGCTAATTAACAATCCTTTCATCATGCTGCAGCAGCATTCATAAAACTACATTTAAGGATATTCTATAGTCCATAAAATTTTGTTCAGTAAAAAATTGTTTATCTAGAGCTTAGTTATTTTTGTAACAGAAATATTTTCTTTCAATCTCCACAAATAAGGTACATATTCAGTTTTTTTTTTTTTTTTTTTAAATTTAATGAAAGGTGTATTTTCTGCTGAAGTCTTAATTGTTGTATCACCGCAGAACTATCCAAGAATTAATGATCAGAAAATTTTCAATAATAATACAGAATATAGGTATTTTTACAAATTTCAGCTGTTAATGAATAGCACTTCTCTTAAGTACCCTCTTCTTTTATTTAAAATATTTCTAAGCTGACGGTTTAACGTTTAACCATAATCTTTTATTCTTTATATACTTAATCCCAAAATTAATCCTAATCCCAAAGCTTTGGATTGTCAACCATGAAACTTTAGAAAGCTGGAAGCATGTAGTAGGTATATAAGACATGAAACTTCGGCTGAGTGGATCCTTTCAAGAGGACAGATGGCAGTGCATAGAATAAGTGAACAAATATAAGGAAAAGATAAGATCACAATTCAGACAAGTGGACACAGGCGTTTCTCATGGTGCGGTCTTGTCTTCTCTATATTTTATACACTTATGTTATAACATCATTCAAAATGACAAAATGCTGCTGACGATAAAACTGTAATATATGATGGACAAGACATACAAGTGACAAAAGCTAATATCCATAATGATCTAAACAAATTAGAAAAATGGTTTCGACTCAAACACTAAACATAAATGAAACACAACTTATTCATTTCAAACCAAAATCATCAGAAAAATTGTGTATAGAGTATGGAGGAGTTGATCCTTGAGGCTCAGGACGCTGGTGGCTTTCCTGTGAGTCACTCTTGATGATAAGCTGAGCTGGGAAGCTCATATCTGATACCATTGCAGCAAAACTAAGACAATTTTGTAACGAGTTCAGAATTATTAGAGAATCACTGGGTCTCTCTGCACTTTAGCTTCTTATCATGCCTATGTACAGTCTTGTGTTAGGTATGGTGTCATATTCTGTAGAAACACAGCTTATGCTAATAGAGTACTTGTTTTGCAAAAACGTTGTTAAAGAACAATTCTAAATTTAAGTATTTATGATTTTCTTTTCATGTCATGTAAAGACTTATTTTTAACTGTTATGTAAGAATTTTATTTCATTTTTCTCGTTTTTTTTTCTTCTGCCTCATAGGGACACCTTTTCCTGTTTGTCCAGATTTCAATCCTATAACTCTTTAAATTAACACATACAATCCTAAAAATAATTGATTTTTTCCACTTGATTTATATCTACTTATTGCTCAGTAATTTTCAATAATTATTTCCATTTTGTTTACAATTAGGTCGTTTTATTTTCAGATGGACTTCACACCAAAAAATGACGATTCAAGTCAAATGTCCTCTTACGATATGTCCCCAAAGATCTACGAAAGCACTCCTAAAACCGAGACTGAATCAACGCCTCATTCGCTTTATAATAATCATAAGAAGCGCAAGGTAAGCTCAAATCCAAATCACCAATGTAAATTATTTTTAAATAATTATTGTTGCAGATTCAATACTGTGACATAAAAGGTAGGAAACTAGAGGATCTACTTGAACTAGGTTCTAATTCACCGCAAGCTTCTAGCACCCTAAATGATAGTCTAACTAACAAGTTTGAAAATATTCAAATTGAAAAGAACTGTTTTAATATCGAGAGCTGTGAAGAACGATCTCAAAAATATTTCAAAACTAATGGGTATGTTTAAAATATTCCTAAACAAAAACAGTTTCTCATTAAAATTTTCAGGTGTGAAAGGCTGGTAACTCCTCCTTCTACACCAGAGTTTCAACGCTTTGAGCACACTGCTAGGAACACTCCTCTATTTCAAAGATGCTCTACCTCAGCTTGCAGTGTCCCGTCACCTTTAAAAGAACAACATGATATTCTGTATCCTACTTTAAAGTCTTTGGAACCAATGAAGAAACCTTTGACTCCTCAAAAGTTTAAGGAAAAAATTGGTCAAAATTCAACACCTTTGGCCACTAGGTTTATTCCTCAAGATAATTTATTGAAGAAAGTATTGGGCAACAATTTAATTATGGGAAAAGTGTTTGAATATTTATCAAATGGAGATTTGTTCAGAGTTTGTATGGTTTCAACGGATTTCAAAAATGCTGTCCATACAAATTACAAGGCCACGTTAAGGTGCGGAAATTACAAACAATTTCATAGAACAAACAAGGAAAATTACAAAATTACTCCCCCAAGCAGTCCTGAAAGTAACAATTTATTCCCTGAAGGTTCTGTTAGTCCTAACAGTCAAAAATTTGCGGAATTTGCTGAAACTGCACATAATATATTTCCTACTCAGTCGTTGATTAAGTGTCCAAAATGTGATAGGCCTTCTGTTGTAGAAAATTCAATTGCCCAGTGTACAGAGGGACATTCTTGCGGATACATTTTTTGCCAAAAATGTTTCAGTTTCTCTTATAATCCTGAAGAGTTTTATGACAGGTTAGAATATATTTCTGTAGTGTGGATTTTGATTATAACATTTTTATTTTTGTAGATGCCAAGATTTGGCATTGAGCAACTCCATGCTCAAAAAACGCTCCAGATTGGAAGATTTAACCAACTGCTCAGCTGATTTTAATGTTAGTGCTATTTTAAATAGCACCGTAGATAACCATTTATCTTCTGGATATTTTTCTGCTTCTGGCTACGATACATCACACACTCCACAATCGGTGAAAAGGAATTTGGTCAACTCACTTGGCGGAAATGACAGCTTGCTACAAAAAGAAAGAAAAGCTCTGTTCAATAGTAATACATCACTGAATATGAGTGCTATTGTGATGGCGAGGCGTGAAGAGAAACGAAGATGTTCTTCAGGTAATATAATGCCAATTGTGAAGCTTGAGACTGTTAAGAAAAGAATTGAGGTGAGTTTAAAAAAATAATTGATGAATTTGTTAATATATATAATACTTCTGCATTACTATATTATAATTGTTTATCTCTGTTATATGCAAAACAAATACATATTTTTTTCAGATGATAGAGCCTTCTTCACCACCAAAAGTGAAACCATATTCCGCCTGTTCAAAAGAAAGTAGAAGAAGTCTCAAAAGGTTGACCCGATGAACAAAATTCACAATATTCAACAAAAATATGTACATTGTAATGGGTTCAAAACTTCATTTATATCATTCCTTTTCCTAAAAATGTCCAAATACTTCTAAAGTCACACTATTTTTATACAATATTTGTTGTTTGTTCTCTCAATGCGTCACAACTTGTTCTTGTCCAGTAAGGCACACCATGTTTTAATGGTTGTCATTTTTTTTTAAATTCAATTAGAAAAATAATCATTGTTTTTTTTTTATGTACCAATGGAACAACATCTATGTTCCTTAGGAATTTTAATTGTAAGTGTCTTCAAGACTTGTTCAGATTCTGTTGAAGTTCCTCAAAGAAATAATATGGTTAGCTATCGGCTACTTTAGCTTTGCCTTTGTTTTGTCATATAGGTATTTGGCTAAGGGTGATGTTAATTGTCTTACTTTCTCACTTATCGGTAATGGTTTTGAATATTTATCAGACTAGGGCGCCTTCTTTTTGTTTTATATTGTACCATAATACATGAACAAAGCTAGAGTCGTCGACTAAAAGACAATGCCAATGGTATTTTAAGCAATCACATTTCGTTTTACCTAATAAAAGACAATAAGTATTGGCTCAGTTTGACATAATTGTCGAATTAAGTCTTAAGTTACCTCAGTAGCTGAATAGATCTGAGTGAGAGTTTGTTGTAAATTAATGTTAAGTATTTTTTTTTTGTTTCGTTTTTTTAATCAAAAAACCTTCTAGTTGAATGCATGTTATCAGCTTATGTGTATATTTAGTATTTTTCTATTATTCTGTAATATTACATTCCTTAATAAAGTTTTTATAAAATATTAGCTGTTTTATTGATGTACAGGGTGTCTCATTTTGGTCGTACATAAGGGATAACTTGGTTGCTATTGGAGTTAGAAGGATGCGGTTTTCAAGAACGTTGGCTACAACGTGTTTTAGGACACCCCTTGCATTTTGGTTCTCTCATAAGTAATGGAAACGGTGAGTGGTGACAATGGGTTTTTATAGATCTATCCACATAGATTCCAGTGGCATAGTCAGTTTTTCTCTAGGAGTGATAGTTTTAAATTATAAACCAAATAAGACACCCTCTATATTAATAACTCATTGGATAGCTCTGCTTTTGCTGATTTCAATGATCGAAATGTTAATAGGTTTAACTAGTTTTCCAGAAAAAAAAAAAAGAAAATACCTGTTCTTGTCATAAGAAACAATGTGTTGGGGATAAATCATTGAATTTTATACCATTGAAATCTGCAAAAGCAGAGCTATCCAATGAGTTATTAATGTACAGGGTGTCCTATTAAAGAAAAAAGACTTTGGCCGATATCTCAAACTCGGGACCAAATAGAAAAAAGTTGATTACGTCATTGGATTCTGCTTGAAAAAGTTCCTACAAAAATCAATTATTCTAATAAATAAATAAATTATGAAGCTTTCGCAGTATTGCTCAAAATCCAAAAACGTCCTCTAGCGGCAAAACGGTTGAAGATATCAAAATGCCATTTGCAACAATATGCATGTGAGCCTCAGAGTAAGCAAGGATAATACACACTACTACTATAGGATGGCTTATCCTCATAAGGCTGTGTAGATCACCACCACGCCAAAAAACCAGTGATGACGTATAGCGTATCGTTCCTCGCCTTTATGTAGGGTATTTGCACCACAGGTTACGATTTCGCGGGCTTTTGCTTTATGCATACTTGGTTTTACTAAATTAATTAACATTTCATAACAACTTTTTTCTAGATCTCGTTTGCATCTTCCTCTTTGCCTTTATATCATTCAAAATTGGAAAGAATTTTTCATCATAAATGTATATTCTAAACTACGACCGCTGTGGCGCAAACAGATAACGACGTAGTTGATGACGTCGTCAATGGTGCTACAAAATATGGCCGCGATTCCCAAAGACGAGGTTGATAAGCAATTCTGTGTAATAGTGTGTATTATCCTTGACGAGTGGTTGACTCTTTTTTCTGTAGCTGGCTCAGAAATTGACGTTTCAAATTGGATCACCCTGTGTATGTACACCTTATAGAATATCTGTATTTGTTTTATATTTATATCTCATCGAGTTATTACTAGTTTGTACTGGATTGCTCATGGAAAACGAAATCAAAGTCATAAGTTGTACCGTTGGTCACGTCATCAGCGGTGTCGTCAACTGTTTGCGGCAGCGGTCGAGCGGACGTTGTTTCAATATATATTTAGGCGGTTACACACGGGCGTGGATTTCTTAAAACATGTACGCACATACATGAACGCACAACCAAAAACATCAATCCTTGCGTTCGGTATTTTGCTCAAAGAGCAGAGCGTGCCGAGTAGAGCAGTAATCACATGACCAACGAGCGAACAGAGCAATTGAACGCTGTATCGGAGAGCCCAAAATTTCAATAAACGAACGCGAATGAGCTTGCACCGAGTACACTTTTCAAATAAACGAACGGTAAATTCAAGCTCGGAGAACTCAGATCAAATTACCGAACGCACGGAAATGTGTATGCAAAATGCCGTCGCGTTTTTGAATGTGGAATCGCTAGAAATTTTGTATGCACATTCGGATTACTGTAGCAAGAATAGCAAGACTGCAGTTTTGTTCGAGCGTCTGTACAAACGCGACATGTTGTTTGCACGTTGATGCAGGCACGTATATGTATAAGCCATCCACGCCCGTGTGTAACCGCCTTTTATGATGGAAAATTTTATTTAAAGAGGAAGATGCAAACGAGTTTTGAAAAGGGTTGTTCTAGAATATTAATTAATGTTCTTAAAATGTTTGCATAAAGAAAAAGCCAGTGGAATAAGGCAGTTTTTGGCGAGGATAATCAAGCATAATCTGATTATGCTGGGTTATGCGATGTGTCAGTTGTGTCATACTTTCGTAACTCCGTCAACATCAAATTCTGGGACTGCGAGTGACGTCGTCACGTGCAGCTTATAGTGATGACGTAACCCGCAGACCTCGATGGCAAGCTTGCTATTCAGCCTGTACTAGTGAATTAATTTTTTCATCGTAGATAAAGTGATTTTCGGTCTGTGCTCACAAGAGAAATTAAAGGCGTTTTCTCGCGTCCACTTTTTGAAACTAGTTCAGAACTGTTTTGAAACAGTACATTCTCGCGAAAAACCCATGACGTCACGTCAAAATTGGTTCAAACCGTTTCGAAATACAATCCAATCTACTTTTTCAAACCATTTTCCCGTGCCGAGAAAAAATGACGTCATGGTGACATTACTTATGGCCATTTCCACCAACTATTTTAGGGAAGCCTTAACAATAGGTATGCCTTAAACTGACATTTCTCCATGTAAAAAATGTCATTTTAGGGAATACTTATCGTTAGGGCTCCCCTAAAATAGTTGGTGGAAACGGCCATTAAACCATTTTTGAAACATTTGAGACGCGAGAAAACGCCTTATGTGTTCTTGATCCTCGAGTATCCCAGGATTGTGGGAGAGTATGATACAATTGACACATCACATAATCCAGCAAAAGTTAGAGTTAAGCCTAGTACTCATAACTGCGAAATTCGCACTTTTTTGACATTGCTTCGACAAATTGACGTTTTATGCGTGAATCAAACGTCAAATTGTCGAAGCAATGTCAACAAAGTGTGAATTTCGCAGTTATGAGTACTAGGCTTTAGGCCGGATTTTCATGCATCCGTTTTTTGACGAAATATGTCCGAAAAATCTTCTATTTTGACATATTTTTATACGATTATGTCAGAATAGAATGTTTTTCGGAAAAACCGATGCATGAAAATTAAGCTTTAGAGTTCTCGTGCTGTCCAAATTTCAAATACAGATTGGACAAGTATGACAGTTCTTAGGGTATCAGCGTTAGCGGAGCCCGCTACATAACGGGAGTTAACGGATGCCTTACCGTAACCCTATTCTATGTCAAAACTAGTTTACGCTTTATTTATGTCTGCAAGAACAGCAACTTCTAATAATTCCTTCATAAAAACACCAAGGGAAAATTAATGAAACTCAGGAATCTTCAGGGTAAATAAAAATTGGCAAACAAGCAAAAAAAGTTGGGTTAGATCACTCAATTCAGCTATCAAAAAGTAAACAGAATAAGGGATTAGAGGATTTTTGTGTCTTCGTGTCCGAGAACTATGGAATACCATTTAAAATACCAGGTGGGTTCGGCTTGCTCACTCCGTGCAATCCGAGTGACTCCATTCGCACTCCAGCCGTTTGGGTTAAGGTTCGGGTATTGTTTTTTACCGTATTAGGAGTGACTCCATTAGCTCTGTTCACTCCACTCCAACTCCGCGCTGAATAGCCGAACCCAGCCACCGTATTGTTAGCGGTACCGTATTAGCGTAGCGTCTGAGGCACGAGAACTTTCTATTCAATACAAAATCTGAACGCTGTTCAATTTATATGAATCAATCCACTACAAACCTTTTTCTTCAAGTTATGAGATGCCATAAGTACAAACCTTCGTGAAATGAACCTCATATCCCAAACTACGACCACTGGCGCAAACAGCTGACGACGTAGATGATGACGTCATCAACGGTGCTAGTCAATATGGCCGCGATTAGTAGTGTGTCAAACATCCTACGACAAGGGAGAAACGACACGCTGCCTGCGTCATCACCGGTACTTTTGCGCAAGGGAGGGGTTCAAGGTTAATTAAGTTACCGCATCTGAAGTGCCTTTTGGAGATATGCATTTTGAGGCCCCGCAGATGACGTCATAAAGTTATTAGGCAATCTAACTCTCTCAAACAACCTTGGGGGTACTTGAGATTAATATTCAAAGACTATGACCAAAATCGAGAACTATCGATTGGTCAAGAAAACAAAGCTGTTTTCTCGCGTTCAATTTTTTGAAACTGCTTCAAAACAGGTTTGAAACAGTAATGGGTCTGTTCGTCCAGAAATCACAAACCATTCAGAAAGTCGCTCTGATCGGTTTGCGATTTCTGCACGAATAGACCTATATTCTCGCGATGAATTCATACGTCATATTAAAAATTGGTTCAAACCGTTTCGAAATACAATCCAATCCACGTTTTCAAACCATTTTCTAGCGCCAAGAAGTTATGACGTCATGCGACACTGTTCTAAACCAGTTTTGAAAAGTGTTTTAAAAAATTTGAGACGCGACGAAACACCTCAAGACAGCTATCGATTCCGTGGTACACTAGGCTGTTCATTTGTAGTATTTGTACTGCTTTTCTTGCTTCAAGCAGATCTCAGCAGCTGATTCGCGTTCACTTGTCCCATAACTCCAATGTAATAAGCTCATAAATAGCAGCTCCCAGTAGATCTTCCTGATTTCTCGAGCAGGTAGCGAGTACAAATGAACAGCCTATCTATCGAGAATTCTCGACCTCTACGCCAATAATAGGTTTGTTCAACCCGTTCTCAGATTGACCAAATCAAATCAAATCAAATCAAATCAAATGAAATCAACTCAACATGCCTTCAGACAAGCGTGACGTTTTCTTATCATAAAATTGTTCTCTGGGTAATTTGTAGAGTTTCGAGTGGGTTTTCTGTTGCCTGAGAAGGATAATTTTCGAAGTGTATAAACAAAAAACAAACACACATCACAAATGCTTGACCGTTGTCGCCATATTGAATTTATGTTTTGACAGGACATCGACATAACCTAATTTTTAATTTTCTTTGTTTACTCGTACAAAATTTTCTTTATTTTATGTTTTAATTACAATTATTATTTTACTAATTTATATTTGTATTATTTCTTATATTATTATTATATATCATCTAAGTCAATGGAACAATGAAATCTACAGCAAAAAACCCGAAAAAGCAGTCTCGGAAAGTGAAAGAAACCAAATTGAAAGTGCAACGAAAAAATGCAACAAGTAAAAAATCTCTTCCGAAAAAAGAAACTCAGAAGAAACTCGATAATTGGCTGAATAAAAGTAGTCCTCAAGTTATTGAGGCCAAAGTTACAAGAAGTGCGAAAAATGCTCAGACTCAAACACAAAAGCAGCTCAGAACCAATTTACCAACTTCAGACGAAAATGATGAAAACGAAGATCAGAATTCAACTGAGAAAAGCAAGCATAGAAGAAATGGATCTTCTTTAACATAGTAAGTATTATTAAAAAATAAACAACCTTTTTTATATTTTACCGCTGGAAACGTAATTTTCGTCACTAGTGATAGAATATCTTATAATGTTAATTTTCGTCACTAGTGACGAAAGTAATGATTACACTCATACATGCTATGCTAAATAATTTTTTTCCAATCCAACCAAATTTAATTCTGTAAAGCACAATGGAAAAACCTAATTCATCACAAAATTATGTAGGTAAATTTTGCTTTACATAATGTATTCTTGTTTAGCCCTTAATAGAGTCCATGTCCCTTTGCTTGCTTCATTGTAGTGTAAAATACCTATCCACAAGTAAGTAGCACTTTGGCATACACAAATAGTTGTTCTCTGGTTAAATAAGTATTTTTTGCATTCTCAATTTTTCAGCATCAGGTTATCCAAGAAAGAATATAAATGTACGAAATGCAGTTTTATTCAATCATCCTCAGGAGCTGTAAAGCCACATTATGACAAAGAACACGGGTAAGAGTAATCATATCAATCATTCAGGATGACAATTTGAAAACTTTCAATGGACTAGAAGTTTTCAACAAAAAACGAAAAATTATTGGCCAAGAAAACCTAAAATTCTTATTAGAGCATAGAAAACATCGATAGTAAAGTAGGAAGACAGATCAGAGAAAATCATAACATAGACTAGTAAAACCAAGAAATAAAGAACAACAATTAACAAGTGATATTTTAACACAGAAATACGGGAGATAGACCTTAACACCTCGATAAGGCATTGGAAGACTCAAAACACATTCCAGTAAAAGAAATTAGGAAATCTCATGTCCAGGTGTGGATACAGGCTGAAAAAAAACTCATTTTAAAGTATTTTTTAAGAGTTCTACAATTAGGATTGAGAAAATTGCTAGACTGGCCATACCCATTTTCGAAAATATCTTTTGGTTCTTAAGTTTCAACCGAGGTTTCAAGTTTCAACTCAAAGCAAGTTTTAAAATTGTCATCCTCTTTCATATATTTATATTCTATGTATAAGTATAAGTACCTACTTATTTAATAATCAATTTTAAATTTTTTTCAGCACAAAAATCTACCAATGCAATCTTTGCCCGTTCCAAACCAAACAACAGTATTACTACAGCAGCCACCTAAAAATTCACACCCGTCCAGATCAGAAATGCCCTTATTGCAAAAAACTCATCAAAAGCCAATGCTACAAAATGCACCTGAAAACCCACGAACGTAATGATGAATCAGAATACAAATGCGATTTCTGTAACTACAAAAGCTACAATCGAAGCAACGTTAAAAGACACAGTCTAATGATCCACAAGAATCGTGATGAATTGCCGACTTTTAGTTGTGACTCTTGCAAATACACTACAGTATTGCCAGAACGCCTAAATCAACACAAAAAAAATGTTCATTCAACTGAAGGTATATGGCGCTCATGTAATCAATGTGATTACAAAACAAGAGTAAAAGCTCACATACAAAGACACATGAACGATGTACACACAGAAAAAAAATTCCAATGCGCCCAATGTTCTAAGCTTTTCAGCAACAAAGACAACTTAAGATACCACATAGTAAGACGCCATACTGATGCCAATCAAAGGGAATTTTTCTACTGCGAAATGTGCCCAAAAGAAAAACAATATAAAACACCCGAAAAAGGAAATTTGATTAGGCACATTTTGACGCACCGGACTTTGGACGAAATCGAAGTGTTTGCTTGCCACAAGTGTCCTTATTTAGGCAAATCGAAAAGTGCCTTAAAAATTCATTTTGTGAACTCGCACATGCCTGAAATGCATGAGTTCAAATGTCAGATTTGTGGTTATTCGACAAATACAAAGTCTAGGTTTAATTGTCATATGAGAGATGTTCATGGTAAACCTAAAGCGAGACATAAAAAACAAGATTTTGCAAATGGATCGAAGGAAATTGATGATTCTGATGTAGTAATAATGGATGTTGATAATGATGTTATTATTGATATCTCGTAAAATTTGTTTGGTTAACAAGTAGGTTTAGTTAGTTATGATTTTCTATGTAGAATATTGTTTAAACTTTTTTCAATTCATATACGTATTATTGCTCAATGTATTATTAGTGGTATTTTGTTACAAAACAGTATTGTGTAAGAAGTTCTCGACAACAATGTGTTCAAAGTTAGATCTAATTAAATAATTTTTTGTGTTAAAGAAGAAATTTACTGCCTTATTAAGACTGGAAGTTGTTTAGGTTTAAGTGCATGTCAGCTCAAAATGGAAAAAAAATATTTTACTAAATTAACAGTTTACCCAAAATGGTCCATGTATTCAGGGATTTGTTATATTTTTACTATAATTACTATGTATACAAAGTTATAAAATAATGTATTGAATATTTTATTAGATGATCTTGAAATTTGAAAGTAAAATGAGTGTTTTTATACTATCCATTGCTTGAAAAATCATCAGTTTCAATCTCTAAATGAAAGGGAGCTCAAAGTAAGGTACAAAATAAAGGGATTAATAAAACAACAGAATTAATTTGCAATGACATATTTTTTTATATATGAACAAATAAATCAACAAAATAAAACAGGAATAAGAAACTGGCATTAAACCCCATTAAAAGACTCATGAGAGCACAAAAGAATTGTACATTATTGTGGATGTTCTTGTGCTGGAATGCATAAAATATCACAAATATAATACAAAGTATGTCGAAACGTTTTTCAACAAATTTATCTCTTACAAACATTTATATTTTTAGGGAACAGGGAAAATATAAATAAAAAGTGGTCCACCATTTACATACATTATTATCTCAACAAAATAAGGCCTTAATTACTGTTGCCCACCAAAACTTACATTTATATTAACAGAAACGTTTCGATCTCGGAAATACAAAAAATACCCTGCGAACAAGAAAAAATTAATAACCCCTATAGCAAAAATTACCCGTTTCATAAACGCGTTGTATCAGAGTTCCGATTTCTGGGCGCTGAAGGATGCGAGAATGTTGGCTCTGAGTTGTAGGTCCTGTTTTTTGTCAGCTTTAATTTTCCCCTCTGTCAATATTTTGTTTAAGCGTCTCTTTTCGTCCTCAATGAATGTTTCTTTTTCTATCGCTTTTGTCATGTATTTGATGTACGTTTTGGCTGTTTTCTTTTCGGCCTGTAATGAAAATCGTAATAATTTTAAAAATATTACATATTGATAAAAATTCTTGCCTCATTCTGAATTTTTTCAGCTTCCTGTTCAGTTTTCTCCAGAATACTTTGTTTATACAAACTGGAACCAGCAAATTCGGCAGCCAGCATATCGAATTTCTCCAAACAACCTTGCAAGCCTAAATAAACGTTGCTGTGCTCTCTGATGAACTTCTTGATTTGGTCTTCGCTCCAGACGTGCTTGTTGCTCATGCTGAAAGGTTCATCTTCGCCTTTGACGAATAATCTTAGAGCGGGCCAGTCGTTTTTGGTTTTTATGCCAAATCTGAAAACAGAATTATTGAATTTATCATATTTTATGCATGAAATAATATACCAGTAATAGTTTAAATTATAGACAGAATATAGAATTTTTATAAGTGGGTTTTAACCTAAATTTCTTCCAGTAGAAAATTTGTATTGATATTTGGATGGAAATGTGTAAAAAATTAGTATGAGAATTCACTAATTATTCTGAGATTTGATTTTTCAAAGTTTTACAAATACAAATAGTTTATTTCCATAGACATTATACATATTTTGGAGTTGTTACAAATAAAAAATCCAAAAGTGAAGGCGTAAAAGTAAGCAATACAATGATAATAATAGCAAACATCAACATCATCGATAGCATATCCAATCCTATCAAGCGAAAATCCATCCACATTATAAGAACAAACAAAAAATACGAAAACATATGCACAATAATATACCCCACGACAGTAAAAACATAAATTATTACAAGAACACCTCCTGTTGTTCTAGAAAAAACACTTTCGCAATGAATAAAAGGGGTTGACAGCCAGTATGGTCTTCAGTTTCCGCTGAAAAACGCAGACATAATTGGCGTTTCTCAGGTCCTGTGGTAGGTGGTTGTAGATTTTAAAAGATGTTATCATAGGACCGTCTTGGATCTGGGTCAGTCTTGCACTGGGTATGTAAATGTTGCCTGAGTTTCTTGTCTGGTACCTGTTCACGTCCCTACATGTGATGTAACTGTATCGGTTTTCAAAGACTTAACATGCACTCTGTAAAATGTACTGTAAGTATACTTCTCCTTAAAAATTTGACGACAGGACTCTCTAAACGGCAGTCCTGATTATTCTGAGGCATCTGCGTTTGTTGGCAAAGGTTCATCATTTGTTGACAAGGCTTTATCCATTCCAGGGATAGTGGATGTGAGATCTTCGAATTTTTTGGTTAGAACTTGAATTTCACGTTCTTGTTTTTTGAGTAGTCAAGGAGCACCCTTGATACCTTCCACACAGTCAGTACAGAATTATAGTAAACTTCTTGACTTTAACACCAACTTCCGATGTACTAAGTTTAGAGCATTCTTTACAAACCATATTACGACAAGAGTTTTCAAAAATTCATGTCCAAAGGGGGGTCTCCCTTCCGAAATGGTCAAAGGACCCCGCACACCTCTTATGAGGTTTTGGTTTTCTGCCAAACTCAACGAAACTTTGATATGTGCTATACCTTTGACTTCCTGATGAAGAGTTCTCATAGGCCCAACCCGATGAATAGTTTTTGAGATACAGGTAGTTCAATGTCCAGGAAGTACATTTTCTGAAAATTAAACTATACCTGTATCTCGAAAACTATTAGGCAATCCCAATGGGCAATCCAAACCACGTGACATTCAAGATGGCGTGACAGCCATACATGGGTCAAAAAACACAAAAAACTACTAGTTTCTGTCAGACTTAAGCAATTTGGGGTGATTTATCAATTTTCCAAATGGGGAAATAACTTGGTGTAAGGAGTTCGGGGGATATCAAATGACCATTAGAATACAAAATCTCCACAAAAAAAAAATTGAAATTTCATCGTTTTAGTAAGAAGGTACCTTATGATTTAGATTTTGGAAAATTTTGAAAGGTCATAACTTTTTTTCTATTATAGATAAAAAGCTGAAATTTTCAGCGATTTTTATTCCAGTAGAGGACTTCAATCCCTGAAAATTTTAACTCATTTGGATTTATAGTTCCTGAGATAAAAACGTGTTAAGCAATTTGGGATGATTTATCAATTTTTCAATTTTTCCAAGTGCCTTTTTTCATAGATTTCGGCTTCAAATGGGGAAATAACTTGGTGTAAGGAGGTCGGGGGATATCAAATGACCATTAGAATACAAAATCTCCACAAAAAAAAAATTGAAATTTCATCGTTTTAGTAAGAAGGTACCTTATGATTTAGATTTTGGAAAATTTTGAAAGGTCATAACTTTTTTTCTATTATAGATAAAAAGCTGAAATTTTCAGCGATTTTTATTCCAGTAGAGGACTTCAATCCCTGAAAATTTCAACTCATTTGGACCTATAGTTCCTGAGATAAAATTGTGTTAAGAGTTTACGTACCTAGGCAACAAATTTTATTAAATAATCAAAATCAAAGTTGCAAGCAAAACTCGAAGTAAAATAATTAAAATACGCATAAAAACACATATTTAAAATAAACTTGCTTGGCCGCCACGCCATATTGAATTTTTATTTTGACAGATGGATTGGATTGCCTAAAGCTTACTTTTCATGCATCCGTTTTTCCGGCAATCTGTTGATCCGGAAATATTCTTATTGGTCCATTATTGTGGCGCCAAAATATTGGACCAATAGAAATATTCCAGGATCAACGAATCGACGGAAAAACGGATGCATGAAAAGTGAGCTTTATTCATAATTATCAGGTTGGGCCTATGAGAACTTTTTCTCAGGAAGTGAAGGAATAGTTGAAATCATGATAGAAAGTGAAGTTGACAGTTCACATTTCTAGTATCTTTTTCTTTAGGTTGCCAGCATGCGTTAGCGCTTCGATTCCGTCAGCAGGGATAAACGACAGGGTCGTATTTAGAAAAGTGATATACATTTCAGAATAAAAATTTATTTTCAATTTCTTTAAAGGAAGTTAAGTTACTAAAATCCAAAAATCCAAAAATTAGAGTCCAAAGTAAACACTTATAAAAAGAGTAAACATTTAAATCCAAACTAAAACCAGGTTTGAAACGCAACACCGAAACACAAAGGCACAGAACACGAAATAAAAAACCAAAAAACCGATTGAGTATAACAAATTAAAAAATAATGCAGAAAACAGCAAAAATCTAAAACGATTTCACACAAAAATTCGAAATTCAAAATTTAAAAACCCGAATCTGTTATTTTTATGTGTCAAATCGAAATGTCATGTATCATTATTTGATAGTTGACAGAAAAAGGGGCAGATCAGGGGGGCCTTATTCTGTAAGAACGAACCGTTCGATTCAATAAAATTTCTTCGATTGTGACATCCATTTTGGTTTGGTTTTCGCGCTACCAAACCGAAAATGACGTCACAATCGAAGAAATTCTACCGAATCGAACAGTTCGTTCCTTACAGAATAAGGCCCCTGGGGATTTCATTTACCTACTTTCGACTGGTGAAAATAATGGTCAAAATTCAAACTATTGTGAATTCAACTAGGTATATGCGGTATACCCCATATCAAAATTTCATTTAGTTTGGCAGAAAACCAAAAAACCAAGAGGTGTGCGGAGTCCTTTCAATTTTATTTTTGATATAAACCATAAATTGTTTATGTTTATATTAATTAATTTCCTCTAAAGCTTAAGTGGTATAATTTTTCTTTCTTCAACAGGAGACCTTGGAAGGGGTATTTGTGTTTTTCCCTATAACTATTGAAGATGAACATAACATTAGATTATCTATTCACAATCTATAGTCCAAAGGTACAGGTAAAATTTATCACCATTATGCTATTTGATAGGGAAAGGTGATAAATTTACCTGTACCTTTGGACTACAGATTGTGAATAGGATAGACTATCCAACCAAGATGCTGTCAAACTTAAATTAAAATGTCCGCCAAAAGAGGCACACAAACCTTTTGTTTGCTTGTCAAAGTGATGTGTGTTAGATAGGCTCACACCTCATCCAAAATCTTGAGATGAAACAGATTTTTATTGGTATTTTTGATATTCAACCCGATTCCGATTCTGTTGCCATTTGAGGGGTAAGTATGTAGAGTTAAAACTTTCATTTACAAGAAGATGGTCAGGATGGCCTTTTTCAATGTATCATAAAATACCTTCAAAACATAGAAAAATAAATAATTGTCTTGCAACTCCTGCATAGGTGTCAAGAAGCAAAGCCATTTGGATAAGGGCCAAATTATGGACCAACTGGTAAGTGTCTGGTTATTACCTAGCAGGTACTTGCTTCCTATTCTCTAGTACTCTCTAGTACATAGAAAGTACCTGCTAGGTAACAACCAAAATGTTTAAAGTTTTTCCAAAGTCTATTGGAACAAGATGAACATAAATCATAACTGGTGGCTGACTAGTGGCAGTGCATTTCTTTTTCTTATGGAAATTTTCAGTGATAAGTCAGCCACCAGTTGGTACCTTGTTCCAATTGAGTTTGGAAATACTGTACCAGTCAGTCCATAGTTTTGGCTATAAAGGAAATGGCATAAAATAGCAAAATTTTGGAAGAAACATTTATCTCTAAAACATTTCAAGATCAATTCAATAACATAATTAGATAATATCATCATCAATGATAATATCCATGGTAAATGTCCCACTTACCTTTCAGCCAGTTTCTGATTATCATGTTCTCCGAAGTCCTTTATACCAATGGTAACAAACAAAATATCGTCAGAGTCCTTCATTTCTTCGGCAACATGTTTGAAAGCGTCGTGTTTATCGCCATAAGGATAAACTGCATCGAATTTAACTAAAACATTGTCGAACCGGGAAATTACCCTATCGAAATTGTTCTCGTCCAGTATCGCTGCGCCCTTAACGTTACCCTCCACAGGCCCCAAAACTACCAAACCTATCAAGACAACCAGAGATTGGAGTTTCAACATTTTGGCACTGAATAAACTAACTAAATTTCTCCCTACAATTATTGTCCAAATGGTAAAATGTAAATGAATTATCTATGAACAAAATTCGATTATAGGCGGCCTAATTTTATTGATAAACAAAGTAGAGGAGGGCGAAATATCGATACGAATTTGTCATATCGATAAAAACCATCATCAAACGTCATTCGTTAAACGCAAATGTCGTAATTTCTCATGATTACTGTCAATATTTGGTCTGTTCTGTTCTTAGAACAGGTAAAGGTAAAGAGGACTAGTAACATGGAGTTGGAAAATTTAATATCGTATCGATAGCTATGAATATCGATAAGCCCTCCTCTGAAAAAAAGTAAATAAATGACATTTCACCACGTCAGTGTCAAAAACAACACGGCCAAACGTGATTGGTCCAAGTGGCGTTGTCATGGAAACGGGTATACGTTTACACTATACAGGGTGTCCGGAATAATTTGAGGTATGTACCATCGTCACCAAAAGTAACTGGGACTGACTAGACTAGACACATTAGCTCTTGTCCTATTATATAAATTTTATTGTCAAACTATGAATTAAATGCATTGAAATGAATGACAGTAAAATTAGTCCAGGAGATTATTATGCATTATTTGTGTCCCAGATACTTTTGGTGACGATGGTACATAGTGATACAGGGTGGACCAAATGGGGAAAAAGTTATGCAATCTGTCATTCATCTTCTTGATTGTTTTTGAAGTTATCTTCTATAGTAAACAAGATATAAAGGATCTTAGAAAACGCACTTTTTTCTTTTTTGCCCTGTATATCCGTTGTTATTCCGCATTCAGAGAAGTTGATGATAGAGATTATTTGTAGGCACTTGATTGAGCAACTTTTTTCTCATTTCACCCTGTATCTTCAATGGTTTCTGAAATCTCCAGGTACTTCAAGTTATTCCTGACAACCTGTCTATATAACCATTTACATAACAAGTGCGTTTATGAACATGATCACAATAACGAGTGTGCAAGATTAGAACGACGAGGTCGTAGACCGAGTCGTTCTAATCACACGAGTTTTGTAGTCATGTTTAAACTCACGCGTGGTGTAATGAGCGTTATCTTAGGTGTGATATACAACACTTTATGTACGACCCAGATTTTTTTTTATGTATTCGAATAAATATGTTTCAAAAAGTGCTGTTTTTCAATAAAAATGAGTTACGTTATGAGCTCATTACATCACTAGTGATTTATATTACATCACTAGTGATGTAATGAGCTCATTACATTACTAAATACGATAATAAAATTATTACGTAACTGAACAGACTAAAATGAGTTACGAAATGAGCTCTTACAGTGTGGGTTGTACAAAAAAAATTACCATTATCTATTTTGTCCAGTAGTGCATGTTATGATCATGGAGTGCAAAATAAAGTACCTATACTGTATTTTTCCCCAAGATAGATTTTAACACTGTCAACTTTGAAACATAAACAATGCTGCTTAGTGCTTATTCATCGCAACATGTCATTTGCAAGACATCCATTGGAAACTGATTCCAACCTGCAGGGACACTGCATTTCGCGACCAAATCAGGGCAAAGCGTTATTGTTTATGTTTCAAAGTATTCAATGTCAAAATCCATCTTGGGAAAAAATACACATAAGGTAATATTCATTAAATTTTGATTTTGGAGAACAGGGTGCTTTTTGAAAAATTCAAAATAGTCACTTATTGAAGATTCTAATTCTAAGGGCCTCTTCTATGAAAAGCTACCTTTATTTTTCATAATTTCTCAGAATCTGATACCTAGGTTTCAAGCTTTTTGATAAATTAAAATCACCATACATTTTCATGTAGAACATCTCATTATTCCCTTTAAAATCATAAAATTGTTACAAAATATACTTAGCAACATTATAAAAAAATATATCAATTAGGAATGCGATAAGATTAACTAATATCAGATGCGCACAGTCCTACAATTACACCTCAACTTTATCTTAAAACTTAATAGTAAAGAAAAAAAAGTTATATTTATTATAATAATAAAAATTCAGCCAACTATTTTTCTGTTTCTAAGGATTTTTCAGGTTCTTCAACATTTTCCTCTTTTTCGGAACCTTTTTCTCCTTCACTCACTTCAAGTTCTGATAATTTTTTTGAAATATCAAGCTCCTCGTCTTCTTTTGCTTCTTCCTCCTCCTTCAAAATTTTCTCACACTCCTCTTGAATTTCATTGTCAATTTTTCCATTGTATAAGTCACAATCAGTCTTTAATATTTCTTTAGCTTTTTCAAACGATGATTTGAAATGCATTGCATCTGAAATAAAAAGTGTAATTACAAATTCTCATTAGTATTTGAAGTTGCTTACTGTCAACTGTAGCAAATTTGAGAGCGAAACATTCGCTTCTTGTTGTTTCAAAAGTGTAGTCGGCCAAAACACTATAGATAAATGCCTTTTCGTTGTTACTGCTCCTTTTCAGATCCATCATTGGAGTGACGTAGTGATTCAGGCACACCTTTAAGGTTTTGTCACGTCTCATCACTACTCTAAATGAACTTTTTTCTTTGTGACGGAGGATTTTTAATTCTCCTGTACCTCGTTCCTGTAAATAGAGATAATGTACAGGGTGATTGGCCACATTATGAACCAGAGTAACTTTTTTGTTTATTTATTTACTACAATACACAACAGAGCTAACTCCAAAAATGGTATAAATTATATACTGTCTATATAATTTAAACTATGCTAAGGGTTAAAGTTGTGTCCAATAATGACGTTTTGGCTCTCAATTCTCATATATTGGAACTGCAATAAGTGATTGTCCAGACCTCAATGTTTGACCCATGGTGTAAATTTGACATTTATAGGTGTTATTAAAAAGAGTACTTGGATTGAAAGCAAAGCTTTTAACCAATAGCTGGTCTGATCCTACATGAGGCAGGGCAGAGACCATAATACATCAATTTTTCTGGGAAAAGCTTAATAAAAAGGCAAGCTTAAAGTAGGTTAAGCCTTGTAACATTGATAAAGAGAAAAATAAAGTAAAAGTAGAGTATAACATGGACATAAAGCACACCATTATATCAAAATGGAATTGAGCTGGCCATATCTCAATATTAAAGGACTGGAGGTGGATCATCTTAGCACAGATAGACATTACCATTACAGTGAACAAAATTGCGTGTCACCAACATCTAGGAGAGTGATCCACCTCCTGTGAATCCCCTCCCATTAGGTTGTCAAATTGTTATGGATTGAAATTTTATCCTGATATGATATTTGAACATACAAAAAAGTGGAGCTTCCAAGACATAAAAAGACTACTGACAACGCTGGTTTTGTGAATCCTAGGAAGGCGGGTCTTATTGTCATATCTAGGCTGAAACAGCACCTCCCTTCAGTTAAATAAACCCAATCGTCTTCCAAAAAAGGTTCATGGGCTTCAGGAAAATCATTGATCACATTATATTTAAATAACATTCTATTATGTTACAAGTTGAACGAATTATTGAATTATTAATTTGTACAAGGAACCTAAACCCATGGAAGGTCAATGTCAACGACAGTTCACTGGTAATTATTGTTATAATCAGAAATCAAGCATTATGGTCTCTTAATTAATATAAAATACTGGTTTTTGGAAGATGAGAAGGTAGTCTACAGACCGAGAATTATCCACGTTAGCTAGTTAGTAGTAATAGTGCCTTTTAGTCCTGTGACAATTATTAGTGCCCATGCCCATAACTGACATGTATTTGTGGTAAACTTTATTTTAATACACTTTCTTATTTTTGTACTTGGCTCTAGTTTTGATTCTCACCCCCTCATAACCACCAGGTCCGACATTATTTCCACCTCTGATGCATCCCCACCATAACCCCCCTCGCTCACCTCCTCAGGCCAATGAGGGGGTCTTGTGTCAACATGGACAAACATCAGTTTATGAATGAGACGCAGTATCTATCTGTGTTAAGATGTCATTGAAATGGACCAAAAACCTTCTAGAAAGTTGGTAATAGAAATAGAGGAAGACCATTGAGATAAGGGGTGGATTAAGGTTGTAACTGAACTTTGTTCAACTAGATTGCTTCTGTCAAAGACTTGAAAACTTGAAAGCATTTAAAGAAGGCCATTAAACACCCATAATTTTTTTTTCAATACCTACATAGGGAAGAAAAAAAGATTGACTAATAAGGGTCCAATTGTTTTGGAATATCATAAGTTACAGCATGATAAAAAAACTATAAATAAGTTTATTTTGAATAAAATATCATCAGGTACTTACTTTCCATTCTGGTGGATCAGAAGCAGCATCGAACCTGTACAATTTGGCACGAATTTTCAAGAATTCCTCTTCGTCTTCTTCATGCGTGGATACATGAACTATGGGAAGAATGGGTGCCAATTCCACATGAACATTCTCGACATATTCAGAGTCTGATGATTCTGATCCCTGTCTTTCGCGTTCCGGCGTATCGGGAACAGCACTAGATATCTGAATATTGGGAATAATGTATGATAATGCGTATAAACATAACCCTGATGAAACAGGCTATTAAATTCATGAAAAATAAATCAATTTTGATGTTGTACTTACACCGTTTCTGTTCATCGTGCTCGGGTAAGTGTGTGTAAAAAGTTGAAACTTATATGAACCTGTATTTTCTTTATATTAAAAAGAAAACTGGTATAGGGAAAAACGTTGAAACTTCTCATTCAAGTCTTTTTTTGTTTTATTCAAACATCGAATTATGACATTGACATTGGACAGTTCGAAGGAGCAGGATTTTGCCCAACACTGGCTCTAAACAGTTCCGAATCGTAAAAGTGCAAGTGCACTGGAAAATAGAGCGAGCATATATAGTTAGCTGTTCCACTTCGGTACCAGAAATTTTGAACTGACTTCGTGCAAATTTTGTTATTTGCTTCATCGCCCGGAATCGAAGATTTAAGTTTTGCTGTTCCATGTCAAAAACCGAATACAAATTATCGCTCTGCTCGGGTAATAGAACACGGAAACTTTTTGCTCTATCGTGACCTGAATCAACTCGAACACGAATTGTTGCACTGCACTGTCGGAAATCGAGATTAGTGCGCATTCAGTGCAGGTTGTGTACTCCATGCAATAGCAAGGCAAGAATAGTTCACACAGTTTGTCGCGTATGACGTCACTATAGAGGCTGTATTTTGCCGGCTACAAGCACACTTTTTTCCTGAAACTGTATCACTAGAATATTTTTTACAAAAATTCTAAATGTAATTTATTGTATCATGGCATATATTGGAACATTTGTATCTATTGGAACATTGTTCAATTTTCGTACCAACTACATGCAGTTGCTTTTGAAACCAAATATTTTTTCAAAACAACCAACCAGCAGATTTTGGTTTCATATCGTGTAATAAAACCAAATTTTCATCTAAAAGAAACATTTCAGATTTATTATTGTACTTAAAACAAATAAAAATAACCAGATCGAATATTTATACAAATTGCAAGTTATGTCCTGGATAGTTTTTCCATGTCGACACATTTTCACATGATATGTACAGCGCAAGGCTGCACTCCACAGGCAAAATAAATAGAAAATAAAAAACATAATGATGTACATATAAAAAATATATTTATACCTATGTCAATTAAACAAAAAAGAAAAAACCTAAATTGGAGGGAAAGTGAGGCGATGTTTGTAGTTTAAGCGGTTTGCGATAACACAAAAATAACATACATAGCACAAATTTTATAATAAATAAAACTTTTTTTAGACTTACTTTTAAATAGACGATATTTGAAAAGACATTATGTATTTTGATCTAAAAAATTTCTTTTTGGCTAAATTCTATAAGCTAAAGTCTGGTAAAAATAAGTCAAAAAAAGCTGAACATGATTTTTGAAGTTTACTATGTAATACGACAGCTTTTAACAAATGTACAAACCGAAAAAAAAAACATTACACTCAACAAATTTGGAGAGAATTCTTGTGTGTCTAATGGATCAGAGGGTATTCCATTCAGCCTGTGTGTCTACCCATAAAAATTAAATAATACAACCTTTAAAATAAACAGGTATGTTTAACATACCACATAAATTCTCTCAATTAATAAGCTTTAGGACTTTAGACACACAAAATAGTTCCATCAATTTTATAGGTATAAGGTGAATCAAATTCGTGGTAGATTTTTAAAAAATTACTGCTGAATGAAGGATGCCATATGCCAGAGAACTCATTTTTGGCATTATTGAGATATGATTGGGAGCAAAGCCAGTATAGTCCGACTTTCATAATCTGATACTCCAAAGGAATTATTGCAATATTTTTCATTAGCTACTTATGAATATTTTTTTCTTTGAAAGTTTGCATTTTTGAATATGTATCCGGTGTCGGGCTTTTTTGCAAAAATATAAACTAATCCAGTTTTAAGACAACACGCTTTCATGAGAAATTATCGGTTATGCTGACGCACTTATGTAATTACTTCCGATTATTCATCAAGTCCGAAGTCCGGTGCGTCAAATATAAAGTTATCCAACTCATGCATATACGGGCTCACACCGATTTTTACAAATCCGTCTTTCGAGATATTAGTTTTGCATTTACAAAATTTACATTGGAGTACTCGTTCATCCACATTTTTTTCACGTTTAAATTAAGCGAAGCAAAAACTACCTACATTGAAATTTGGACTATGTACCACACAAATTACCCCTGGTTCCAAACTTAGCGTTGTATTTTAAATGTTTCTCATCCTAGTGTGATGATATGATATATGCCTCTTCAAATCGTCTTTTCGTTTAAATTTTGCTTAGCAAGTGTCACATTCAAAAGCATGAATATCCAAATGTGTTACTAAATGATTTTTCAGAGAGTATTTTCATTTAAATGTTGCTTTGCAAGTGTTACATTCAAAAGGATAAATATCCGAGTGTGTTAACATATGCCTCTCCAAAATGTCTTTTCGTTTATTTTTTGCTTTGCAAGTGTCACATTCAAAAGGATGAATATCTGAATGTGTCATTAGGTGACTCTTCAAATGGTCTTTTCGTTTAAATTTTGCTTTGCAAGTGTTACATTCAAAAGGATAAATATCCGAGTGTGTTAACATATGCGTCTTCATGGTTCCAAACTTAGCGTTGTATTTTAAATTTTTCTCATCCGAGTGTGATGATATGATATATGCCTCTTCAAATCGTCTTTTCGTTTAAATATTGCTTTGCAAGTGTCACATTCAAAAGCATAAATATCCGAATATGTTACTAAATGATTTTTCAGAGAGTATTTTCGGGGATAATACCACGAGAGCTTCAAAATTACCGATAATTTTTCACGATTGCGTGTTTTCTATAATTTCACGAGTCCGTAGGACGAGTGAAATTTGCAGAGAAAACACGCATGAGTGAAAAATTATCTGGTTCATTTTAAAGCTCAAGTGGTATTTAGAGGATTATTTCACGTATGAGATTGCAAAAAATATGGAAATAAATATGTATTAAACGATTTGAACATCTTAACAATCAATACAAATAAATGGTTGCTATCAGGAACCGTTTGTTTGTATCAAAAATTAGCATGACAACCATGTATACAATAACATGGGAGAATTATCGCTGTAATTCTCTCTAGTTAAACAAATGGAAAAGAGATCCGCTGTAATTCTGAAAATCGTCACTTGTCTTATGGGATTTCTAACACATGAGTGGAATAATCCTTTAAATTTTGCTTTGCAAGTGTTACATTCAAAAGAATAAATATCCGAGTGTGTTAATATCATAGACGTTAATATATGCCTCTTCAAAATGTCTTTTCGTTTATATTTTGCTTTGCAAGTGTCACATTCAAAAGGATGAATATCTGAATGTGTCATTAGGTGACTCTTCAAATGGTCTTTTCGTTTAAATTTTGCTTCGCAAGTGTGACATTCAAAACTACAAATATTCGAATGTAATATCAATATGATATTTCAAAACTGATTTTTTTTCTTCAGCTCCTGATGAATTGGCATCATTCAAATATTCCTTTTCTTTTATAGATATTTCTCCAATTGGATCTATAAGCTCAATTTCCGACACTACTATATCTGGATCTTCTAGATATTCATTCTTTACAATAAACGGCTCGTCAGCTCCAGGTTTACAGTCTTTCTTCTTCTTGTTTCACAACAGCATCAGCATCCACAGTATCCGGCTCGTCCATCATTTGATCCTCATCTTCGTCATCAGATTCCACAACAAACACAGTATCTGGGTCTTCCTTCACTTCGCCCTCATCTTCATAATTAGATTCTGGGGCAAATACGGTATCTGGGTCGTCAATAGGTTAAGCCTCATCTTCGGATTCCGGGGCAATATTTATCAGCGCTTTTGCGGCAGCTGAGCGGCGCGGCCGTTTTGCGGGTGGCACTTCAGCTTCCTCATCAAGATCAAGATCCAAATCAGGTTTTTCTTCAGTTTCTTCCTTTATTTAATTTTCTTTGGGTTGGCAATTGCCTAAGCGTCACTTGTTTGGTAGTCTTCATCTATTTGGTTTGCCTGGGCTAGCCAAGATGATTAAGTCTTCTCTGCATTTGAAGAAGTGTTCTGGAACTTATAATTGGGAGCTGGGAGCCTTGTTCCTGGCATATATCACATATTTTCTTGGGTAATTGGTCCTCTTTGGATATCCTACCTGGCAGACAGGCGTTAATTTTAAGAAATACTTTTTTATCACTATGATCCTCGAAAATAGGAACATTTACTTGCTTATTACCTGTACAGAGTCTGTAAAGCAGCGCGATTTCACGAAAGCTAGCCATTTTCTCTCAGCCTGAATTGAAATTTCATCGGACGCCAAAAATTTAGAGGACAAAGTGGAAATGAATAGACAAAGTTGAGTTGGTGACTCCCTACATTAGCCCGCCAATGGTCATCTGACCTCACACCTGTTGCTGTATTTTTCTTTTCCAAGCTAAACATTGGTTTGACGCCTTTGTATCAATATTTTCCTGGCTCACCTCGTTTGAGCATTTATTATTATTATTATTATTTTCTCACATAAGATGTTCTTATGGAGTCAACTCACTAATGAATTATGACAAGTGAGTGGGCCACAATATTCAAAGCTTTCATCATAGAAGATAACTTTTTCCGGTGTGCGCAAATTAGCAATGTGAGAGGAGTATTTCTGTCCTTAATACCGTTGAGCATTCAGCAAGACTTCCTCTACAATCTTCAATCAATTGGTTGTAGGTATACTCTTCCAAAGTTTAAAAATTTCCAAAAGTGTATGGTTTGTGAACACTATTTTCAAAGTTGGTCGCAGGAATTCACCTGCCTACGCTTAAGAACAGCTGACTGATTTTCAGGAGTAGATTTCCTCGCCCAAATACTACTCTTAGGAAGTGCTAACGGGCGTATCACTTCTCAATCAAATGTCAGGAGACTTTCCTGTTCCCGCTGAACAACCATCTTTCAGTAGTCTTCTCCCACAAAGCTAATAAGTACGCTCTTGGAAAAATATCTTTTCCTCTGAAAGAAATGCTGCAGCAGAAAAAAATATATGCACTGATAGGTTTATATAGGCCAGCAAAACTTAAAAACTATATAAAGTTCAATAACAATAAAAATAAGGCATACAAGAATTTTAAACAAATTATAGTATATTGTGTATTTAGGTGGAAAAGTGACACATTCTCGGCCGACGGTGTAAGTTGACGGCAAACACCGAAGGCCAAGAATGTGCTTTTCCACCGAAATACACATACTATTTTTTCTGCGATCGGTTAAATACCTGTTAAATTTTTGTATTTTAGTTCCAATTATTCAGCAATACGAGAATCACTTTCCCGGCCTAGGCCGGAAAAGTGTTTCCAGTATTGTTATTCATTGATTCCTTAGCAACTATTGAAACATAATTGAAATACCAGAATATTGAGTTTTGCGACCTGTCAACTGGTCAAAAATGCTGACATTTCTTGTCAATCGCAGAAAAACATACTTTTTTTGAAAACTGTCTAAATTGACTTTTTAGCAACAAGGCTCCCAGCTCCCAATAATGAGCCCAAGTGCAGAACACTATTTTATGGTAGCCTCTTCTACCCAATCTTCCAGAACTCAAAAATTAATGTCAAATAGTCTATTTTTACCTGTATGAGCGCGCAACACGAGGCAATGCATTTTTATTGGCTAACTAGTACAGGTGTGAAGTAATCCTTTTGCACGCTAGGCATCTCCTTGTCCTTGTTCATTGCCCGTGGTCTGCCAAGGATAAAATTATGCCTGGATATTCAATTTGACGTAGCTTGACAAGTGATGGATTTTCAATTGTTTGTGTTTTTGATTGACAAATATGTTGAATGTCATGCGGTTTTCCTCCTTCCTTTTTTATCCTGTGCAGATAATAAGAATGGATTGCTATTCGTAAGTCTAACATAATTTGGTACGTTTTGCCTCGTCTTGCGCAATAAGCGTTCTGCGTCTTTTTCTATCTAATAAAGTTTTCGTATTATTACCTCTTTGTCTGGTAAAATAGATAGGTCTATTGTCCAACAGAATATGACAGTGTCCTGACGTTTGATTGAGCAGTGACAAGCCCGCTAGCACTTTTTAAGAGTAAATGTCTTTCAGAGGAAATCCGCTCTCCTGAAAACCAGTCACCTGTTCTTAAGCGTAGATGAATCAATTCCCTTTGAAAATAGTATTTACAAGAGAAGCAAACACTCTTGGAAGTCTTTAAACTTTAGAAGAGGACACCAGCAACCAATCAATTGAAGAATCTAAAGCAAATCGGAAGAAATTAACACAAACCCAAACGGTCCCGGTAGGCAGTAGATTCGATGTCCAATCAACCAATCCTTTAACTCACAATCTGGAGAAAAAGTGTACCACTACCTGTACCTTTTTTATGTACAATCAAAAATAAAAAAGTTATAAGAGGTGGTACTTTATAACTTGACACCCTGTACAATTATCTATGGAAAATGTCTTAAGCTCCAAATCGGCCAAAATTGAAGCCGAACAGTTCAAAATTTATCAAAAAAAAGTCACTTTGAGTGTTGATTATTGTCTCGATTATCATAAAACTTCCCTTTAAATGGTCGGTGTAAAGAACTAAATAAGAATTCAAAAGCGAACATAATACATAAAACACCCAACAAACTTGGGTGGCCAATTTACCTCAAATACCTTCACTGCACTTGACCAGAAGTTGCAGCAACCTTTTGCATTTACTGGCCCTGCGCCAAATCAATATAATGATTCAATTGTCAATCCTCATTCAGCAGTAACTTTTTTTTTTCTTTACCACTACATATTTTTTTTACACCTGCATCAGTCATAAACAATGACCTTCTCCACCACATTGGTAGAACTTATCTTATTTTTTAGCCTACAAAATTAATTAATGATAATGATTCCTTACTGGGGTCCTTATTTTTCAACAATGACCATTGAAAAATTAACAAATCGCCTTTATAACTACATGAAAAATGTTACTTGTCGATTGGTTTGTAAAATATAACGATGATTGAGTGAGTGAGTAAGTGAGGGGAAGAAGAGTTAGGAAAGGATTTTTTTTTAATATTTAAGAGAGATAATTTTACTTGAAGAAGCTTCAAGTATTGAAGAAAAACCATGAAAAATGTCAAAAAACTTTGACAATAGATGTATTACCAACCAAAGATCTTTCTTAACCAATGCCGCTTTTTAGCAACACAACCTCTAGGTTTGAGTGGTGGGTGTTCCCTCTCTTCATTATTTTATACTTAGTTTGGTATTTTTTAGGTAAATTTGACTTTATGCAATCTTTCTATGTGAAGGGGTACCTTAGCTGGTTCTCATTAAACAAAAAAAAAAAGCCAACCATTTATTGAAGTGGGAGGCTCATACAATTTTATTGTTTGCTTGCACAAGCAAAATTCAGATCAAAAAGTCAACCCACTTCGATAAACAGCAATTCCTCCCTTAAACGCTATTATAAAAAAACAATAAAATATTATGCTAATAGTATCCTACTAATAATACCTAACCTAGACTCTACCATTCTCACATTCTCTCTCGCTCACGCTCAATAAATATGCTCCCTGGGCGGTGTATGCCAGTCGGCGTCTCACTTCTTTTTGTTTTTGTTGGTGGCGCCGCGTGGTGGCGTCACGGGCCTGCCCGAGTTCATGTTGTACTGGAATTTCCGCTTGTCTGCCGGTTTCAAAATTTGGAACGAGCACATCAGGGTTTCGTCGACGGACATCATCGCTCCTGCATTGTCAAATTCACCTAAAATGGAAAATGAAATTAAGATATCAAACAATCAAAATCTTTATTTCATCTATACAGAACTAATAGTAAACTTGTCCTTTTTATTAAATTATAATGATCACTTTTGAAATTTGTAAGCTGCTTAAACAACAAGCAAGCCAACTCAGAATAATTCCAAACACAAGAAAAAAATTGTTTTTCACTTACCACAATAATTTGGCGCACTGAACAACGTTACCAGTTGTCTTTTGGCAAAGAATTCATAACCATCTTCCACTACTTGATGTGCCCGACAGATCAGATCGAAATCGTGCTTATGGAGGAATTTGCCCACAACCTGAGATAAGAAAAATATCATAACAAAATTCTAAAATATTTCAACTTTGATTTATTAACTATGCATGATCCAAATGCCTCACTCCTCACTCCATATAATTTTTGATGTTAGTCTTACTTTTTTGGCACACAAATGATTTAAATGTTATAAGGAAATGAAATAGATAAATGCTACCTGTCAGGAATTTGTGACATTTTGAATAAGGAGGTTGTGTGGATTTAAAAAAGTAGATTCTTGTTTACTATGAGGCGTATTCATTTTTTATAACCATTCATTATTATATTCAGATATCTGATTTACCTCTGCTCCAAATGTGAAACTGACACCTCTGTCATTCTCACCCCATCCCATTTGATCTTTGTCAGGGTCAGACCAAAGTAAATCACAGAGCAAACCTTGATCAGGTACATCAGTGGGGCGCATTATCCTTCTAATTTGTTCCATAGATTGGAGGTCGGGACTTAAGCCTAACAGGGCAAAAAATTATTCAATTTTCAACTTTTTAAAAGTAAGAATTTTCACCTCCATGACAACAGAAGATCTTTTCATCTACAATGGCAGCTACGGGAAGACAGTTAAAGCAGTCTGTGAAGGTCTTCCATAATTTGATATTATATCTAAAATATCATAGATTATGAAAATATTATATTTGAAATTTACTGCTGATTTTTGTACCTTCTTTTACATTCGTCATAAAACCCGTAAATTCTATTGATGGAAGCGCACTCGTGATTACCTCTGAGCAGGAAAAAGTTTTCTGGATATTTGATTTTGTAGGCCAACAATAGACAGATTGTTTCTAAAGATTGCTTTCCACGATCAACGTAATCACCTAGAGAAAATTTGTTTTCCTTGAGTGTTAGATTGATTGAATAAAGTAGATCAAAGCAAATTAAAAAAAAAAAATTACCTAGGAATAAGTAGTTAGACTCTGGTGGGAATCCTCCATATTCAAAGAGACGCAAGAGATCATAGTATTGACCATGGATGTCACCTGTAAAGAATATTGATCATATACAAATGGTTCTTGATTTAGGGAGGAAAAAGCAGTTTGTTAAACAGTATACAAGATTAATCTCCATATTTCAAAAAATTATACAGACTTGGTACAAAGGTAAGTTTATATAGATGTATAAGGTCAGGTTCTGAATGATTTACTCCACCACCTCCTAAAATGTTTGCATCAAACACCTTGTATAAGCATAATATAAGTTAAGAGCATGTAATGTTGTATGTGTAAGGTTTTGCATAATCATGCAATGATAACAGTGGACGCCATATATCATAAGAAATATAATAATATAAATAAATACAGAGATTAAAAAAATTCTCTAGATAAAAATGATTTATCATTTGCAAACAGTTTTATTGGAACCCCGATAACAATAACAATAATTGTATTATCAGTAGACATAAAACAGAAATTTATTATCACTGACGTAATGCATGATGATTAATCATTGTGTTTAAAAATGCTTCAAATATAAATAAGACTCTATAGCAATTGCTTATGTAGGATAAACGTCCAACTTATTGAAAAATAGGTGGGCAACTGGAAATTACTGGTTCTGGAACCGGTCTCAAGTCAGTTGAAACAGAGCTAGCTCGCACTGATTTTATTGGTCAATGGCTGTCAGAGGTTATGTAGGAATGTATACAATCAATGACTATATAATTAGGAAGACTCGGGAAGACTGCCAGATTCGTGGAAGTTGTCAATAGTTACACCACTGTTTAAAAAAGGAAACAGGCAGAGAATTACCTCCCCATTAGCCTTACATATAACCCTTTGAAATTTATGCAAAAAATAATAGTGAGGGAACTAACAGATTTTTTTTTGCGAATAATTTGATTATATCATCCCAACATTGGTTTCTTTCAAAACGCTCAACCAACTTGCTTGAATGTTTAAATGACTGGACAAAAACCATGACAATGCTCAATCCACAGACGTGATTTTCCTGGACTATGAGAAAGCCTTTGATAAAGTGCCACATAAGCTGTTATTTGGAAAATTGGAGCACTTTGGAGTGCGTTGACAATTGCTGACATTGATTAGAGGGTCGTTGGATGAAAGATACTACCAAATACAAGTAAATGGAGAAATATCAAGCAGACACTTAGTAATGCAAATCAACTTCAGGAAGACCTTAAAAAGGTTGAAAACTGGTCAGGGATGTGGGGAATGAAACTGAATGAGACAAAATGTACAGTGCTTAGAATTGGCCTAAACCATGAATACTTGTTGAACAGAGAAGTTCTATCAACTGTAACAGAGCAAAATGACCTAGGAGTCATGTTCACATCAGACTTAAAATGGGAAAATTACATTGTAGAAATAACAAAAGAAGCAAGTTTTTTTACTAATTTTATCAAACATGCCTTCAAAGATCATTCTATTGAGATGATAACAAAGCTTTATAAAAGCTTTTGAAGGCATTGAAACACTTGAAAAAATACAGAAAAGAGTAACCAAAATACCACTAAAGCTACAGAATCTAACTTACACTGAAATATTGACAAGAATGGAATTGACAACATTAAAAGAAAAAATACATAGAAGGGATTTAATAGAAACATACAAGATAACAAGTGGGTACTATAATTGCAATATTGGGTAAATCTTTCACTATAATCAAAACTAACAGCTTTGGGGACATTCAAGAAACTGGACAAAAAAAAGGCTGCAAAACACCAAAGAATTTTTTCTATAATCAATTGGGTAGTTTACTTGTGGAATGCCTTATACTCGGCCTTATATGAACATACAGTGACACTCCCAATATAAATACATTTCAAAGCTGATTAGACAGAGAATTTAAAAATAGTGCTGTTAGGATGATTTGCTATAGGGTATAGTAGTGAACAAGTTCATAGACAACATTGGTTCTACCACCCGATATTGGAGAATTACAAAATACTTATTAAATCAAATAAAAAAAGCTTATTTTCTCAGCAGGCCTTATTACTAAATATTTTTGTAAGGTTTCAAGATTAGGTTAAAACATTTAGGGCAGTTATTATAAAACTATTTTCACAGAAAACTGCAAGTTTACTTCTGGAATTATTATGAAATTCCAGAAGTTAACTTTAAGTTATTTGTCAAAATAGTTTCACAATGCCTACCCCCACCCTTGGGTATATAAATAATTCAAGACAAAAATAAATACACTGTAGCAGAGAAACAAAAAATTCAATAAAAATCACAGATGGTATACCCAAGTCATAAGATGATGAAGTAACAGCCAAGTTAATAGTAAAATGCAGAAATACAATCACTGATAGATACAAAATGACAACCCTCAATTCACAGAGTTGTTTAGAATTTTTTATACAGAATAATATGCTTTAGAACTCAGGAGAACTTTTACTTCTTTTTTAAATTTTCCCTCAAAATCAAAATATTTATTTACTTATGCATGTAGCATTTCTAAAATCTTATTTGCAAGGAAATTTGATTTGAGATGTTTTTGCTTTTCCTGTAATTGAATTTGAGTTGAATTCTCTATAAGCATTGGGGGTCTGTATGTTTTCCAGGTGTTGTGTATTTTGTATCTTGATTGCATGTTTAAATATTTCATGATGTGTGTTAAAAACAATGGTCTAGACGTCTACAGTATGAATATTTACACTTTGCTCTAAACATGACTCTTTTCTGTAATATGAATAGTAGACCTATTCACAGTTTAGCCTGATAGACATTTAAATGTCTAGTAAATTATGATGAAGATGAATAGTGAACAACAGATTTTTTTGATAGAAATATCAGATAATTCCAGAAGAAAACAGACTGTACTGTAATAATAATAATAATAATAATAACTCTTTATTAGCAAAGAATAGCTCAAAAGTACAAAGGTAAAAAAGAAAAATACAAAAGAAATTCATAAACAACAAATCACAATCTAAATTAAGTCCAAGTATAAAGTTTTTACGAAAATACACAACATAAACTCAGTACAGTAAAAGATGGTAACTCTAAAACTAAACAGGATTAAAATTTACAGAACAATGGTAACTTAAAAATTGATGAAAAGTTTGAATATGACATACATCAACCATTCACCAAATAAAACATAAAAAACAAAATATATCACCTTACATGGTCTTTACAAAGTCAAAGCAAAGTTTTTTAAAAGATTCCATATTCAGAGCTTCCTTAATTTCCCCTGGCAACGAATTGAACAACTTTAATCCCTCAGTGAATATGGTTTTATTTGCAGCATTTGCGTAATCAATGTAAAAATTGTTCATTGATCGTGCTCTTGTGTTTAAGCAGTGGATGTCATGAATATATTTAATTTCGTCAGTCAAATATTTAGGTAAAGTAACCCCCCTAAGACAGAAGACAAATTTTAGTACATTAAATGCAGCTCTCTGTGAGACGGTAAGAAAGTTTAATTTTTCCAACATCATCTTTATGGGAGTTCGTTTTTTACACATTAGAATGGCTCTCATAGCTCTATTCTGTATTTTTTGCAATGTGTCTATTTGGTTCTGCTTCATGAAGTAAATAAATGTTCCACAATAATCTAAATGTGGCGCTATTGTTGTTTTATAGATAGTAAGTCTAGCAAACAAAGATACTTTATTGCCTAATCTAAATAGAAACCCAATCTTTTTAGCCATTTTCTTTCTAACATATTGGCAGTGTGATTCAAAATAAAGTTCGTTATCAATAATGAAACCCAAATATTTAATCTCTTTCAGTTTTTCTATTTGTTCTCCATTAATTTCAATCCTGTAATTTATATCACTCACCTTGAGATTACCCAGGTTATGTTTGTTTCCTAGGATCATGCATTTAATTTTCCCCGTGTTAAGTTTAAGGCCATTATTGTCAAACCATTTCGATACATTCTCTAGATCAGAATTGAGGTCTATTATCATCTGTTGTATGTCTTTTACTTCTCCAATAATGTAAATCATAGTATCGTCAGCAAATAATTTAATCTTACACCTTTTCACTTGTTTTACAATATCATTAATAAACAACAAAAACAAAATTGGTCCCAATGCGCTTCCCTGTGGAACTCCGTAGGAAACATCTAAAGTATCAGAATGTTCGTTGTTATATTTTACGTACTGTCTTCTTTCCTTTAAGTAATTTCGAAACCATTCCAACACTTTTCCTCTCACTCCATATGCAGTTAGTTTTATTAACAATAACTCTATGTTTATTGTTTCGAAAGCTTTAGATCTAAAAATACAGATACAATAATTTTCTTTTTGTTGGTCACTTCATGTTTCCATTGTGAAATTATAAATTGCAGTATTGTATTGTAGGTTTGTTTGGAAGTGCTAGGAAAGGTGAAATTATTATTGCAGACATGATTTTGGATATGCCTTGTGTTACCGCTTACTTTATTTTTAATAATCACAAAGTATAGCTAGTCTATCAAGCTGAAGGTGATGCACTGATATCAATATTAGCAAGAGTATTAAGCTGGATTTATAGTGTCAGTAGCAGTAACAGTAACTTAAAACTTAAGAACGGATATGAAAATAACCATTTCTTAAGTTTTACTGATAAGTTTGTTAGGTGAACTATAAATGGCTTTACGGTTGCCCATGTTTTAATAGGTTACTGTTACTGATACTGACACTATAAATCCAGTTTTAGCTATCAAGAGGAGTTTAAAATCATAGTTTAAAATTTAGGAGTGATAATTCCTGTCAAGTCCTGACTCCTGTCAAATCCATCTTATGTCCATAGAATACTTATATCTTGTCAAGTTCTACAGGTTTTGTAATTTGTCAAATCCTGCTAAGTAATTTTGTACGCCCACTGAGTAATCTGCCCACTACCTTGACCAAATATTTTCAAGAAAACCCAATAACAAACGTCATAAGCAGACATGTTAAATTAAAGAAAAACAATTAAAAAGGTTGTATACAAATAAAATATAAAGCACACGATATCATTGAATGGAAAAGCAGGCGAGAATTCTTTCTATTTACCCTTGAAACAAACTATTTTTATATGGATTCTTTATATAACCAATAATCATAAATAACTAATCAATTATTCTTGGCTAAGTTCCTAAGTAGTCTAGAATACTAGAGTAGTATAACAGGTCCATTTCGGGACAATTTCTATAAAGAGAAATCGAGTACTTACCACATATTTTCAAGGGAGCTTCCAATTCCAAAAGAATCGGTTGACTGAGAAAAATTTCCCTGGATTTTAAGCACAACCCTCTGATTTCATTTTCGGTTAGCTGGACGTTTTTTCCGGGCCGGGCACCTCTAACTAAAAACCGAAACAGCGTAAAAAACAAAGTTCTTTAAAAATGTTGGCTGATTTTCAAGGCGTCAACCATCGCCGCCATTTTTTATCAACATAGGAGGATTAAATTTACCTTCTAATAATCGGGCTATAATCGAATCAATGTTTAATTTATCGGCTTCGGCCATTTGGGATGATGTTCGGGGATATTTTCCGTGGTTTTTTCAATTGAAATCTCTGACGATGGGCTGGATTTTCTTGGATTTTCCGGAGCCCGAAAAAACGAAAACAGCTACAACATGAAATGGTTTCTGGTTGACGGAACTAACAGGTTGGCCAACAAAACCGGAAATTAGCCAGCTAGAATTAAAAAGTAAACAAAACTATTTTTTATAGATGGGAACAAACTATTTATATTATAAATAGGTATAATGCATATAAATTAAACAATGGTTGCAATAATTAATAAAATTCAATGGAGAAAAACCACAAAAATTAAAAAATAGAAACTCACAGAAGCTCTTGGTTGGCACAACTGAACTGATTGTCAATTATGACAGTTGGCAGTTGTGATTGTGTGCTATTGTCATTTTCTATGTACTAAACAAAGATAGGTTTAGTCCTCCTGTGAAAAAAAGAAATCGCTATTCGCTACTCACTTGACAAGTGTGCAAATGGAAACGCGCAAAATAAATAAATTATTCAGTGCTGATGTAAACAAATCACAAATGGTCGATTGATAAACTTTTCAAAATATTTGCGACTTAAATCCTGAAATATGGCAGAGTTAAGTGAAAAGTTGCTTAATCTGGATATTGCAGAGGAAATGTTCAAAGACGTCAAGTATTTTATCACCGGTGAAGTACATGAAAAGGTAAGATAAGTGAAGTCGGAACACTGCTGCACTTGCAATGATAAGTTGGCTTTTTAATTGAATTTGTGATAATGCAAGCCCTGAAAGTTATGATAAGGTTGCCTTATTTCTTCTAAAAAACACATTTTTAACTTTATGCACATTTACCAGCCAATTAAGTATGCAAATCCTAATCTAGCTCGCTATCTCTCTATTTATCTGTTGTTCTATTGAGCTAGGGTCATTTGACAAATTATGCATTATTTACCTGATAACCTGTACAGCAAAGTGTAGAAAAATGATTTGTGTTTACTTCCAATCGAGCTTCCAATACTCTATAGTTTTTAGATTAGCAAGCCTTAGACTTGAAGGTTTATCCTTAAGATGTTTTCACCAACATTCCAGCAAACTAGGTTCATGTACACCAAAATACAAGTTGGCTCGCTAAAACATTAACTTGTGAAAAACGGCACACTATGGTTCTCCATTCCTAGGTCGATCGAGTGTACGCCACTGGTATTTTCCTGTTTCTGACTACCCCCTCAACCTTTCCATGTTTATTTATTTATTTTTTATTTATTCAATTAAAGTCTTATAAAACACTTTAACGGTAATTAAATTATAAGACTACTAGTAGCCAAAAAGTGTACCTACAAGCAATGCAACTGCCTAGAAAATAAAAATGTAAGTATCACAATGGAATTGACCTTGAATTAAGAAAAACTAAATGAAAACAATAAAACAGAAACACAAGGCAATCAAAAAGTTGCTACACTTCTACAATATCAACAAAGTTAAAAGTCTAAAAAAATCAAAAAAATCAAGTGGCAAACCATTATCAAGTCTAAACTAATCCTTTTAATTCACTAGAGTAGGTAGTGTTAAAAATGTCAACATCATTATTCTTAATTATGGCGTTACAGTGCTCCAGCATTTGGTTTAGAGGGTTATCTAGTGAGGACCTAATACTAAATAATTTACCACAATTAGATCTAAGATTTACCTTAGGAACATGAAAATTAACATCATTAATCATTGGACAATTTTAATACTTAACATTGTTCAACAAATAAAACATAAAAATCAAAGAGTGTTGTCTTCTTCTATCACAAAGTCTTTGGTATTCGTATGTGTCTAATATACTCTGATAGGAAATAAGATAAGGATAGGAATTGTTATCCTTTAGGTACAAAAATCGAAGAATTTTTTTTTGAATGTGCTCAATTCGTTCATTGTGACACTGGGCCTCAAGTGACCACACTATTGACGCATATTCCAGATGGGGTCTAACCAGTGCATTATAGAGTTTTATAACTGTACCCAGATGTTCAAAGCTCTTGCAGTTTCGAATAATAAACCCCAATTTTTTATAAGCGTTGTTTACTACAAAATCATAATGTGAGGTAAATTTTAAACTGCTTTGCATGTACACACCCAGATCCTTAATTTCTTGCTTCTCTGTAGAATTAAATTTTTTATAGAATAGTCAAAGTTAATTGGGTTTAACTTTCTGGTGTATGTTACTGTGACACATTTATCAGTGTTAAGACGCATTTTATTTTGTAAGAACCAGTCTGCAACAGGGTGCAAATCCTCCTGAAGCAGAAAAGCATCTGAATATGACGCAATTACTTTGAATATTTAAAAATCATCTGCGAATATAAGACAAGATGAGTGCTTCATACAGTCAACAAGTGTGTTAATAAAAACAATAATCAACAAGGGTCCAACATTGCTCCCTTGCGGGATTCCTGAGGTTGCAACATAAGATTGTGAGTATGAATTCCCAACCTTTACTCTTTGCAACCTATCTGACAGATAAGATTTAAAAGATAAACAGGTTTGGTTGGAGAATCCCAGTTCAGCTACCCGCTTAATTAGGATAGCATGATCCACCATATCAAACGCTTTTGCATAGTCTGTATATAGTGTCAAGCTGGGCTTGATTGCCTATAGCCTCAAATGCTTGAGTAGTGAATTTTAATAGGTTTGATACAGTAGATTTTCCACAAACGAAACCATGCTGCTCATCTACAATTTTATTCTTTATATTTCTCAACAGATCTTCCATAAAGTATAGACTCAAAGATCTTAGCCAGAGAATTCAATATGCTTATCAGCCTATAATTTTTGATGTCCCCCTCACAGTTACTCTTAAAAATAAATGGGAACAATTACTGCTGCTTTAAGCTTCTCGGGAAAAATTTGACTCTGTATCGACAAATTAAAAATGTGAGAAATTGGCTTTGCTAGAAAATCTACACACCCTTTGTATATGTAAGGTGGAATATTATCAATACCTGTAGATTTCTTAGGCTTCAACTTTTTTACTCCCCTCCTTACCATGTCCTCACTAATCTCGTTCAAGTTTATGTTACCATAGTGGCAGTCATTTTCACTAGATTGATCTAGAGATGAAGGGTAGAAAACCGAATAGAAAAAAGTAGCAAATCCATTCGCAATGCTATTTGCGTCACAGTATTCTGCACCATTAAGCTGCATAGTCTTTGGTATGCCCGATGAGTTCTTGGACCTAAAAAAACTCCAAAAGCTTTGAGGATCCGTGTGCACGTTTTGCTCAATTTGTTCCTTATATTTTTTTCATATTCAAATTTAGTTTCCAATTTGATCTCACTTCTAAGATTTCTATAATCATCAATCTGGTCAACTAGTGCCTTAGATTTTGGAAAACCAAGTCGGAAATGCATGTTTCCATCAGATTGCATCTTAACAGTTTTTTCAGGTGTTTATGTTTATGTTTATTTATTAGTAATAATTACACAAAAGTGCTTTTATAAGTCAGGAAATGCAAAGTACAGATTTCTTCATAAATCTTATTTTAAAAATACATTGTATTCCTTACAAATAAGAAAATACTTACAGTACTCTCTAAATCTACATTAAACAAAATAATAATAATAATAATAATAATAAAATGTCTTTATTTATGCAGATAATACCTAATTATAAAACAAAACAATTTTAAGCAGGAGGCGGTATCCAACAGGGTTGCTCATATACAACCTCCATGACTCCAAATGACTGTGTTAACAAATCCAAAACATGTAGGTAACCTATATTAATATATTTATCCTGCAATTTGTATTAAAATTGTGGGTAAAATTTTGGTTAAAATTATGCAATAGCAAGACAAGGGACAATAAGCGACAATACAGACACTTTAAAAAGTTCAAGATCAGACAGAACAGTACCGAACTACCTAATTAAGAACATAATTACCATCAGGGTACTCCTTGAAAGAGTAGAATGCACCCTGAAGAAGGTATTTTCTTATTTCTCCAATGAGTTTTCTCTCCTCAAGGTTTTTGATATTAGTAGGAAGAGCATTAAAAAATCTTATTCCGAAGTGATCTGAACCCCTTCAAGTTCTTTCCAATCGATGGAAGCTGGGTACCAGTTTGTCACGATTTCTGGTTGCACATGAGTAGACGTCTGCATGAGTCAGGAAGATTTCCTGATTTCTTTTGCTATAGATGAGGCAGTTCAGCCTGAAAACACAGGGGAAAGTCAAAATCCGTAAGCTCCTGAAGCTATCCCTACAGCAGTCTCTGTACTTTAGACCTGCTATTACTCTTATGCACCGACGTTGGAGTTTAAAAATTTGTGAATAAACTGGCCCTGAAAATCACAAATAACAGAATGCCATCAAAGAACTCAAAATATAGTTCAATCAAAAAGTTTCCCCAAGACATTTCTCAGTACCTGCTGAAAAAAGAGCAATTTTACATGGCTTCTAAAATTTGCATATTTAGGTACCGTACACTATAGGTAGCGAAAATTCATCAATACACAGACTATTGAAAAAAAAAATTCAAATTGAGTTTTACAAAACTTTCTGACCAATTTCAGATATCTTAATAACACCTCTTAAATGTACTAAATCAAAAATAAATTATTCTTTTTTCCACAGATAACTAGTTTACTGAAAGCGGGCGGCGCAGAACACCAAAACTATTTCTCCGATTATGTGACACACCTAATAGTTGGAGACAACCCTGAAGAAAATGATTTAGTAGACGCAAAGGATGTCTATGAAATACCTGCAGTCACTCCAAGATGGATCTTTATGTGCGCCCGCCTGAAGAAGCGTCTAGATCCTAATCCATATTTTTACATGACTGAAGCCAAAATATTTAGCGGCCAAATATTTTGTTTTTCCAAACTTAATGAAGACAGAAACAATTTATGGGGACTAGTTACGTATAATGGGGGTGTGGTGCATTTAAAACTTACAGGCAGGTGCAGTTTTCTGGTGACAGTAATTACAGAAGGACCCAAATATGACAAAGCTTTCTCGTTGGGACCAGAAAGTATTAAAATAGTTACGCCTGATTGGATATTTGAGGCTTTGAAAATTAAAGGCTTTCCTGATCCTGCATTGTTTCATCCCAAACTCATCAATTGGCCAAAACCTGTAAAACCTCCAGAACCTACTACTGCAATTACTGGTTTTGAACCAGATATATCAGAAAATGCTGTAAAAGTTGAAGATAAAACTTTACCAGATTCCACACAGGCATTATTGGAAAAACTTAAAAAACGCATGCCATGGAATCAACCCCCTAATTCCACTATTGCTGCATTAACGACTAGTAGTGATCCAGTGGCTCCACCTAATGTTGTAGCCCCAAGTTTCCTTAACAGAAGACAACAACAACAACAATCTTTTAAGCCACCAGTATCTCCAATTCAAACCTCTCAGCCTGCACCTGTTGCTAGTTTTGCTCCAACCGAATCACAATCTCCAAATCATGTTCCCAGATCAATTGTTCACCATACGCCCAACAACCAACCACCAATACAACACAATATAAATATAAATCGTCTAATGCATCCCCAACCTAACAGATCGCCAACCAGTTTGCAGCAATTGAGAGGGCAATTAAATACATCGCAAATTCATCAACAATTGTTACAGCAACGAATGCAACAGCAAACTCAACAAAATATAATTCAACGTTCATCAGCTGGGCCGATAATTATTAATCAGCAATTGTTGCACCAACATTTAAGCCAGGGACAGCATCAAGCTTTACAAAATCTGAGAAATCAACAAAACTTGATGAATCAACAACAACATTTGATAAACCAGAATCAGAACCACCAAGGACAGAGTCCTATGCAAGTTGACTCGCAGGATGGTTTGTTGGGACAACAAAGTCAAAGTAATAATATACCTTTTAGCCAGCCGAGTCCTATTACTAGCCAAGCAAATCAGCAAAACGAAATAAACCTCCAGAGAAATCAAATTGAAAGGTCACCAAGTCATAATCAAATTCCAAGTTCCCCACAACACAACCAGGGACAGCTTTTAAGTCCCCAGCATCAACTGATAAATCAACAGCCTTCTGTCAATCAGCTGCACCAGCATCAACAAACCAATCAACTTTTAAATCAGCAACAAGTACCAAATCAGCCACAACTTCAGAATCAATTAAACATGCAACAAGATCGTAATCAGCTTTTAAATCAGCAACAGGATCGTAACCAGCTTTTGAATCAGCAACAGGATCGTAATCAGCTTTTGAATCAGCAACAAGATCGAAGTCAACTTTTAAATCAGCAACAATTAATTCAACAGCAACAGCAGAATCAAAACAATCAGCAGCTGATCAGTCAACAACAACAAATTCAAAATGAGCTGCAATTGCTTGGCCAACAATCACCGCAAAATTCACAAGTAATGCAATCAAGTCCGCAAATTATTCAACAAAATCAAAACCAAATGATGCAGAATCAGCAAAATCAACAAATTATGCAGCAAAATCAACAAGTTGTTCAACAAAATCAGCAAATGGTTCAACAAAATCAGCAAATGGTTTTACAGCAAAATCAACAGCCGCAACAATTGAGCCAACAAAATCAAGGGCCTTTAATAAGGCAAACTCAAATAATTAGTCAACAAGCTCAACAATTAATAAATCCGACCAACCAGCATCAGCATAATAATCAACAAACTTTGCTGGGTCTGCCACCCAATCATCATTTGAGCCAGTTGAATCCGCAACAATTGCAGCAGTTGCAGCAATTGAAAAGGGAACAACAACAGCTGTTGAATCAATCTCAAAACCAGTTGAGTGGAATAAATCAGCAAACCATCAGCTTGAATCAGCAAAATGTTGCCCTAAGTCAACAGAATGTTGTCAATGTGAATCAAAATCCACAAATTGTAAGTCAAAACCAACAAATTCCAATGAGTCAACAACAGCTGATACAAAACAGAGTTATTCAACAGCAAAGTCAGCAAAATTTCAACCAACCAGGTTTGAATCAGCACATATTGAATCAAAAACAGCAAATGTTTGGTCAGCAACAAATCAACACCAGCCAGCATTCGCAACAACAATTGATCCAAAATTTGACCAACCAGCCTCAATTCGTTAACCAAAACCAATTCGAGGCAATCCAGCAGCAAAAACAACAAAACCAGTTGAATCAAATGAATGTGCAATCTCTCAACCAGCAACTGCAACAGCAAAACTTGGGACAGCAACTGAACCAGCAATTGATGCAACAAAACCAACAGCAAGGCTTGGAGCAAAATTTAGGCTTGATAAATCAACAACAACAACAGCCTCAGCAGCAGCAGCAACAACAACAACAACAACAAGGCTTGAATCAACAAATTAATCCCGTTATGACGCAGCAAGTGATTAGGACACAGTTTCCGCAGCAGGTGTTGGTGAATCAGGGGCCACAAGCCGGGCCTCAGAGGGCGCAATTGGGGCCTCAGATTTGGCCGCCGCAGCAGCAGCAAGTTGGGGGACAGATTCAAGGTGAGACACATCTATCTTATTATACCATGTAATCTTGGTGTTTTAAAAATATCTAGCTTTTGAGTTGTTATTTCTTGTTGGTCAATCATTTTTGGATCTTCTTTTTTTTTTTGTGATATCTCATTCTTGCTTCAAATTGTTTGTTGAAATGGTTTTGTTATGTTTAGTTTGCTTTTGTGTGTATGACGGTATGTATGTATATTATTTATAATTTTGTTGTCTTATGTAGTATGACTTTTGACCTGATCTTTGAGAAAATATAACATACTTAATCTTGTCTTGCTTTGTTTGGAAATCCAATTTTTTCATCTATGTATTTATCTGAGTGAACATTTATCCTAGTTTGAAAAATGACAAAGTTGTTTATATTTTGTTAGTGTTTCACGATTTGAAATATCATCAATTGATATTTTTTGGTATTCATAATTTATTTCTATAAAATTTTTAAATCAGCCCAAGCTCTCAATTTAGCCGGTTTTTATTTATCTCTTTTATAATTATGTGCTCGAATCAGCAAAAATGTAACTTGATACTTTCAAAGATACATTAAGTTGAGGTTTCACGGGTAGGCGGTTTGTTTTTTTTTTTCTGGGAAGAATTATAATGGCCATTCTATAAAGTAAAATGTAATCATATTATAAGATAACCGGGCAAGTTGAGTGGCAGTAATATTTTCTTCTTGATGTTTTGCTTACGAGCCTGTTTTATAAAATGAAGTTGTTATGTTTTTGTTATTTTATTCAATTTAAATATTTTTATGCTATGTTCTGGTGGAAATCTATTTGAAAAAAGATCTCATACACATGTAGGTATTTTTTTTTTATATATGAAAAATAAGCTCTGTTCCAGCAGACATGAGAACCGTTCCAGAACTGGTAATTTCCAGTTGCCTACCTATTTATCAATAAGTTGAAAGTATATCCTAATTGACAAACAAATTGATTAACTAGAAATTACCGTTCTAGAAAGGTTCTCATGTCTGTTGGAACACACCTATATTCTTTTAATATACATTCAACATAAAAAAAAAATAGCCAATATACATAGGTGGAAACATTTAACAACAAAGTAATCTCCGAAATGCAAACAATCTGAAGCAATTTTTTTCTGTGTAGGCATAAAAAAATTCGTAGAAAGTATTTAATTTACTGGTTTAGTTCTCCTTAGTAATTTCAATGATTTTGTATAGTTGTTTATTTTACAAATATTATTGTGAAAATGGAAAATTTTGAAGATTTGATTGATAGTAAGAATTTTGTGTATGAAATTAATTAAACAGCAAATCAATTGATTGTTTTATTAGGACAACAACACATAATCCGTCATCCTGTAAATGTGTCTGTTCAACAATCGCCTACACAAGGAGCAGTGCCCAGGATTCAATGGCCTCCTGGACAACAGCCCCAAAGACAGCTTATACAGCTTGGTACATACCTGATATTTTAATTTAAGTTTTTTCTTAACAGTAACATTTTTTAGATGCTCACACCCATAACCAGTTGCAAAAAATGGCCCCCGATCAGCAAGCACTATTCGTGGCCAAGCTTCAGCAAAAGCAGCGACAAATGCAGCTGGCTAAACAAGCCCAGCAAAGGGCTAGCGGACATATTTTGATTCGTGGTAAGTTGAATTATTTTGTGGTTAAATTATTATATCTGGTGGGCTTCTAGGGAACGTACCTCAAGGCTTAACTCCAGCGCAGCAAGTTCAGTGGTTACAACAACAAGCCAAGCAACAGGGAATTGTGTTGCCACCAAATATACAACAGAATCTTACACCAGGTAACTATTTTGATGAATAATTTATGATTCATCATACATTGTTTTGACTTGCTACAATTTCACGATAAAACTAACTTCATTTCACATTTAAGTGGCCAGATGTTGTAGGTACATCTTTATAGTGACATCCTTGATAAAATCTTTGTCTGTTATAAAGCCAACAGATGTTACAGTCTGATGTACAGAAAACCCCAAATATATTTTTAATTTTGTAAATTGTAACTTATTGTTTACTAAATAAACGCATCATTAGTCATTTGCCAAAGGAATATGAAATAGTGATCTAATTGAAATAGGACAGTCATGTTTTAAAAATTTAAACCGTCCACTAGAATGATAAGAGGTGCACTTCAAGGTTCTTATGTGGATTTTTTAATCTGAATAACAAAAATACACACTGGTGTAACAAATACAAAGAACATAGAGTAAGCCAGTCTTATATTTTTAGGTACTGTCGCTGCACAACAACCTCAAACTTCAGCAGCGGTACCACCACCACAGCACGCACCTGGCCTCAGTCCGATTAATCAACCCAACGCTCCGGCACAGGTACAACAGCCATTTGTTGTAGAGCAGACTCCACAACAGCAACTTCACTTGAAACAATACAGGTAAGAATCGCCAGGACTTTTCCTTCTGGAATAGTTATTGTTTCTATGTCTTTCTATTTCTATTTACTACATAACTCAAATTTCAGTGCCCTTATTTGGTCTCATAGTTATAATATGCTAAAGCCCTCTATGTATGTGATTGTCATTTGGAACAATCAAGTTGAAAAGCATCTAAAATAACACACTTTAAATAAATTGTGATATTGTGATATTTATTTGAAAATGTTTTAGATTACAACAGCTTCAAAGGGAACAAGCCCACAAGAATGCATTGGCTCAACAAGGTAAGAAGAAATTCAATAATTCAAAGCATACCAACTTCTTTGATTAACTGAGGATATTTTCTTTTAAATAGGCACATGAAGTGGTTTAAACAGAAATATCTATTTTTATCTAGATTCCTCTGCATTGTTCACTAAAGTCGTTCCAGTGTGTTGTGCCTTTCAAATTAATATTAGTGCTACACAATCATATCTTTCAATCACCTTCAAAAATATGTACACCCAGTATCCCACTTTTAATGGAATCCCACGAGGTCCTACTGGAATTCCACTGAAAATGAATGAAATTTTGGACTTATGAGTAGAAAGTAATTTCATGAGTAAATTGTGTTCTACTCATTTTTGAACCTCTGTGCAATGATCTCATTAATGAGTACTTCTGATATAGAAACAGTTTTTCTGAGTGCCCTTTTTCATAGATTTCGGCTTCAAATCTGAGAATAATTTAGTGTATGGAGTTTGGGGGATGTTGATTGACCATTAGGATACAAAATCTCGACAAAAAAAAAATTGAAATTTCCATCGTTTTAGTAAGAAGGGTCCTACCTTATGATTTAGATTTTGGAAAATTTTGAAAGGTCATAACTTTTTTTCTATTATAGATAGAAAGCTGAAACTGTCACTGAATTTTATCCCAATCAAGGGACTACAATCCCTGAAAAGCTCATTTGCACTAAAAGTTATGACCTTTCAAAGTTTTTTGAATGAATGAGTTAGTCCATGATTAAAATCTGCAAAAATCACTTGTGCAAAATACTTCTTATCGTTACAGTGACTTGAAACTTTAAGGAATAATAATTTAAAGTCTTTTTCATATGGAAAAGTTAATTTGAAGTTGGTTTGAAAACTCAAACTATATTTGGAAGCTTTTTCTTACGTTAATGCAGGCAAAAATTATTAAAATCTGCAAAAATCACTTGTGCAAAATATTTCCACTGATCACAGAGACTTGAAACTTTCAGGATTTATGAATTGAAGTTTCCTCTTCGTGGAAAAGTTAATTTGAAGTTGATTTGAAGCTTCAAACTAAATTTGGAACCTTTTTCTTACGTTAATGCATGCAAAAATGATAATATCTGCAAAAGCCACTTGTGCAAAATACTTCCAATGATCACAGTGACTTGAAGCTTTCAGAATTTATGAGTTGAAGTTTCCTCTTTGTGGAAAAGTTAATTCGAAGTTTCAAACTCTATTTGGAAGCTTTTTCTTACGTTAATGCATGCAAAAATGATTAAAACCTGCAAAAATCACTTGTGCAAAATATTTCTGATGATCACAGTGCCTTACGACTTTAGGGAATAATGAATCAAAGTCTTTTTTATATGGAAAAGTTTCAAAATGGTACCCAGCTAAAACCGCCAGAGTTTGCGGTTTTTGAGAAAATTGAGTTTGAAGTTTTGGACAAAATATTGACTAAATTTCAACTTTGAAGCCTAATATCTCAGAAACTCCACCACAAGCTACTATAACCGATTTTGCATGGCTCATAAAGAATGTATGATTGTAGGCAATTTTCTCGAAAGTCACTCAAGATATAAGCAATTATTTATGAGTATGACAGAATTTCACAAAAAAAAATCCAGAGCCTAAAATGACATTTCCTTTTGGACTTTTATTTTCATCAAAATTTCATATAAACCTGATGTTTTTTTTTTTTTTTTTTTTTTTTTTTTTTTTACGGATATGCGCACTCGCAAGGAAATGTCCTATCACGCTCGAGAAGCGGCAAGTGCGCGGAAATGTCGGTGTATGTTGGTCTTGAAACGGTTCAGGTTGTAACCTGCAGGGAAAACCGTCGCAGGGAGTTTATTCCACAGCGATGCTGTTCTCCAGAGATATGAATTCTGATATAATGAGGTTCTTGGTGCCTCTAGTTTGACAGTAAATTCATGGTTGCCGTCTGTTTGACGGGTTCGCCTGGTAGGTGCTACTCTCGGTGGAATCATACGTGCCAACTCTTCAGAGCATTTTCCGTGATAGTACCTGTAGAAGAGAGATAAATCGCCCACAGATCTGCGATGTTCGAGACCATCCAAGTTACGAGTAAGTGCCGGGTCATTGATCAGCTTGATAGCTCGTTTTTGCACGGTATTCAAAAGCATTAAGGTATGTTTGGGTGCTGCACTCCATATATGTGAGCAGTACTCCATAGTTGGTCGAATCTGGGCTTTGTAGAGTGTCAGCAATTGGCTTGGTGTGTACAGAGATGTCTTGTACGAAATAGCACCCCCAGCTTTTGGGAGGCCCTTTTAGCAATATCTGCCACGTGACTGTGCCAAGACATGTTGGTCTCTGCAGTAACCCCCAAGATGTTCAACTGACTCTGTAATGTGACAGCACTTCCAGATAGCATGATGTTTGGCTCACCGGTGCTGGTCTTTTTTGAAAACAGAGCTGCTTGGGTTTTCTGCGCGTTGAACTGTACAAGGTTTTTGTTACCCCAGTCCTCTATTATCTCCAGGTCGTTATTTATCTGCGATATTTGAGTTAGTCTAAGATTATGGAATTCACGTGCGGAAAGACCTGTGGGTGGTATGAGTGAGGAGACTACATTGCCATCGTCTGCAAAGCAATAAAGTGGATTTACTGTTTTATCTATGAGGTCATTTATGTAAATCAGGAAAAGAGTTGGCGAAAGGATTGCTCCCTGTGGCACACCAGCATTTATTTGGTAAGAGTTGGAGTTCTGGGCATCCAGTGCAACATAAATGGATCTGTCCTTTAGGTAACTTTCAAACCAAGTGCAAAGTTTCGGCGATAATCCCATTGCTTTGAGCTTGTTGAGCAGATTTTCATGCCAAACTTTGTCGAATGCTTTAGATATATCTAAAGCAATTGTTCTTGTTTCACCCCGCAACTCAATCGCTTTTTGCCATAAGTGAGTGACGTATGTAAGTAAATCGCCAGTTGACCTATATTTTCGAAATCCGTATTGCTTATCGTTGATAATTTTGTACTTTTCCAAGTACTGGGTTAGGTGATTGTTCACAACTCTTTCCATTACTTTTGATATCACCGGAAGTAGAGCAATTGGTCTATAGTTTAACGGATCTGTCTTTTTTCCTTTCTTTGGAATGGGTTGTACTGCGGCAGACTTCCATGATGATGGATATACTCCTTGCCTGTAAGACAAATTGAATAATTTTGCGAAAGTTGGGGTGAGTTCGTTGGCGCAATTTTGGAGTACTATTGCGGGAATGCCATCCGGACCCATTGCTTTGTTTGTATCCAGCTTTTTTAGGGATTTTCGTATTTCTCTGTGACAAAAGGGTACCTCTGGCATACTATGGGAAACCCTTTCAATGAACGGTGGAGTTTTTCCGTTTGGCACTGTTAGGTTGGAGTTGGAGGAAAACATTTGGGCAGCATATTGGCTTTTTCCTCTGATGTTGTGGCTAAGTGATTATTTTTATCTGTAAGTGGTGGTATGGATGACTTGGTGAAGTTAGATCCAACAGCTTTTGCAAGAGACCAAAAAGACCTAGAACTACTTGGACAATTCAGCAACCTGTTTTTTATTCTTTGATTGTATGTTTCTTTAGCGGAGTCAATAGTAATTTTGCAACTATTTCTGGCTTCTATAAATTCTGTGTGGTTTTGAGCCGTTTGTTGTCGTTTCCAAAGGTTATATGCTCTGTGTTTTTTCTGTACAGCCGTTTGACACTGGCTGTTGAACCAAGGTTTTGCATTAGCTCTACGTTTAGTTGTATGTGGGATATATGCGTCCATTCCAGATAAGATTACTTGTGTTATTTCATTACAGCAAATAGTGGGATCAGCTGTTTTAAAGCAAACCTCTTGCCATGGAAAATCCAGGTAATACTGTTTTAGGTCATTCCATTTTGCCGATTTATAGTGCCACATTTTACGAGGAACTGGTTGTAGGCTTGGTGGGATCAGCATTTCGCACTTTGTTATTATAAGTTTATGATCGGACGAACCAAGTGGAGCATCTACTTGAATTGTGTACGAGTCAGGATTGGTGGTTAGGAACAAGTCTAAAAGCGCTGCAAATTCGCCCCTTTCTGAGATACGGGTAGGTTCATCGACAAGCTGCGTTAGACCACAACTTATGGCAAAAGCTTCTGCTTCTCTGCCTTCGTTATCTGTTTTGTTGTGGTGTTTCAGCCAGGGTATATTGTGGACGTTGAAATCGCCTAAAAAGACAATTTCCGCCTGTGGATAGTTTGACTGTATACTATCACAGCTTTCGGATAATGTCGTGAAAAAGTTTTGGTAATCGGTGTTACTTGGCGGTCGGTAGAGGCAGCAGATAAACTTGGTCGATGACTTTGAGGTGAATTTTAGCCATATGATATCAAGGTTCGCTGGTTCTAGCTTCTCCTCTCGATGACATGAAAGGTCATTTTTAATGTACACACAGATCCCAAAATTATGTCGAAATCGGTGGTGTAGGTCATAGCCGGGATAAAGATAGTTCACAATAGGTGTTGCAGAACTGATTTTAGTTTCAGTGAGAACAAGGATGTCAGGTCTTTGTTCTTCAAGATGTTGGTGAACTGAATTCATATTTGTACTTATTCCGACTAAGGTCTAGTTGTACAGTCCAGGTTCAAACAGAGGTTTAGTTGAACTCTACTGGTATTTGAACTTTACCATTTGAATTGCATTGCTGTCAAGAAATATATATTTTGGCATATTTCTGACAGCAATGCATTTCAAATGGGAAGGTTCAAGTACCAGTAGAGTTCAACTGAGCCTCTGTTTGAACCTGATTTGTACAACTGGGCCTAAATGAACTCGCTCTAGCAATTGAAAAAGTCAAAATTGAGAAAAATCCAAAAACAGAAATTTAAATTTCATTTGCATCTCAAACCTGCATATCCCGGTAACCACAACCGATACTAGGACAAAATTAAAACTGGAAAATCCACAGGTTGCTAATAGAATGGTAATCGATGAAAGATTTTAAAATGAAATTGAAAGATATCGAAACTGAAAGGATATTTTTTCACCTTACCTTAATCTACTTCCAAACTCCACTCAGCTGGCCAGCTCATCCAGGAATTTCAGGTCCAATGCGTAGAAGTGCAACGAAAACGTCTTGATTTAACCGGTCGCGGCAAACGAAAAACCGCGGGTCTATTTTCTTGAACCACACGAAGCAGGCGGAGTGTTTTGGCAACTCTCAATAGAAGCTTCGAAATGGTATCGCTTAAAGTTTTGGACAAAATGTCGACTAAATTTGTTTGAAGCTCTATATCTCGGGAACTCCACAACATAGCAAAACCAATTCTTCATGGCTGATTAGAGAATTTGATACTCTTTCCAATGATGTCTAATTGTAGGCAATTTTCTCAAATGACATTGATAAACCATTACCATTTCCTAGGTGGCATACCACCTCAAGCTGTCGTCAGACCACCTCAGGCACAAACTCCAGCAGCAGATCCTCCAGCCAATCTTCAAGTACAGGTAAAACCTCAAAAAATAGACAATTTTTCTATTGCTCACCACAAAATATTATTCTCAGGTAAATCCCAAAACAAAAACTGCACTGGCAAACATGCTGAGCATTAAACTCCAAAGCGGTGGATCGATTGGGTCTACTGTTAGACCTGAAGGTATATCTGAACCATCTGCAGCTGGAACCTTGAGGTAAGAAACATAACTACACCTACTTTTAAAATAACTTTTTTAATTTTACTAGGATGATGACTGCTCAACACAATGCTGCAATAAATTCCAAACCTCAAGAAATAATAGCCTTGCACCAGCGCAGATCTATAAGCGGACCTAACGGCGAAATAATTAAAACTCCGGGTGTTTCAGCTCTGCCTGCGGCCTCTCAAGCTGATACTCCAAAATTGCAATTTAACCAAAAGTCTCCTGTGCCTGTTCAACATCGAGTTGGACCATTTTATGGACACAACCCTAATTTGAAATGTAAGTTTTCACTACTAATTCATATGATTATCGTAAATTTTTTTGTTTAATTTTTATTAGTGCCCCCAGATCTATTTCTATTGGGCTGCATTTTTGTTGTTGTTGAAGTTGAGGATTACTTGGAGGAAAGATTACCTGGATGGCAACAAAAAATTGAGAAATATGGAGGTTGTACATGTGAATTTTATAAAAACGTATTTTAATTTAACCAGAGTTGATTTATAGGTGAAGTGGAAAAACAGTATTGCAGTAAAGTGACTCATGTACTTTGCGAAACTCAGAGGCATGGTGTTGTAATGCAGGCATTGAGGGATCTGAAAAGATGCGTCACTATTCGGTGGCTGAGTGATATCATCAAGAGGAAACAGGTAGAAAATGCCTTTCGTATTCTATTACTATATTATTTTATTTATTGATTTGTATATTCATAAAATCTATATTATCTTGTCCACAAAGGCAATGTGAAGTAATAGGTTGTACTTTACTTGAGGATTTTTTTAAATCTAAGTCCCTTAACAGGTAGTTTTTTATTCACATTATTGTTTTTCTCAGGTTTTACCGCCATGGACTGCCTTACATCTACCCCAAATTTACTTAGACTTATCCCCAGCCTCGAAACACTTAATTTCTGTCAGTGGATTTGAGGGTAACTTACGCAAAATCGTAAGGCAAATGGTTATGTGTATGGGGGCAAAGGTAATCATATAAACATTTTGTTCTCCCTGTTAAATTATTTATGTTTTTTTCTTTTAAACAGTGTACTAGTTACTTCTCCAAGCACAACACCCTGCTTATATGTTCCAAAGCTGAAGGCCCAAAGTTCGATCACGCCAAGAAATGGGGCACTCCGGTGGTTAATGTGCAATGGTTGACTGACATTATTTTAGGGAATTTCAGTGCCATGTCCCAGATGGAACATCAAGCGTATCAGACCTACTGTACTCCGCCGAATTTTAGTTTTGATCCAAAACTTGTTCCTAATGTGATGCGTAAGTAATTTATTGTCTCAAAATATAAAGCCACTTTATTCATAAATAACGATATCAATTTGAGATTTATTATCTTATTATTACTAAATAAAATTAATTTTTAGATGCTTGGAAAGCTCCAATCAACATATCTCAAGAATCCTATGAAAGAGTGAAACGTTCAGCTTCACCGGTCAGCTTACCGAAAGCCAAGAAAATGAAAACGGAACACACCGACGAAAACGAAAACATAACTGATGAAGTCTTCGATTCAAATTATAAAATATTATTTTCCCAATACGAACCGGATCGGGTGAAAGAACTTGGAAAAATCGTCCGGGATCTCGGAGGCATTGTCGCCAGTGACCACAAAGAATTTACCCACTTAGTGGTGCCAAAATTAACCAGAAGCCATAAACTTTTGTTTGCCATTGTGAAATCTCATTATATTTTATCAGACAAGTGGCTAGATGATTCTTTGGAGGCGAAACGTTTTCTTCCTGAAAGCGATTTTGGATTGCCTACTGAGAAGTTCAATCAAACTTATGGAACTAGTTATGAAAAAGCTTTGCAAAGTTGTAACAGGCAACAATTACTGGACGGAAAAACGTTTCACGTAACACCAAGTGTTGTTCCAAGCAAAAGGATTGTATGTGAACTAATTGAACTATCTGGAGGCAAGTTGGAGCGTATAAGAAGAAGCCGAGCTCAAATCGAAGCCACAAACGCCACATCTCCCTTATCCTACTTCATATTAACAGCCCGAGAGGACTTACATTTGGTGGCGGATTTATTGAAAAACAAAAAAGACAAACAAAAAGTCGTGTGCAATGTAGAATTAGTTTTGAGCTCTGTCATGAAACAAGAGTTCGAAGTTGAGCCTTATGCTGTTAGTGTTGTATGATCTTCAAAGAAACATAGATGAGAGTGGCTGAAAAGGCAACGAGAGTTGCTGTTTGACGAATCCAGCTCAGACAGTGACGAAAGCCTTAAGGATCACGAGGAAATAATTGTGCTGGATAGCTTTAAGTAAGAGACTTTATTGATTGTGGTAATTGTTTCAATGAATATCCAATATTTTAAAATTGGTCGATTTCGATTTTGGAAACACCCGCCCGCTTAATTTGCTGTACAGATTTAGATTAGTGTTTTCACTTAGTATGGAGGAATGGAGTGATTTTTACTAATCGTTAGGGGGCAATTTATTTAACGATTTCATAATATGCATTTTGTACGTTCCAGTAGTATATAGGCCGTTTTACAGTTCACAATTTAAATCAATCTGAGTACATGATAATATTGAAATAAGAATAAATAGTTGTGCATTATACACTATTAGCTAGGTAAACCGGGCTTTAACTTTTTATGAATTATAAAGCTCTAAAATTTGGCCTGTGAGCATGCATCTGTCACAAGAGGCAAGATTGCAACAATTTCTTGAGGCTATTGTTGTTGTTAACACTAGAAATAGGTCTAAAGAATATGGCTCAACGTAAATAGTGTAAAGAAAATTATGAACTGTAGAACGGTTTTAATTATCCAGGAAAAAATACAGGAAATTTACAATAAAATTAGTTCCTGATATTTGAAAGCTGTTAGGTTCCAAATATTTGCTGATGAATTTTTTTCTCATTTCAAGTTTTGGTGAAAATTCTGTGCTACTATACTAAAATTTTTGGGAATAAATCAACACTCGTCATGTTCTGGACAAAATCTTTTGACACCCTGTATAATGATTCCTGCATATTTTTATTGTGATATAAAAAGGTGACGATTCGAACTAACGATTTAAAACCCAGTATTTACTTATCAAATTTCAAATTTGACTGATGGCAATGAATAATTCGTCTAAAAAATGTCCAATACTGTTTAGCCCTTTGTATAATACCAAATTCTTGACCTTGCATTTAAAAAACCAACTATAGAATACCGCATATTATAAGACAATATGATCATTCTCATCTGTAGCATAAAAACAATGTAAAATATAATATTTTCGTTATTCTTCTAGACTTCGGAGTTATTAATTTATATGAAAATGGGATGTCACGTGGGTATATCTTCCTTATTAACTATTGTGTACGTGTCTAGAATTGATATTTATTCAATTTTCTAACTAGGGTCGTTATTTTGTGATGTTATATGGTACACCTACATGAATAGATATTTAATAATTATTGAATATATTTTGTATATTTACAATACATCCGTTTAGTTTTAAGGAATTATTCACCTATAACTGTATAAGGTATATAAGGATGTTACAATACAGTTAATAATAATTATTATGATAAGATAGGTAGTAATATTATTGCTTTTTTTTATCAGCCAACAGCTGTAAGCGCTTTATGTCTGTTAGCTGAGCTTTTATTTTATTTACTGTTTTTTCTTATAGCTTTTTGTTATTTTGAATTTAAAGTTGAAGTACTTAATAGTACATAAAGTCTTGAAAAGAAATCTATTACTTTCATGAGATCCATTGTGCAAAATAAAAGCTTGGACTTGTGTTATTATTATATAATATAATATGGTATTTACTGTTTATGTTAAGCGGCTTAAAACTATTGATATTGGTAAATAATATAATTACTGATCATAAAATCCATAAAATGTAGATTTTAATTATTGTAACCTTTCTAGAAACAGTAATAATCTTTTCCGAGAATCATTTTGAAAAATCCTTTGCTTCAATGTAAGAAAATCTCCTACTTTGCAAGGCCTTCTAGTTCTAGTAGATAAAATAAAAATTATAATAATTTATAGAAAAATATAAGTTTTAGTATATTCGTAAAAATATAATCTCAATTTTAAAGGTGCGCCAAAAAGAAAAAAAGGTTCATCCGACCGCACCAACAATTTGTTCCTGTTATGTCAAAGCAGTCGAATAAACAAAAAGTACAACGCCCCAAAACAAAAGAAGCATTATTACCTAATTACCATAATCATTATGGTAATTTTCATGGGCAAATAATCATACAATAAGCTGATTACCATAAAATTTCATTAGCTTCTTTGCCCACCTTAATTTTTTTCGAATGCGGCTGGCCCGTTTTTTTAAGTGACTTCTTCCTTCTAGCTCTAGGAGATAAGATTTAAGCCATGCTTAGTTGTCTGTCGTCCTTGTTTAACACATTACACTTTGCAGGTGCGTACATCGAGGATTAGATTCCGTCGTTGCCATGTTTCTCGATTTATCAACTGGTCAGAGATTGAAGTTGTTAATTAAATGGCTCGAATTTTCTTTTGGGAGCCTCTACGATGGAATATGTTTCAAATTTTTTGGATTCCCTTTATTGTTTCTGCTATTTTGAATATAATATCTTCAAAAGGGTCAAACATCTCCCATTGGCTTAGAGTTTGACATAGTTTTTGAAGTTGTTTGGGTTAGTTACCTATTTTATTTCAGACAGTTTTGTCCACATAAGTTCCTTATGAATTAGGTAGGTAAATATTATATGAGAACTTAATTTAGTTGAAGTTGTCGGATGCATGATATTTTCGTACACAAAACTGCGTAAATTAAGAATAAAGAAATTTCCAACTTTGTTGAACAAGAAGCGTATCTCGTAAATCTAACCTGATTGAAGTTGCTGAAGGCAGCTTTACCAGGTATACTATACCTACCTACAACTAAGAAACAGCGACAGAAATCCGAGAACAACTGGTGACCAAAAATTTTATATTATGTGGAATATAGCTTATAACCTATAAGACTTCCGAAGCAAAAATTAGAGCTGTGTCCATTAACGGCACCATGAAGGAATTTCGGAAAAGATTACGAATGACTGTTATCGTCATCAGAATCAAACTGGGAAATCCTACGACGATAATCAACGTTTAAAGTGATATTTTTACATGTAAAATGTCACTTTAAGCGCTGATTACCGTTGAACCCCCCTTAAAATGGTCGGTGCAAACGGCCATTAACAAACAACACCTGAGGTAGGTTATTGCATGTAAAGGTTCGCAGATAGCCAGATAGGTCTATACGTCTATAGCATATAATTTGAACAAAAATACGAAACAGTATATTAAATAAAACAAAATAAGATAAGATTATGAACACCTTCAAAGTGGACAGGAAATGGACATGCAGATTGTTGGATAAACTGATATTCATATCAGTGAAACAAAAATTAATAAATTAATAGTAGATTATACCACGAGTCCATAATGATAGCTAATATTCCCGAGGAATATTTACGAACTGAGCCGCGTCAGCGGCGAGGGAGTGACATTCCGAGGGAATAATAGCCATTATTGCGAGTAGTATACTCTACTTTATTTACGACAAATTAATTTATTTGAAATTTTCTTTTCAACAACGCTCTTTGTTCATCCATCTCAATACAAATACACAAGCACTACGCGTTTGACACTGACACTTTTAAGTTTGTTCAGGTATATTGTTTCCATGGTACTACTTATTTAATTTGAGAAATTATTTGATTGGTGTGCAAGCGGGAATAATGAACATTAATCCCTGCGGGAATAATATGTTATTAAACTGCCAAAATCACAAGTATAATACTTACATTATATGTCAGTCGTAAATAAACTTTGATTATTAGCCTATACCTACTTTGCTAATTTATATCGCAGCTATGGATGACTGAATGTGTTCATAATAGTTTTTATATGTAAGGTAAAGAGATGGGGAATCGTTTACTTAAGAAAGGGTTTGTAATTCTTTGTCTTGATGTTGAGTCAGTTTGTATAGTTATTGCTATGAGTTCATACGCTCTGCTTTCCACGCTGTGTTCGATATTATAAATATATTGAATATCGATAATTTACAAGTTCTTTCATTTCTTAGTCCATTTCCCAATACAGATGTCACTAAGTGAACGGCAGAACCAAAAATTAAATTGATTATATTTTTGAATCATAAAAGACATAATAGAGTGGTAAATCGATTCCCATTATGCATTATACAGGAAAAATGGAAAAAGCTAATAAAAAAGAAAACGATAAACAGACTGAGAACTATTAAACCAAAAAACAAAGTATAATATCAACCATAAGGAAGCAAAAGAAGGGAATACGACACGAAAAACTAATTCAAAAATAATAGAATAATAGATGCTATATGTTACAGTAACGACAAACAAAATATGTTACAGTAACGACAAGCAAAAAAAGTGATGAAGTATAGAGCAATCCAGACAGAAAAGAGAAGTCAGTAGGAGTGAGATGTTTTTTTCTACTACTAATCATGCATAACGTTTGTAACCATAGTTTGGAACACGTATGTGCCAAAATGTCATATATAGTTGAAGTTTTTAAAACATCGTTTTAAAGGTATTATTTTCGCTTGTAGATAAACGTGCGTTTAAACATGACTACAAAACTCGTGTGATTAGAATTTAATCTTTCACACTCACACTCGCTCGTTATCAGCTTTGTTCTAACCCAGCAGGGAATCTCACTCACCGTCAGGATTATGCGCAAAACATAAAATTTGTATGTAGAATCCGAAATTCGTATACAGAGTGGTTCCGAAACCGTTCTTCGGACAGTTTTTTGGTGGCTTGGAACAGACGTATTGTACAAGGTGGCCCCTTGTCGATGTTTTAATAGGCTATATCGAAAACCAGCAGAGATATCAAAAATCTGGGAGCACATTCTCGAGCTCTATAACCAACAATAACGAAGACAAATCACGGCTAACTTGATGCGTTTAGGTAATACAGAGCAATTTTCAAATTTTGTCCAATTTTAAAAGACCTTTTAATTTCTTTATTAATCAAGATATCCAAAAACCAAAAATACTTTCTATAGGCAGTTTTTCAAGTAGATTCCAGTGGCATGACTGGTTTTTTTCCACATGCCTCCGATTTTGGGATATTAACCAATGTTGTGGTTTTTTAAATTGGACTCCCGGTATATTATTTTTTCATTGCATAGCCCTTTTTGAGCTGATTTCAATGATATAAGGTTTTATAGCTTTACCCTCAATAGTTTTTGAGAAAAACAATAAATTCCGTTTTTCCGCATGAGAAACAATGAGCGAGAAAGAGATAAGTCATTAAATAAATTATGTGTTGCTTATCTATCACCTCCAACTCATAGTCCAAATTAAAAAAAAAAAAATAACTTAAACTGAAAAATCAAATTTAGAGTTAAGAAATTTGTAGCCTATTCATAGTTCAACTATCCCTTTCTAACTCATTGTTTCTTATGGAGAAAAGGAATTTATTTATTTTTCTCAAAAACCAACGAAGATAAAGCTATAAAACCCTATATCATTGAAATCAGCTCAAAAAGAGCTATGCAATGAAAAAATAATGTCCCATTCAAAAAAACCACAACTTTGGTTAATATCCCAAAATCGCTGGCATCTGGAAAAAAATTGGTCATACCACTGGATTCTGCTTGAAAAACTGCCTATAGAAAGTATTTTTGGTTTTTGGATATATCTTGATTAATGAAGAAATTAGAAGACCTTTTAAAATTGGACAAAATTTGAAATGTGCCCTGTATTTCCTAAACGCATCAAGTTAGCCATGATTTGTCTTCGCTATTGTTATTTTCTCAAAAAAAGAGCTCGAGAATGTCCTCCCAGATTTTTGATATCTCTTCTGGTTTTCGATATAGCCCATTTAAACATCGAAAATGGGCCACCCTGTACATTACAATCTTATTATTACAATCATTTGTAATGTAATCATATTCATGCATAAAAGCTCTCTACTCACAATGAAATAGTAGATTATACCACGAGTCAATAATGATAGCTATTATTCCCGAGGATTATTACGAACTGAGCCGCGTTAGCGGCGAGGGAGTAACATTCCGAGGGAATAATAGCCAATATTGCGAGTAGTATACTCTACTTTATTTACGACAAATTAATTTATTTGAGATTTTCAATGAACAAATTTCATCCGTCTCATAATTTTCAATACAAATCCACAAGCACTATACACTGACACTTTTGTGGAATAATGACCATTAATCCCGCTACTCGTCATTAATCCCTGGAGGAATAACATATGTCATTATACTGCCAAAATCACAAATATAATACGCACATTATACATTAGTCGTAAATAAATTATTGTTATTTCATGATTAGGTAATGTATTTTATTTTGAACCATATAAGTATGTAATTTTAACATTCCTTACTGGTTTGAAGGTTCGAAAATGTCACTTTACTGTTGTTTACTTTAAAGCAGGCCGACAGTGGCTGTTCTCCTGTCACTTTCGGCCTGAAGAATTCACTTTCGGCCCTGATAAATTGTTCTTTCACACCTAAACACAAATCCAGGTGCAATGTTTGTTATAGATGTCACATGTGTTTATATTATTCAAATTTCATAAGATGTCACTGTCGGTGTCAAACTGTCAGTTCAAATTCCAATTTTGTCATATTTTTACCTTATTTTTTTCAATAATTATTGGTTCAAAATAAAATAGTATACATAATTCGGTAAAAACATTATTGTCTCGAGAATTAGTTGACCTCGGCGCTTCGCACCTCGGTCAACCATAGTATCTCTCGACAATAATGAAACATTTTCCACCTCCGCATGTAATATACTATTTCGTAACTCGATTTCTTTTGCGAAATCTGCTCGTTACGAAAAATAGTGCTTTTCCGAACTGGTTGCACAAATAACTATTTGATTTGCACTGTACACCTGTAAAATACCTATTTACTAATGAAAACATTTTCTGTACTGACGTCTTGGTACTGACCTAGACCTAGTACTGACGTAAAGTTTGAATTTAACATATCAGTCCAAAAATTTTATCTTTATCGACCTAGTCCGCAAAAAGAAAATTTCAGCGAACTCAGTAGGTACTGTCAAAGTACATTATTCCAGATTAAAAGTATAGTCTGGCTAGCCAAACGGCGAGCTCAAAAAGAATTTGCTGCTATGCCAAACTTGACAGAAACAATAATAAACAAGTTGGTGACATATTTTTTTTTGCAATATGGGCCGTGTAGTATTTTGAAATAGGAAAAAATCCGGCAACATTACGAAATGAAGGAAGCGGAGAGGCGTGATTATTCAGAGACATGATTCTATTGGTTAGAGCCTAAACGACAGCACCAGTGGCGTGGTTATTCGTGAAACTCAAGAATTTTTTTCCTAATAATTTTTTGGTTTATTTCCTTGGTGTTTTCGGTGCCACTGAACCCAAAGACATGGTTGTCATGAAGCGGTGTCAGTTGAGGTGTCGGTGAATATTCTTAGGTTACGCCCCACTTTTCTTCCCCCTTTCGTCTCTACCAAGTTACCACTTGCCAAACTATAAGTAAGGTCCGTTTCACCAGGGTTCATACTTGACCGTGAAACTTGAAAAAAAAGGGTTGTCGTAGATTAATTCATATGACACATTTAATTTTTTGACAAATTAAAATGAATGACTTCTCGTTTAAGAACCGACGAATGTTTTTGACGTCATTGATTTGTTTCAGTCAATTTTTATTTGTTAAACAAGGAAGGCAAATGCTGGTGGCAAGTACAAACCCTGGCGAAACAAACTTTACGTAAGTGTGTTTCACAGATAGATAAGTACGAAGTAAAGAACAATTATAATTACTGATGACGAATCCGTAAACCGCAACAATAATTCCATAAGACAAGTGGAATGTAGCAGAGGTATTCATTCCAACTTCTTTTACCAATTCATTGCGAGGAGAAAGATAAAAGTAGAGTTATTTTTCACGACTTTACTTTACCTATGGAGGGTGGTCCATTTATGGCCGTTTCGTATTCCTTAAACTGACATTTCTCCATTGAAGACTGTCCATTTTAGGGAATACTTATCGTTATAGGCTCCCCTAAAATAGTTGGTGGAAACGGCCATTATTGGTCTACAATGTACCGTTATGATTCTGCGCAAAGTCAAAAATTTATGCGTAGAACCAGATACTCGTATACAGAGTGGTTTCGAACCCGTTCACGGGACGGTTTTTGACGTGTTGGAAAAAGCTTTTTTCTGCGATTGACAAGAAAATGTCAGTATTTTTTCTTCCAACACTATGAGAAAATTGAATTTTACTGCCTCTATAGGAACGAGAAAGTAGGCATTTCTGAGGCTAGCCCTAGAAAAAAATTCGAAAATGGCTAGGCAAGAAAATTATTTTTTACTTTTTCTAATAGAGGGCGTTACATAATAATTTTTTTAAAAAAAAGTATAATTTTCTGCGATTTTCATCAAATTTCAATTCAGAAAAAGCTGTGTTCGTTTCAATTATTATCTAACTAATAAAATTCTAGTTGCAGAAGTTATTCATGAACTAAATTTTTAAATTAAAATTACCAACTAATATAGATTTTTGCAAAAAGTTGACAGATAAGTGTGACAGGCAACATTTGTCACAATACTATTCCTTGAGTATTTTTGAGCGGTTGACAAGTCGCAAAACTCGATATTCTGGTATTTTCAATGGTTGCTAAGGAATCAATGGATAACAGTACGAAAATCACTTGATAACCAGTACGAGAATCAATTTTTCCAGTCTAGGCCGGGAAAATGATTCCGTACTGTTGGTTTTTAGGAACAACACAAAAATATTTCTCATTTTTTTCATTATTGAGCCAGTTTTCCACCTAAATACACAATATACCTAGGTACTATAATTTGATCTTTTTTTCAAAAAAGAGCCGTTTTCGAGATATTTGATTGCTAAATGGACAGTTAAATGAACTACCCAGTATAATAAAAACATTTAAAATTAAATCATACCAAAAACTAGTATTGGCAACCGAAACCGCTTTTCGGTTAATCGATATCTATCCAAACTTTATAACCGGCTATTCGGTTAATCGATCTTCCGATATCGGATAACCGGTTTTTGGTTGAATGTGGTTTTAGCCTAAACTAGCTTTATTCCATCAACACGAGGAAACCGTACGATGTACCTTCGCGATTCTACGTAAAACGTGAAACTTGTGCCTAGAAACCAAAATTCGTATACTGAGTGGCTTCGAAACCATTCAAGAGACGATTTTTTGATGT